AACTGTGAGTGAGCCCAAATACATATTACAAAGTTGACCCAGCAATTGTACATTAGTGGAAGAGAAAAATGCTCTTTCGTTTCAACATAACTTAAGTTGCACAGGACTTCCAAGCTGTTTGATTTGTTAAAAACATCTAAAATGGCAACATGAGGCAGAAATTTATATTGAAAATAAATATGTATAAATGTTATTGCTATATGTTATTATAGTTATCCCTAAAATGGAAATGTTACTAATATAACACAAATGGAATGATTGAATGTTTTATATATAAATGATTTAATATAACTGCCTTGTGTGTGTAGGCCCATAGCTTTTGCTCTACCTATCTGCTTAATGTTTATTTATGAAAATCCATGGTTAAAATTATTCCTCAGCATGCAGGAACATAACAAAAACCCTGAGGTTTGTTACAAACCAAACCGTTCGAAAATCTGTTTAAAATTAATCAATCTATGGCTCTTTAAACGCTACATGCACCGTAGACTGTAATGTTGTGATTGTTTCGTAGCAAAGTGGCCGCCATGCCCAGACGTTGGTCTCCATTGGCTAACATCGTGCGTAAACAATCTAGCGTTTATACATGTATGTATGTATGTATGTATGTATGTATATATATATATATATATATATATATATATACACACAAAGATATATGTTAGTCACCTGTCACTCAAAGTGGCCACGCCCCTTCTACTGTTTGGTCTTTATTACAGTCCCGCTAGTTCGGACTTTTTAAAAGATATTTCAAGCATTTAATCATTGATGATAAATTAGCCCTATTCATGTTATTTTATTTTTGTGCCACTGTGTCCTATTTTCTATGCAATATTTGTCTTTCATTCAGGTTATCACAAAGTAAGTTTGCATTATGTGGGAAAAAGGAGGGCTAACTTCTAGCCATATTAAGAAGCGCTTCTCCCCATCATCCTTTTACGACAGGTAAGATTTAACAATGTCCGTCAGCGTCACTGCCTGGAGACAAGTTGATCCACACTGTGTTAAATATGAAAACTCATTACCACCCTGCTTCAAAATTCCATCTCAGCCTGCCGTGAGGGTATATCCTGTAAGGCATTTAATTTTTTTCTGTCAAGCAAAACTTTAATGAAGGAGAAAACGTATAATTTCATTCTAAAATATGCATTCAGATTAAAAAGTACATCATCTACCCTTGGACAAAACTCCTGGATTCTGCATAATCAGGTTGCACCACCTCAGGAGAGAGCAGTTTTCCTCATGCAGTAAGTGATCAGGACTTTCCTCCCTTTCCATTAGTAAACCGGCTAAAATATTCCTCCTACCTACAATGTATTCACCCTGCTCCACCCCCTGCACAGAATGTGCCACTCTGATGCAGCATTGTGCTCGCACTTGTTACCATCAAAACTGCAAAAACTAGTCAAGTGCAATCATTTACAGCTTACAAAAGCAGTACTTTAATACAGAAGTGCTAAAAACTGTGTAAACCCAGACAAAATCCAGCTTTCTGACACCCATTTCCCAAATCAGGTGACTGCATGCACAGAAATGTACTCTGTGTACTAGCTTTGGATGATTAGACTGATTTGCTGTTATTAGAATAATCTAGATTAAAGAAAAGACACCCCTGACTGATGCACCTTCATCTCCTCTCATTTAGTTTATCAGCTTCCTGGAGCCAAACTGAAACTGTGTCACAGCTTGTAGAAGATGCTGTGTCGTAGCCTAGTTGTTCAAAAGATTTAGTTGTACTGTCTTCATGGGGAAACAGAGAAACGGGATCAGTTATATAACTTGAATCCAAATTTAAATGACTTGGCTGTAAACTCATTTGCACCAAATATCAATAATAGATCAATTATGAAAGCAGTGAAACTGTATTGCTGGCAACACTCACCGACCGGCCTATTTAAAGCTGATTTATTTATGTGACAAAAGTAGTCTGTAAAGTCTGGATTGGCTAAAACAGAAGAGTTGGAGAGATGTTCGAGCCTCCGCTTTAAACTCTGACATAATAGCTTCTGTGCGCTGTCAGGATGTGATGTGATAAAATTGCATCATTTAGATGATGATGAAAGTTTATCTTCTTATTGATCGCAAAATAAACATGAATAAATAAAATGTGATGTCAAGAAGATGATTTAATCAAAAATTAAAAGGAAGATAGATCTTACACGTCTTCAACCTTTGACCTCAAGTTCACCTTTACTCCAGACATCACCACTTTACAAGCTTTATACCTTTTTCATTGAGTTATTTCCAAAATGCAGCAATGCCTCCAACCTAAATAAAAAATGTTCTATGCTGGCTCAACATCAATCCCTCTCCAGATAAGATAGCTCTGGTTGTGTGTGTTATTATCCCCAGTTTATTGAATCGCTCAGTGGGAGCATGTTATCGTCGACTTCTTACGGCTTATTCTTAATTATCCTCTTCCTAACTCTCTATCCCGCCGTGAGTTTAACGACACATGGGAAGAAAAAGAACCAGCCGTATGTGTCTGTGTTTACCCGACTTGGATTAAGTTCATGTAGAAACATACGCGGATTCTTATGTCGCCTCCACTCAAGCTTTGAATTAGCGCACTGCAGAGAAAGTCATGGCAGAATGACAGAGCTGTAGGTGAAATTTATCCAAAGAGAGTGAGAAAGAGTTAAGACAGAGAGAAGTGAAAACTAATTATGGATTTGAGGTAAAGTCGGCCGGTGTTAATTAAGGTTGTACTTTAAAAATAATGATACCAATATATGGAAAATACGCATTACACTCTTTTATCTTCATGGTAGCTTGTAAGGCTAGGATTTCTTATTCAGTAAAGACAGAGTCTAGTTTCAAACGGTTGGATTATCTGCCAAAAAGTGCAAAAACAAACATGCAACTCTAATTACAAAAAAGTTGTGAGGCTGTGCAAAGTATTGATATAACAAATTCTTGTAGTTTGCAAACTATTCAAAGGCATAAAAAAGTCAAGGAAATGCAAGAAAACTTCCCAACAAACTGGGTTAACTTTCAACAGGTTAGTGATCTAAAAGGGTTTTCCAGAGAAGTTGAGTCTCTCACATGAAATCACTCCTCTGTGAAGAAAACAGTTCAGCAATTTCAGAAAAAGTTCCTCAGTGTAAAACTGCAGAAAGTTTGGGACTTATCATCTGCAGTACGATATCATTCAAGTCTCTGAGAATCAGGATGAATAACGGTACAGAAGGTACAAAGACCTCAAACCAATACTGGATGGCTGTGATCCTCTGGCCTTCAGATGGCACTGCATTGTAAACAGGCATAACTCTGTCGTGGGAATCACTACATTGGTTCAAAAGCACTACCAGAAACCACTGTTTGCACTTCGGCCAATTTAAATGTTGAAACCGGTGCACAAATATCTCTCTCTTTATTACCGATTACCTAGATTGAAACTGTACGTATGTTGTGATTACATGATATTCTTTCTTATCAACTACAGCCCGTCACTATACTGGTTACAACTACATTATAAGGAAACTGAATATAAACATGATCCAGGAATGCCTGTTTTCACTCTGGGCCCAATCCGATTTAAGACTGAGGAATAATTTGAGTACCATTTTTCAGCTTTAACATTTGAAATTATGTCTCTTGCATTATTTTCAATTAGCAAACCATCAAATTCTATTTTAATACTATTCTTAAGCAGCATTGGAATTGTGGCTGTACATGCACTCCACCTGAGTTCATATACTGTTTGCCAACAGCTGCAAGTGTTTTTGTGCATTGAAACACCGCCATCTAGTGGTGATTTAACCACAGTGCTGCAATACTCCTTATTTAATTCTGCATTCTGAATTGCTGAAAGTGCCAGTGCAATTGTACGGCTCATTCAAAAACATGACCCATGTATACTAATCACGCATACACATTTATTTGAATACACACAGATGCAATGATATAAAAGACCCCCCCACACACACACACACTTTCACAAAAACACACTCTCTTCCCACATGGCCTCATCTCCTGACCTGATGTGGCGGATTATTTTGCCCGCACAGTCACAACAGTCGACTAAACCGTGTCTGCATTTCTTTTGTTGGGGCCTCATGCCGGAAACATGGTTCTGCAGACGGAGGCTTAGTGTGTGATTTTGTCGAGTGAGGTAAGCATGCGTGACTGTCTGTCCTGTATTAACCTGAAAATGGATCAGTACAACTGGCAGATCTGTTGTTGAATTTGAAAGCCTTTGAAAACAGTCATGTCAGGATAAAAAAACAGGCAAAAAATAGATTCCAAAAATACAAAAAAAAAAAATCTTTAATCAATGCAGAGTCTCCTAACAGCAAGATACAAGAGAATAAGATCAGCCCACCTCAGTCAGCATCTGTTCTCTCAGATACAAACAAGACAATTAAAATGTTGTATTATTGCTTGGTAAAAAATACAAGGGGCAAATGTGATTTTTGTTATGCAGGCTGGGATATTAAAAAAAATCTGTTTTCAAATGGTGTACAGTACCAGAGCTCAGCAGCACTGATATTCAGCAGTATTACTCTGTCCCTTGTACTTACAGCTGGCAAGTCAAACAGCTGCATTGCTCACAGCACTTTTTGTACCAATAATGAAACTCTCCTCTGGCCTAACAGATCAATAATCTATTAAACAGTAGGTACACACTGTTATCAACCGCTCCGAAGCCATGTCGCTCTGAGTGTCAATGATGTGATTTCCCCTGGTGGAGAGCTCCTGTGTTGTCATAAACAGCTTGAAAAAAAAAAAAACTCATGAGTTCATGAAAAATAAACATATAAACGTCTGTTATAGTGAGAGCAACAGCATTGTATTTGATCAAGACGTACAGTATAATAACTTTGTTCAATACAGTTATATATATATATATATATATATATATATATATATACATATATTTCAACTCTTTAAAGCAAACCCTTAACATCAAATTTTAAATGAATATAAAGATTAAAGCTAGACTTGAGTGCATGTTTCAATGTAATGCAAATACTGAGAGATCACTGGTTTAAAAGGATGGCATTATCTCTATTATAAGTGCTAAAGTGCTCTCAAATTATGCGAATTGAGGGATGGGCAAAGGATGCGTCAGACAAAAAAGAGTGTATTATCTCGGTTACTCTGTACAGGCTTTTTGAAGTCTGTTGAACTCCCATGCTGTTATTTTTGTCCATTTTAAATAAAGACTCAGTTAAGACTGTCAGATCACAGCACATTAGTCCCGTTAAAGACTCAAATTACTGACTGCTACTCCTTGTTAGAGGGGTTCTGCTGCGAAATGTTAGCCGCCACCTGTTAGGCAGTCAGAGGCAATTGTTTCTGATGCTTTGTGGTACAAAGCAAATCTACTAAGTACTTAGTGAGACGTACAGTTAAAAGGTCAGAGCCCAATCTGGAATAAATATATAAAGCTTTTTGTTCAATACAGTTCAATCTAAACAACATCCTGTGCACAGTATGGCTTAGCGTACTTCTTCAGCTGCAGTTCAGGCAAACACTGTCTTTGTTTTTTGACTGATGTGTCAGTCATCTGGGATGGCTTCATCCATCCACTTCATGTACGCTAGACTGCCGTCCTCCACCAGGAAGCTGAGGACTTCTGGGTTTGCATAAGGGTGGACAGACCTTGAAGAAACCCACATGGAGACAAACATAAAGATGTTACAAAACAGTGTAAAAGAAACACAAAACGACCCCATGAGGCAGTGTGAAGAGGCTTAGAAACAGGATTTAGAGGGATTAAAAGAAAGTAAATAATATTTAGTACAACAAATTATACAGTTGACAAAAAAGTGAAATGAAACGAGGCGAAAAAGGAAATCCTTCAACTCTAAATCAAAAACAGAGTCTCCTCCCTGAAGTCTGATTTCTGGGGTTTTGTTTCACACAAACACTGAATTCTGCTTCTTCATGTTTCCAAGTTTTGACTCGCAGGAGAGTAAACAGATCTTAAAGGTCTCAATGGTTCATAAAAGAGCAGAAGATCAGACGTGTAACTTTGCCCTTCGCTACAGCAGGCTGCCTTGAGGGTTTTCTACTTTAACTCAAGTGGAAAAAAAATAAAAGCTAAGCAGAAAGTTAGTACAAAAAGCATCAGCACTGAAGCAGAACTGGCAACACTAGCCATTAGGGGTCTCTGCTCGCTCTAATTACACTGTCTCCTGAAAGTATTCACATTTTCTTGTGTTACAGTCTTATTCCAAACTGGATTCAATTCCATTAGTATATTTTTGTTTTTAATTGTAATCCAGTTTGGAAAAAGGCTGTACCACTAGAAAATGTGAAAACAGTGTTGTGCTGTGAATACTTTCCTGTATGATCCAGTTGGGACTTTCTTACCAGTTTTTTTTTCCCATCACGGTTTTCACTTCAACACTTAATTACATGAAGATTTTACCCTGAATTGTTTGTAGTAATGCTTTCCAGCACATTTAAAAAAGGTGAAAGGCTTAACCACTGTACCTACGCAGCACGACAATGTAAGATTACAAGGACACCTGTCTTCATTATGATGTTCTGATTATCTACCGCCTCCGTGTGTTGGAAGGGATCCCATTTTTATTCTGAGAGACTTTCAAGAGGTCTTCTGAATTTTGTGTTGGATTGAAAAAAAAAATGTAACTCGTGAAATTTTAGCAGGGCTTGAATTTTTATTTTGCAAGATTCTGACAAACTTTTATAGAATCCTTGGATTTTTTTGCAAGATATTGAGAGACAACTGCAAGACGTTACAAACATTGATTTTACTCTAGGGGCCGCATGTATCAATACTTTAAAGGATCTCATACTAAAAAACAGCGGTTGCAAGGATCCCACAAGTTGCGAACGTAGGAAAAAATCCAGATGTATCAATCCATGCGAGCGTCGGAATCCACACACATTTCCTTGATACATCCCAATCAGTGAAGATTTGTCGGAGTGACCACCCGCCCCCATTACGCCCACCTATAAATATGAAAATTTATTTAAATTAGGTCTCCCCCTCCGCGCAAAACAAAATCCAAGAAAAAGAAGTTCACAGCGTGCCAATTGAATGTGCTGGTCGGGGAGGTAGAGGAGAGACAGCGTATTTTGTTCGGCAGCCTGTCCATTGGCGTTAGTACAAAAGACCGTCAAAAATACCGTCACACAGTGTCACCAACGGACCAAAGTGTAATTAACGCAAGAATCAGCTTTCTGCCAACTTCTTCACCATCTCCAGAGTTGTCGTCAAACAGCGCAAGAATCGATGTACTTTTCACGGTGATACATCTGAACGTGGGAACCGATCCTGTCATACGCAAGATATTCTTGTGTAAACAGCATTGTTACGTGAGTTTTTTTCCCCCCTACTTATTGCTGTTGTGTGACAAAGTTGAGACTTTCATGCATTAAGCGATTTGCTGTCAGGCCCTTCTCACTTAAGTCACGGCAATCAGTGTACGGCTTGAAGGACGACTCGCACTGATGAAAATCAGGGTTGTAGCTCATTTCATAACTTACTATGGTTGAATAGAGATCTCAGTTTTGTACAGGCAATCTAAAGCTGAAAGGTTATCGACTCAGGGAGACTGAAACTGTGAATATATTGGTGATTCCTGTCACAGATTGAGGAGTGTCTGTGGGATCTTGCAAAGTTTTCTAAGAATTTTTTTTAAGTTTCTCAGGATCTCAAGAATGTTTAGAAGAAGGAAAAAGTCCTTCGTATCCCTCAGGAGCCCTGTAAGATTATGAACTGTTTTTCCAACACTAATATTTAGTTTTCTTTAATAAAATGTTGTAGTTGTTTGATCACAGTACCTTCCGTTTTATGACAGTGCGGCTGTAATCGCTGAAATTTTAAAGTCTTCAACAGGACCCAAGTTGAAAATAACTGCAATGAAGCTTTAATACACTTTTACAGTCGAGTAGGCACAGCTGAAGCTATAAAATAGATTAAAACTTTATAACTGCTCACCTCACATAGTCTGAGATCTGCTGGATCCTGGAGGTCTTTGTTTTCACCAGCTGCAACGACAAACAGGGACATCTTATCTTAAACTTCTGCTTGCCATTCAAACATGCCTGCTGATCCCAGAGTGACTTTCTCACCGAGCTTACCATGAGGATTTCACTTGCATCCTGGATTTCGTCTTTCCAATAATACCTGTGAAACCACAGCAGATGAGAAATTAGGGCTCGGGAATCCTTAAAGTCCTTAACCCTTGTCAAAATATTCATTACAGGCTACAGTGATTCGCAGTGAGAGCATCTAACTGTCTCAAAGAGGCTTTAATAGCATTATGAGAAAAACGTTTTCTTTCACTGTAAATATAGAGATGTGGAAGTAGGGCTGGGCGATATGGCCTCAAATCAATATCACAATATATTAAGCAGTTCATCTTGATAACGATAAAACAACGATAACTACTCCATTATGAACTGGATGGGGTGGAGTCACGTCTCTGATGTAGGACAGCGTCTTAAAGGGACATGAGACCATAGCCTACCTACACACATCCAAAACAAACTTTTATTTATTTATTTATTTTGACACTGAAAATATTAACATGGGTGAGATGAAGTCCGTTGTTGTTGTAAATTTTGGTATCTGTAAATTTTTAGTTTATCGCCCAGCCCTACAGGCTACAGTGATTCGCAGTGAGAGCGTCTAACTGTCTCATAGAGGCTTTCATAGCATAATGAGAAAAACGTTTTCTTTTACTGTAAATATAGAAATGTGGAAGTAGGGCTGGGCGATATGGCCCAAAAATCAATATCACGATACATAAAGCAGTTCACCTCGACAACGATAAATCAATGATAACTACTCAGTGAGCCCAATTTACTGATTTCAGTATCAGTAAATTTTTAATTTATCGCCCAGCCCTACAGACTACAGCGACTCGCAGTGAAAGCGTCAAACTGTATCATAGAGGCTTTAATAGCATAATGAGAAAAACGTTTTCTTTTACTGTAAATACAGAGATGTGGAAGTAGGGCTGGGCGATATGGCCTCAAATCAATATCACGATATATTAAGCAGTTCACCTTGATAACAATTAAACAACGATAACTACTCCATTACAGACTGAATGGGGTGGAGTCACGTCTCTGATGTAGGACAACGTCTTAAAGGGACATGAGACCATAGCCTACCTACACACATCCAAAACCAACTTTTATTTATTTATTTAGACCCTAAATATATTGACATGGGCATGATGAAGTCTGTTGTTGTCGTCGTAAATTTTGGTATGAGTAAATTTTTGGTTTATCACCCAGCCCTATAGACTACAGTGATTCACAGAGAGGGCATCAAACTGTCTTACAGACGCTTTAATAGCATGATGAGAAAAAAACGTTTTCTTTCACTGTAAATATAGAGATGCGGAAAGCAGCAAAACACAAACTGAGAGCCCAGGTTTTAGCATCCGACACTAATATATGAGACTAAATAGGCCTGGACCTAACTGAAACACTCATTATGAATCTGCAACCCTCCCACCACCTCCATCAACACCCTCACCCCTTAACTGATCTGACCACATCCTCTATTTTGAGCGCAAACCTCTGTTTGGTAAACAGGTTTTAACACTGCCTCTTCTATTCAGCGCCTCCCCGTCCTCTAAACCCTGACTTTTTTTTCATTGCCTTTGTGGTTATGCATCAACAGGAAAGCTCACCCATGCATATAAACATATGGCCCCTTTCAATGGAAGCTGCCACTCCAGTTCTCATGATGGGAAAACTGATAAAAACATTCAAGGACTATCTGCTTTGTAGCAAAGATGCAAAAATAAAGTGTGTTTTTGTATTTTTTATAACTGAGTTGGTTTTGCGATAAAAAGCAAAGTTGACTTAAGGTAACGGGTAAAAATATGATTTACATTGTGGAGGTCCTGCAGAGAATGTTAACACTGGCTGCCAGCCGCCTCTCCATGATTGCCCTGGAAGAAAGCCGCAGCGGTGGGGAGCGTGGATGGAAACAGAGGGGGTAGACATGGAAAGAGAGGAAAGAAAAATTAAACACTTACAAGCCACCAGCTGTTTATCAATTACAGCGTGAAACTGAGCCCTTCATCGTGGTTTCTCCTCAGGCAGCCCAAGGAAAATACTTCCATGCTGTTCATTCAGAGAAGATGATAAACTTTGCTTTCTGCTTCTGCTCGCCTGATATTAAAGTTCATTACCAGCTCAGCTGTGCCCCCTCCTCTAGCCAGCGTCTCTGAAGGAGGTGATTTACATATCTGGCAGCCGAACTTTGGCTCCTTTTTTTGTTGGACACGAAGTTAATGGAGCTCATTCACATTCAGCGAGAATGCAAACAAAGTAGATGAGGGTGCAACGCCACCTTCTACTCTGTGAGTTTGACAAGATTGTAGCTTTGACTTTTGCAGGAGAGTGAAAGTTGTGCCTTTTTGACTGACTTTGAAGTGTTGGAATTACTTCATCGTATTTCAAAACTCATTGAATCTATATTATAGAAACTGACCGAATCAGTTTTTTAGGGGGGGGGAAACCCAGGTGCAGCTAAAAAAATGATAAAGTCAATTAAAAAAGTGAAACTTCCATTTATTTTAAGTGAAATATCTCTAATTTTTTTTTATTTTTAATGAGTGCTAATGATTGCGACGTACAGCTCACAAAATAAAGGATTTATAAAACGGAAATGTCGACCTCCTGGAAAATAATGTTTATAAACGCCCTCAGTGCTTAGCTCCTTTACTGGGGCCATGGAGACAATGGCCTGTAGGGACTCTGCTGGGGTGTTATGGAGTCCAGGTTGCTTTGAAAGCTCCTTCAGCTCATCTGTGTTGTTGCTCTGTTGTCTCTCATTATCTCTTCATGATACTCTAAAGATCCTCTTTGGGGTTCAGGTCTGAAGGCTGGTCAATCACACTCAGTAATACCATCTCTACAAAACAGGACTCTGGACCACTGAGCAGTAGTCTAGTTCTTTTCTTCTCAGTCCAGGTGAGACACTTATGATGACTCTTATTCAGATCACAACGTTTGTAGTCCATTTCCTGGACTCATCTGTGTTTAATGGCTCTTGATGGTCTGACTCCAGCCTCAGTCCACTCCTTGTGAACCGCCCCTAAGTTCTTGAATCTGTTTTGTTTGACCATCCTCTGGTGGTTGTGTGTACCGATCCAGAGAGAGTAAAGACTCAGTAAAGAGCTCTTTTAAGGACTAATATAACTGACAAGAAACAGGACTTTTCCACAATATTTCAATATTTTGAGATGGTGGATTTTATTTCCTTTGGTTGTATCATCAAGATTAAGACAAAAAAGTCTTGTTTCAATAATAACTTGTTTGGGAATTTCTCGTTTTATGGAGCTGCACCTGTATACTTGTTTGCTTTTTCCAGGAGTTGAATGAAGAGACTGATTGAAGGTTGTCACTCCCCAGAGTCGGCCCAAGGCATAAGCAAACTAAGCGCCTGCTTGGGGCCCCACGGCCAGTAGGGGGCCCCCAAAAGCAATAAAAAAATAATATTTTTTGCATGTATGAGTGATGCTTTCTGTATGATCAAATACACATTATTGTAAAAAATAAAATAAAATAAAAAACATTTATTGCTGCTGCTGATGTAAGCCTATGATTCTTATTGCCGATATATCAAAGCTCTGCTACCGTTATGTGCCTCCTGCTGTGCAATGTGCACTGAGCATCCTGAATGTTTTACATTTTCAGATTAAACACCATATGTGGCACCCTGAACATCAGTCATTCATTGGTATTATTTGTATGGTTGCATTGGTACTATTTATGTTATTACCTAGGCCACCCCCTTAATAATGTGAAGACCTGTTAGGCGCATTAAATGTATACTGTCGTAGGAGAGTAAATGATCAACGATCAATATTATTGGCAGAAATAGAGGGCCCTGAAATCAAATTTTGCTTAGGGCCCCATTGAGGCTTGGGCTCTGCCATTCCCATGTATGTAAAGTTATCACAAACTCATAGAGAAGTGGTTGGCCTAAATAACTTCCAGGCAATGTTTAGTACTTGGTTCTGATTGGTCAATACTCTAGTGAACAGCAAAGCAGTTCCACATCATAAAACTGTAAGTAAACTAAGTTGTATTCAGGCTATTTCTACACCAGCTGTTAACTCCTCACATGAGCCATGTCGACTACAAGCCTTAGATTTACCTGCCGATGTCCCTTGCTGCCTGTTCATTGGGACTGTTGATGAGAATGAGAGAGTGGTGGCCTGGTGCGTAACTCCCTGTTAACGCTGAGTGAAGCTGGACCCCAATGGACCTCAACCCGGGATACAAGGACACAGACAGGACCAGGAGCTGCAGGGGTTTGGAGTCAGTGCAGAAAAGGAGAAGAACATATTAAAAAGTTTAATTAACAAATCGAACCCCCACTTTTCTATGATGTTTGCATCTGTCATCATAAACCATTCACACATAGCTGTTTTGTATTAGTTTATGTCGCAATGAGGCAAAGTTGTAGCTCAATTTAATTATGTGCTGCCCTCTGAAAGGATTGCCATGTTTGGATTGGATTGGATTCAGTATTTATCCTCTTATTATTTGGCGCTGTCTGTCACAGATAAATGCGTATGGGCCTTGGCTTGAGCTCAGTGACCAATTTATAATCTGTCCTACTTTTCTGCACTGCACAGCATCACTGCCAGACATAGATGCACGTAAATCCAGCACAAATATGCAACAAAAAAGTGCCAAAAAACAACATTGGGGGGCATTTCAGCCTCATAAACCGCCTTATGTGCGAGACTTTTCCGAGTGTTTGGGGTAAGAAGTGATAATACAAGTCCATAAAAATCACACTGGCTCTTACCAAACATAAAATGAGCAGAAACGTCCGAATGACTGAGTGGCAGGCAGCCTCTTTATGGCATCGCTGGAGCAGCCACTCCATCCTGCTAGTGGCAACAAATGTCATCCCAAAGTCCGGCTCGTGCAGATAATAAGAGGGCCAAACTGTGCTCAACTTCGTTCATAAAACCGCTCAAGCTTTGTCCGCTAAGGTAATTAGTGTTCCGTCATTTTTACAGCCACTTCAGCCGTGAAGGAGCAGCTGCTGTGAGGGAGAAACCCACTCTGGAAAGTCGTAACTCTCTAAACAGGAGTGTCGACAGGTATCGCAGGTCGGCGAGTAAAAGGAAAAAGGTATATCCATTGGTCGCTCGCGCTTCCTGACACGCGCACGTCCAGTGAAATCGGCGGTTCACCTCAGCTGCCCCGCCCAGCGGCCCGTGCGAGGCGTAATCGGCTTTGATGTCTTTACAGTACAAACACGGAGCCGCTCAGTCTCACAGCGTGTCCGTGACAAAGCAACATTAGACAGTGTATCCACGGCATCAAAGGAGGAAAACTGTTTTTAAAAAGATGCTCCTCAGGTGGTGGAACATTAAATCCCCACACAGAATTGATTAAACGAGGCCTCTCATACGGAAATGTAATAAATACACCTTTATTGCATACCCATGTAGGAAATATATGTAGGGGAGAGTGGGGTAAGATGAGCCATTTTTCATATTTCGGATCACTACATCAAGGCAATCATAGTTTGGTCTCTAACTAGTGTATCCGCACATATTTCAAGATGTTGCTCATCCCTGCAAACCAACAGAATAAGTGTAAACATAACTGTCTTGATAATATAGCATGCCAAAAAAGTGGTCTCCTATGGTTAACTTAACCCGTACACGGGGTAAGTTGACCATAGGAGCGGGTTAAGTTGAGCAGTATCCCCACTACCCCTCCACTCTCCACCCCAGCCCTCCCTCACCTTCTCTCTCCCTTAATAACAAATAGGAGCACCAAAATAGCTCAGTAAAAGATGATCGCTAAAACATTTAAACAGAGCTAATGATATAAAGTTTAGTCAAAAGTAAGACTAAAAAGGTTTGTTTTCAGTTTGCTTTTAAAATCATTAAGATTAGGTGCAGTCCTCATGTCTTCACGCAAGCTGAAGATATCACAATTGATGTATAAAACAAATTCAAAATTATGTTTTTTGGTCTGAACACAATTCTATAAAAACTTATGACAGACTAAATTCACTTTCAAGAGTGAAAAATGTATTTTTTGAAATAAATGTTTAACCCCTTCACCCATGTGCGTCTAACCTTCACAGACTACATGAATTGATGCCCATCTTCTGAATATTTTGTCATATGATCAATTTCTTATAACATTTCCAAGCAACAGGAGGTGGCTTAACTAACCCTTTGACTCAACTTACCCTACTATCCCTTACATTAAAGATTAAAATATGCATGTACACGGCATAGTTTGAACTCCAATGATTTACTATAATTCACAACATCATAACCAATTACAACACAACACAGAAGTCAGCCATTTACACTTGTTGTGGTACTTTAAGGTTATTTATAAGGTAATTTCAGGAGTACTGAGACAGTCTATGCAGTAGTACAATGTGATCGATCACAAAATAATAGCCAACATATTTTTCTGAATCCCTTAGGCTGTCTTCTTTCTTGATGTGAAGACACTGAATGTTTATAATAGTCTTCAAAATGTGGCTTTTCTTTACTCTCATGATACATTTCTAAGAATATGTGAAAGAGAAAAAAACAATATCTTTTTTCTCAGCTCAAACATGTATTTCAAACTTTTATAGGCTCATATTTAAAGGTGAATAACAGGCGACTGTAGTTGCCTGTAGAAATAAAGTACATACTTGTCATCGCACCTTGAGCTCTGACCCTCTTGCTCACACAGTTGTTATAGTTTGTAGCTCAGTGTTTTTGGCCATCTATCTTTGCTGTCTTGGCTACTTGTGATGTGGTATGCACAGATTGCAGTCAAAATTTACAGTCTTGTTCTGGCTTGTGTTGCGTTTGACATACATGTACGAGGACACACTAAATCTTTTCTGGCACACTCAATATGGAGTTTGTTGGAATGCAGCCCAACATCCTCTGTAGAAGAACAGAGCTGATTCTGAGGTGACAAAAACACAACAATTTACACATTCAGATGATTACTGCCAAAAACAAATGAAAACCTAGTATTTTATTTGCTTTCATTTGTGTCAGGCGCTCTGCAAGTGACCAGTTACTCACAAAGCTGACTTTAAAACACCTTTTAGTTGAGTTGATTGCATTTATGGACCCCCTTAACAACTCAAAAACCTACACAACATTGTTTTATTACCGTAGATGTTAACAAATAGTCGACTGAATGCCGTGAGGCTTATAACTGGCACTAAACTGACCAGTCCGTCAAACAAGTTATTGGTAATTTTAGTATGGCGGATCCAAAATGCCAATCATGTGATGGTTCCAGGTAGAAACACAACCAGTTGTTGGTGCTGTAGCTCCAATTAATGGTCACAGCCATAATGCTGTGCTTTGATACCAGGATGTAATCAAGACCAGGTGGCAGATGGCAGATTGCATCTTGGGCATCTGATGCCATGGCGGTTTGGCGTTATTTTGGTACTACCAATGTCTGGCTAAACCAGGACATAAGCAAGTATCCAGAGCGTTATGTAAACATCATGTGGATCTACCAGGTGGATGGTGGTGTTAGCTCTGCAAGGGTTAGCTACACTTTACAAACCGGCTTTGATACTGTACATGGAATTAAAAAAATGGAGTAAATCACTCATGAAGATCACTATTTGTGGCCATGTTGGTTGCATTTGGTTGTTTGCATTGGAAGTTTCCCAAAAATTTGATCCAAAAAATCATCATAGCACAGGACTGAATTAAAAAAATCTGAAATAGGCTAATTGTCTTTCTTCTGCTCAGCCTTACAGCTTTTCTGGAACTTTGTGTTGACATATTAGACTTTGTAGAAAAAAAATCGCCACAGGATAAATGCTCTCACAGAACGGCTCAATAGGGACCAAAGGCCTCTTTAGTCACTGCAGTGAGCTGTAAACTGAAAAGACTTAAAGCCAATGCCCAGATGTTAAAGATACCCTTTCACATTTAAGGAACACTGGTTACAGACTTAATAGAGCTGCGATTAGTCTTTTAGGAGGCGAGAAAGAGGGAGTTAGCTTTTAGTGGCGTTTAATAATTAACAGCGCAGCACCTGGACAAGATAGATGTTTGTTGTTTTCAGACTGAAAGTGCTAATTATTCTGTACAAGGAGGGAAACAACCAAACACAGAAACAAACAAATGCAGAGCCAAAAAAAAAGATCCAGCATCCTCTTCTTTCAGTGGAAAAAATAGTTTCTTTACAGACCTTTACTGTCAGTGAAAAAAAAGGCCAATCACTTGTGTGTGCACATGGCTGCCACACGCAGAGACTGCAGCAACTTGGCCTTTTAGATAAGCTAAACAGAAAAGTCAGAGGCCCTGCTAGGCTGCATGTGAATGAAGCAGATACAAACAGGAATATTAAAGAAAGATGAATAATTCAGAGCAGGGGAACAAACTGAACTGTTACATTCTGTCTGCTCTTTCATTGGAGTGAATCAAGTGAAGTATAATAGGAAACTGGACAGATTACGGTACAAACACTTGACGTCAGTTTTGCAGCTATTTTTGTCAGCTGCACCGTCATAAGTTGGAGCATTAGGGCTTCAATGTCATGTCAAGTCAAGTCAAAATCATCATTTGGCCAAAAGGGTTTCACAGTCTGTTCAGTGAGCAACATTTTGTGTCCTTGAAAACTCTCATTTTCTTTCAGAGACAACTCCAACTTAATTTAAAAACAATTTCAGAGAGGAATTAGAGAAACAAACAGCAACATCAGAGGAAGCCCTCTCCAGGAAGGACATGCAAAAGATAAACCAAATAGAAAACACGATTAAAAAACAACAACATACATTAAAGAAAAAGGATGTAAAAAGGAGAACAGGATGGAGAAGAAAATGCATCTATAAAAATTCAATTAAAGAAAGGCAGGTGATTGAAAAAATTATAAAGTAAAAAATAGTTAAAACAAAGGAAAAAAGAAAAACCAAGGTAAAACAGAAAAAGATAGAAAAAAGGTGAATGAAGGGAAAGAGAGCAAGAATAAACAAAGAAAGAAATGAAAGATGAAAGAAGGAGGAATAGAAGGAAGAAAGGAAGGAAGGCAGAATGAATGGATGGAATGATGTCATGGATGGATGGATGGATGGATGGATGGATGAAAGAAAGAAAGAAAGAAAGAAAGAAAGAAAGAAAGAAAGAAAGAAAGAAAGAAAGAAAGAAAGAAAGAAAGAAAGGAAAAAGGAAATAAAAGGGAAGAGAATAGAAAGAAAAGGACAAAAAGATAGATAAACAGTGTGACAGAGAAAAAGAAAAAAGAAAGAAAAAAATGAGGAGATAACATTTAGCATTTAATATTATGCATCAAAAAATTAAAATAAAGAAAAAGTCATGAAAAAAGAAAGAAAGAAAGAAAGAAAGAAAGAAATGGGAAGAGAATAGAAAGAAAAGGACAAAAAGATAGATAAACAGTGTGACAGAGAAAAAGAAAAAAGAAAGAAAAAAATGAGGAGATAACATTTAGCATTTAATATTATGCATCAAAAAATTAAAATAAAGAAAAAGTCATGAAAAAAGAAAGAAAGAAAGAAAGAAAGAAATGGGAAGAGAATAGAAAGAAAAGGACAAAAAGATAGATAAACAGTGTGACAGAGAAAAGAGAAAAAAGAAAGAAAAAAATGAGGAGATAACATTTGGCATTTAATATTATGCATCAAAAAATTAAAATAAAGGAAAAGTCATGAAAAAAGAAAGAAAGAAAGAAAGAAAGAAATGGGAAGAGAATAGAAAGAAAAAGGACAAAAAGATGAATTGACAGATATTCAAAGATATTCAAAAGAAACTGAGACAGAGAAAAAAGAAAAAAGAAAGAAAAAAAGATGCGTAAATCAAGGAAAAAAACACTAAGAAGATAACATTTTGCATTTCATATACTTTATCAAAAATGAAAAGTCCCAGGAAAGAAAGAAAGAAAGAAAGAAAGAAAGTAAGAAAAGTCTTTCGGTCTTGGTTGATTCATTAAAGTCAGTTTACAAAAACAAGTGTCATTCAAGCTTTGGATTTGTAAAGGTTGTCTTAAGCAGACTGTCCACATGGGGGTGCTGTGGTGCTGTACATGTTCTCCTCCATCCTCCTCTCTCAGTTCTGAATACATTAAATGTGGAGTGTTCATTTTGCATGTAGCAACTCTCATCGACTGAAATGAAATGTAAATGCTCCAACAAAGCAAGTTGCATGACTCATCCCATTCCCCCTTTTTTCTTGACCTCTTCCCTGCCAGCCTTGTGTACTTTATTTTCCTCCTCCTCCTCCCTTTTTCCCCCTCCTCCTCCTCCTACTCCACCTCCTCCCTCTCCCCCTCCTCCATCAGACGCATCACAGATCAGAGGGTGATCAGCAGGGGGCGCCACAGTCGTCACAGCCTCAGAACAAACCAATTTATCTCCCAAGCTCACCCAGGCTTCATTTGAGAGCCCATCAGAGAGCTCCAATAGAGCCACTTAAGCCACTATTCCCCAACATGAAAGAAGGAAACCAAAATAGAGATAGGAAGCAAGGCGAGGAGCCGGAGGAGAGGCGTTTGATCTGCTTGTTCTGGGGCATCACTCAGAGGAGTTTGCTTCCCCTAAGGACTACTGAGGCCTGTTTGTCCCTTAGAAGTCTAATGTGCAAAATAGGATAATATTTATTTCTGTCTGTACTTCTCGACTGTTTGTGTATAATGAGGCCAGAAGGTCTGCAAGTGAGAGCAGGGGGGGAGAAAATGAGAGATGAAGGCAGGGAAGGTTTTAAAGATGTCTTGGCAAGAAGTGCCTGGCCTAATTCGGCATTAAACTGCAATTGTCTCTCGGTGGGATCGATGAAGTTGCCTCGCTGTGGAATAAAACAAGTTCTAACAAGGGGGATAAGAAAGATGAATGAATAAAGGCAGAAAACGAGGAGTGAGGGATGGAGAGGTTACAGAAAATCAAAGCTCCTCAGGAGAAGTTTGATTTCGAAGTTTGGTACCGCCTCTCAGCAGTTTTCTCTAATCCAGAGTCATGAAATATGCTAACCTAGTCAGCACCTCAGATTAAGAAGGTTTAGCTAGCCCTGCAGCATCGTGTCTGGATACTGTCCAGCAGATTATTGCTTTAACATAGCATTAGAGTTAGTTACAGTTATGTAGCGTGTATAGGGGTTCACTGACTCTAGGTCTAGTTGCCAAAGTACGACTGTCTCTACTCTCCAAATAAGACATGGGCATGCCTTTACTTAATTTTCTAACAGTAATAAAATTTATAATTTATCATCAGCCCCGTGACTGAAACTAATTTGGAGAAAACTACTTTTTTTTTTTTCCTGCTTTTATTTTGGTAGTCTTTCTATCTCAAACTATGCTTTTATTTTAACAACAACAACAACAACAACAATAATGATAATGGTAATGATAATAAGTGTATATACACGTATATATTTTAATATATTAATAATATTATATTATTTTATTTTGAAGGACACAACTTCGGGTAGATCGTAAGTTACAGAACTGAATGAAAAAACAATTAAAACAAAGGTTAGAAAGTTGTAATGCCTACTTGATCAGTAACCTGAAGAGGCATAAGCTATGGAAAAAAAAATCTTTAACTTTAGTTTCCAAAAGTGCCGAATCGTCCTTAAGAAGACTGCTGCAGCTAGCTTGTTAGCAGTTCACTACCTCTTCTTCGTCTGACCTCTGTTTTATGACATGCAGCAACAATCCTACTTTGTTTTGTTGATACTTTTCTCTATTCTGCCAGTATGGGAGTCATCTTTTTACTGTCTTTCCTCTTTTTTTTTCTTATTTTAAAGTAAGTGAGGCCTTTTTATTTCCCGCTTTTGCTCAGCAACATGAGCAGCACCTTAAATCATTAAGTTCCTACTGTTTGATGTGGATGTGACATTTGGTATTTGGAAAATGGTTTGAAACACTCCCACTGGTCAAACTAACTGGTCTAAAGAGGTTATTAGGGGTCAAACATGCCCCTTAGAGCAACAGTTGGTGGTGATTGGTTAGAAATAAAACAAGAGTCTGTATTTTAGGACTTTATTTGCGTCAAAAACCTAACCTGAATAAAGATATCAGAGTAGAGGACTACATTTGGAGCTCATTGGTAAATGAAAAGAAAAACCTTCAAGCATTTTTCTGAGTTTTTCTCTCTGCTGCATTGACTGGCTGATTTCTTATTTTCTCCCACCACAGTGCAAAATAGTATTAAGTGCTGAGTAAGTCAGTGTTTGTTATAGACTACTTTTTATAATACACTGCGGCCTACTTTCTGTAAACTTTACAAACTATGTTTCCTACTACAAAATGGCTTGCTCTATGTTTTGTTCACTGTGTAGCAGATGGCAGCAGAGCCTTAGCCGGGCTGTTCAAAGGATTTCAACTGGATAAGAATCGTTTGATGAAAATCCTACAGAGGAAGAAGAAAAAGAAGAAAGACATTAATTTCCAAGGAGTAAATCAGTATTTTCACTCTGGTAAAGAAAAGATATATGCAAAAACTCGCTCAAAAATGAACCTGTATGAGTGAAAAGGAGGGAAAGAGATATGTAAGTGATGATAAAAAACAGCTCATTACTTAAAATGAGGTGGGTTGTTGTTTTTAATGCCCATGAAAGAAATCGTGTTTTCAGTGGCCCTTAAAATCAAATGGTCACATTCAAATGGAATGGTTTTTAATTCATTTCACTCTTTGAAGTGCCAAGCTGGCAGTTTGGAAAAGCCAAACAAAAAGAACAAGCTGGCTGGAGAAGGCTGGTCTGATCCAGTACACTGTCTGAGAGGTTTGGCGTTGGCCCACCTGAGAATTGAACACACATTTTTCAGATTTACCAACAGCTTAAATAGTTTCAGGGATGACCGAGTAAATAACCGACTGATTTGAAGGTTTCAGAATGACAATGTTGTTTTTTAGTGTGTGTATAATTATTCATTACACTTCAATTAAGGACTTCTTTTTAGAAAGTCTGGCAAAAAGTAGTTTAAAAAATCAAAGTCACGTTCAAAAGCAGCTGATAGTTTGGTATTTAAGCAACATAAATAATCTGTAGTGTACTGGTTAGTAGATCAGATGGGCTAATATTTGTATCGTCATTTGCCTAAAAAAAACTCATATATCTGCCTTGGTTGATGGGTACCTCGTCCTGCTTTGCCACTTGGCTTCAGTTACCCTGTCTGTTAATATTTCATAAGTAAGGGGGATCCAAGAAGGGCGGACGCAGTGAAACCAGCTCCTGTTCATAATCCTTCTTTTTGCACCAGACCTGCACTAATTCACCACAGAAACAACTACATTTACCTCCTACAACTAAACTAACAACTGGAAATGCCACAGACAAAAGCTGATGTAGGGGCGAGGGAAGAAAAAGGTGGAAAACCCCTTTCATCAACAACACCTGCAGCTAGCGTAGCTGGGCTTGCTAGCGTAGCTGGGCTTGCTAGCGTTAGCTTGCTAGCGTTAGCTTGGCCAAAGTCAACGCCGACAAGCTGCCGACTCATGAAGAATTAGAAAAAGGGTTTGACAAAATTTAGGCCCTGCTGGACCAAAAGCTGAACTCTTTGGCCGTCTCAGTGGGAACACTCGTGAGTGACAACCGTGCACTAGGACAACGTGTTAAAGAGATTGAAGGCAAGCAGGCCAACCACACTAAAAGTCTCGACTTCCTGCACAATGCCCTCAGAGATTATAAAAAGGAGAAATTAGTGACCTCAAAGATAAACTTGATGACCTGTAAAACAGAGCCAGAAGGCAGAATCTGCGACTAGTTGGCTTCCCAGAGAGTGTAGAGGGGAGTGATATTTTATGAGCACTGTAGTAGTGAGTGACAGCAGGCCTCAGCCATGATGCCATCACCTTCCGAGTGTCTACACTCACCTGGAGAAGCCAGGGAGAACTATGAGGGTCACACTTTTTGACTTCTCCAGTGATTGTGGCTCTACTGAGGGAGTAGAGCAGAGTTCTGCCACCTTCAGAGGTTCTCTGATGACTCTGCAGTAGTTGGATGCATCAGGAAGGGTGATGGGGCTGAATACAGGACTATGGTGGTTAAAGTCAAATGGTGTGAGCAGAACCATCTCCAGCTCAACGTGTTGAAGACCAAAGTACACCAAAACACCTGGATAACAAACTGGACCCACCCAAGAACACTGAAGATGTTTTCAAGAAGGACTTTCGCCATCTCTACCTCCACAAAAAGTTGAGGTGTACTGTGGCAGCAGACTGAGGGTGGCAGATGCCAACAGACTCAACAAACTTATCCTCCAGAGTGGTGACACTGTGGGGGTAGAGCCGGACTCTCTGACAGTGGTGACAGAGAGGAGGATGCTGTCAAAGCTACAAAGTAATCTTGGACAGCATCCACCACCTACTGCACAATGTGCTGGTTAGACAGAGGACCACATTCAGTACTAGACTCATTCCCCTAAATGTGCCACAGAGCACCACAGGAAGTTATTCTTGCCAGTGGCCATCAAACTTTATAACTGTCTCTGGACTTCAACTATAAGATTTAACTGTGTAATCTGTTTGAAAACTGGTCCAAACTTTAATAATCTCAGAGTGCATACTAATAATAATACACAGCGAGACAATCCCACCTTTTCCCAAGTTGCACATGGACAAAACAAACCCTGTCTCTCATGTGGGTAAATGTGGTAAACCTGCATCTTCAGCCAGTGACAGAGCCAGGCTTTTTTGACTGGGGTGGCCAAACCCCACAGTCTTTTGTAGAGGTGGCCAGGCATGGTAAATATTAGGAGCTTTCCCCAAACCTGGAAGGGCTAACCCCACCAGTCCCGCCTTTTTGATACAACAGAATCCAAAATAATTTGATATTCAATTTAATTTTGGATTTTAAAAGGGGACTCAATGGAGAAGCAAAAGTTAAATCTAATTAAATTATCCATTGAGAACTCAGAAAGGAGATGTATATCCAAGGTCACCTTTTAAAACTTCTGAGAAAAAAAGTTACCAATGCACTGTAGCTTTCCAGAATTTCAAGAGCAAAATATTAACCTTTATAGCAGATACTTCAATGTGAAGGTTTTGCTTTGTTTATTTTATATTAAGCTCCAGCAGAATGGTCCTGACTGGTCTTATCCCAATAATACTGAAATGATTTAAGCGACACAGACCAGAGGTTTGATCCTGATGAAAACAAATATTTGATTTCTCGATCTTATCAAATCTTAATGTTTTCAAGAACTGATCCAACTGATAGCTTTAATCTGATCATTACTTTTGAACACTGGGCTTGGAGTTTCAATATATAAGTTATCTTTTAAAGGAAGGCAACCTACATCAGTAATGTGATATATACATGTATATTTATATGACCAAAAATCAAACCAACTGGAACTAATTTCTAATGCTAACAGATGTTGAACACACATTAATGTAAACTTTTTTAAAACTCATTTTTTGACATTATAAAATACACCGAAATTCATATTGTATTTAAAGGCAAAGAAGACCATCAGCGACTAGACTGACTGTTTGTTCATTGTCTTTTTAATGCCTGAAACTGGTGCAAGAGGTTAGGTGTAAGGTGAACATCTGAAGAAACAGCCCCTTTTCACTATTTCAAGTAAAAAGACATCACTGAAGCATTAAGAGGATAAAAGAGCAAAGATTGCTTTGTCTACAGGGGGCGCCAAAGGTGATACAAACCAAAAATTCGCAGAAATATCAAGCACATGTTAAATCATTGTGTCTCCCATGGAGGTTCAAATCTAAACTATGGTCCCCTACCTTAAGTTTCCTACTCTTGACAGTCCCCCACCATTTCAATAAGTGTGTAAAAGGACCCCCTCACAAAGTAAAGCTTCATCTCCTTGATTTAAAATAGCTAACTAGACTGCAAATTTCAAATGGTACTTCAAATTTGTCCCGAGTGAGTCCTGAGCCTACACAAGTACTTAGGTGGTCCTATTTTAAAGCATGGGGTCACGGACTGAGCAAGCGTATTTAAAGAAGTAGGAGTGAGAGAACATGTTGCTCCCTGTGTGGCGTCACTGCTCTGAATATGAGGTAGAGGGTGTAAGGACAGACGCCGTGCACACCACTAGATCCGCAGAGGTCAGATAAGTCCTAATGAAGGAACTCTACAGCCTGTGATTACCTCTGAAGGAAGAGCCGGGCCCTCCCAAAGAGGTTAATTAAAAAAGTCACAGGGGCCGAGCAGGGAAGTATCTCCATCACAGCTGTGAACCTCGGTGACCCCTTCATCCTCTAGGATGGACATCGCCATCCATCATGGATGATTCCTGGGCTTTCTGGCTTTTTGCAGGAGCCGCTGAAATCCCTGAGTGACTGAAAACACCGAAGTGTATGTTGCAGAGCCCCAACTCTGACAAGCAGGGAGAAAAAAAAATACACCACCACCGAGACGTCCCTCAGGTAATGAAACCTCCCCGTTCTCTAGGATCAGACAAACACCATATCTTGTCATCTTCCCTCCATTCTCTTCCTCGATCTTCCTCTTTTTATGCCCTCTATGTCACAACCGCCGGAGCTCACAAGGCCATTTATCAGAATACCGAGCTGTCTGTCTTGTTGTTTACTTCCCCTCTTCTCTCAGGGAAAGAAAGATTGAGAAAAAAAACCAGAGTATTTATGTTTGTTTAGCCACATAAGCTCACATTTCATATCCAGAACCACGGGGAAGCATTTAAGCTCAATGCTCGCCGCGAGGAAAAAGCAGAGTATGGGGGCATTACCTTTCTGGAACACAGCATGAAAGAATCAGCCATCATCAATGAAAAAATCCCCCCAGCTATCCCCGCTGAGAGGAAAGATTTGTCATCCCTATTTCTGCAGTTCTAGGAGACGAGGACAAAGGTGTGATAGCGTGCGAAGCGGAGAGACACAGCTAGGACAGAGAAGAGGAAAGACAAAGAGGGAAAATGGAGCGCTTTGGCTGATTGGGTTTGAGAGACGACAGAGAGCCTGGAGCGGTCTTACAGGGAAAAAAAGTTAAACATTTTCATAAATCTGTTCTCATGGAGTTCACCTGCAGCGGCAGGAGGCTTAAATCACGTCAAGCTTGAGTGGCTGAGAGGGAGGAAGCCGATCCCTGAAAACGAAAGTGGCGGTGGGGGGGCTGCTACCACCTCCGACTCAGAGAAAAACCCTTGTGTGTCCTCATTACACCTTCCCCACCGAAAAACCGTCGGCAGCTGAACCATTCCTGGTGCTGACGCAGGTAGAATGAGCTCATTCTCCCCTCCCATTCACGAGATGAGTGCTCCAAAATTCAGAGAGGGGAGACGCATAATAAGTTCAGACTCTGAGTTAGAGTGCCTGCAGGCAATAAAGAGGTGGATGAACAGTGAAGACTTGACGGAAGAAGAGTGCGTGCATGTTTTTGAAAGAGGCTTAGATTTTTTTTTAAAATGACAGAAACACAGCTTTTACCTGCACGATTTCTTCACTTAGACTCAACAAATCCTCTCAAATGTATTTATTCTCCACAGGTATGTCATGATTGAAAGTTTTACATTTCAGATAATCATTCAGAGTGTACCTGCCTGCAAGTCTTAAAAGGATGAAAGCCGATCCATACATCTGGGTTCATGGTTGGGTTGATATTACACTCATACAGTATGCATGCAAGGATGCGGCTCACGCCTAATGCATAAAAATGCATTTACAAAGAGGATTCAAATAATGCATATAAATAGATGGGAGAAAAACAAACCTCTAAAGGGTCTGTCTGCAGAGGCAAGGTCATTTCGTAAAAGATGGCGGTGGAAAATATAAATATTTTCATTAACATGCTGTCCATGCGGATCAAACTTCGGGCTGTGCGTTAAGTTAGGGTGTGTTCCTCACTATGTGTGTGTGTGTGTCACCCTCAGACACTCAACCATCAGACAGTGGCATTATGGAAATGCAGAATCACCATGAAAAGGCCAGCCAGAGGCATGCTCAGGGCAAAATAGTATGTACAGCACCTAATCGGCAAACCAGCCAGCCAGCTCGCTGCTGTTTACCTTCCCTGAGTCACCCCTAAAACCTGCAACCTCTTCATTTAATCACCTCTCCTCCCTCTAAAAGTCACAAAGGGGAACTTTTCAATAGTTCAAGGACAGATGGAGGAGCCAAACACCAGGAAATGATCATAGGACAACACACTGACATACTTAGCTTTGTCCTTCGAGTATTCACCAGCATTACAAACTCAGTCTTGAATGTAAAATTTCCCTTATGTATGGCATGTTTATAGGTCAACTACTTCTCCATGTATAAACATTTTTGTCAATAGATAACCAGAAAAAACAAAGAATGGACATTTTTTGTTCATCTTCAGCTGGATACATGATGGAAGTGGGTTTTAATAATAAATAATAATAATAATACATTTTATTTGAAGTGCCTTTCATGTCACTCAAGGACACTTTACAGAACATAAAAAACAATAATAAAACACTATTAACAATTAAAGTCATCAATCATCAAAACAGTTAAAATCAACAAAGCAACATTAAAACATTCAACAGCAAAGGAATAAATAAAGAAATAAATAATACCGATTAAAATTAAATTAAAAAAGTGAGTCAGGGGTGGTGGGATGGATAGGCCAGTTTAAACAGGTGTGTCTTGAGTTTGGACTTGAAGAGGGTGAGTCTATGTTGTGGATGTGTGATGGTAAAGAGTTCCAGAGTCGGGGGGCAGAGCGACTGAAAGCTCTGACTCCCATGGTGGTTATGATTTGGAGTTGATGGTGGCCTGCCAAAATAAATTTATTAAAGACCCACTCAGATAAAAATCATTTTTTTCTTGTTGTCTACATGTTCATATGGCATTTTTCTGATGCTTCAGGATATAACGTGAAGAAAAAAAACAAGTGCAACTTTGCATTTCTGAGTATTTCTGCGTTCAAATTGCTGTGAATCTCTGGCAGAGCCAAATGGCAGGTTCAGATACAGTGAGATTTCCTTTGTCACAAATCCAAGCCCCACCCCCCGAGCCCCGCTATGCAGGACTAAATCTGAAAAGTAGAAAACATGGTCGTGGTACAAGCGTATGCGTTAGCGGATTGCAATGCTCATAAAAAAAGCTAATTATGATATTAACTTTCATCGTGACCCCAAAAGACATTAGTGTCTGAGAGCTCCATAGTTTCCATGTACCTGCCACTTCTACTACACCGACAATGTTAGGCTGCAAGCTAGCATGAAGAGGAGTGTGCAGAGCAGTGCTGTCTCTGCAAACGACTCAGAGGCGAATTGCTAATGAGCTACTGGAGCTCTGCAGGAGAAAAGCTCTTAAAAATGACACAGGTAAAGTGATTACGGCTAAAAAAACCCTTCTTAATCAAGACTTAAAGACCACTGAGAACTCTTGTAGTAGTAAACAAATCGACCGGAGAGGGACAATTTTTCATCGATCTATTTTGTCAGAATAGGATAGCCGTTTATAATCATAATCATTAAAGCACAGTAATTTTTTGGACATCTTTAGTGAGATAAATGGTGCCAGTTCATGATAGGTGTGCAGCCCACTAAGGTAAATTGGCCAACTACTTTTCCTTCATCATATATTTATAGTTTATTTTGTGTCCTTTCAAAATGAAACAGTTTCTCTTTCAGAACAGTTAACTAAGTAACAGGCATAAGGCTGTAAAAAGAAAAAATAACGTGTTAGATGACAGTCTTTTATTTTAGGGTTCAACACTGATTGGGTTTGACCTTTCTTCATCAAGAGTGTGATATTGTGAGGTACATCCCTACTTAGTTTGAAATCAGTACCTGAGAGGCTGCGAGCTGAGCTGCCACGTTACTGTTGAGCTCTTTCATTCAGTCTTTTCATTTATTTTGTAGAAACTCATAACACCAGGGCTTGTGCTTGTATTTTATTATAGTTTGGAACGATGTCTTTCGTTTTTTAGCTTGCCAGTTGTTAGCTTGTTGATTGTGCTCATTCTGTCCTTTGGCGTTTCAGACTTCTGCTCCCCTCCCTGCTCTCCTCTCTCCACCTGTGGCTGCCTGATAGTTTCTACCACTGTTGCAAGCATCCACCATTAATCTTAAAAGGAGCCACGGCTTACCTCTGCTTCTGAAGTTTAGATAGGCAGGGAAAAACTGTGTTTTTTAATCACATGGGACCTAAAGTCAATACTCAGGATGAAGAGGCTTTGAAAACATCATGAGAAGTTGGTGCTCCTTTTTACCGAGCCGAATCAGAGAGGAGAGGAACCGTGAATTATTAAATTTTTTGCGACTGCTTCTGTTTTGTTTTGAGTACATTGGTGTGTCTATAGTTGGTTCAAATGCAACCCTTGAAAAAGAAAAGTGCTTGAAGGAATATCATTCCTCCTGGTTGTCGGTTTCTTTCAGGAAGTTCCTAGAGCCTTTAGGTACAAAAAATAAAAACGAATCCATCCAGTTCCCTATCTTGGTTTTTCTGCCTATTTCCACCCTCTTTGTTGTGTATGAGCTCTCCTGCTGTTCAAATTCCTTCTCACCTGCTCCGTGTTCACGGCCCAGCTCCCTGGATTCCCCACAATCTTTCTTCCTCCATCTGGACGCCTGAATGTAGCATACACTTGGCTCTTTCCATTCATTCCTAGCTAGATTGTCTATTGTGCTGCAGCCTCGGCGGTGCAGCCATTTTCTCTGCCTGCCCGAGTTTTGCCTGCGATGACCTCCTGCCTGCCTTTTGTGCTCCGGCTCTCCTTCCTGATCCCCTTCAGATAACTTTTTCTCTTCTCCTCTGCTCTTCTTATTTCAACTTTTTGTCCGTTTCCCACCTCAGGTAAACTTTTTTATCTTATTGGCCTGGTTGTTGTGCCCTTGTGTGCCATACTGTTCACACTGAGCCTTTTGCACCTCACCCCCTCTGGTGTACAAGAACAGCAGCTTCTTCCCCGTGTTAATTGTTTTCCACCTGAGCCCCCTCTCAGCTCGTCTTATTATTCAGACCTTCACTTGCCGGCCAGCTGATAACCTCCAACTGCTGTGAGCAATTAACAAGAGTTCAGCTACTGTAGAGAGAGAGGGTGAGAGAAAGTGGGGAAGGTCAGGACGGAAAAGACGACAAAGAGTATGGGAGATAGATTGAGAGAGAGAGGACCTTTTTTATGGTCATTCAAAGGGAAATCAATGCTAATGAATGGGTTGGTCCATGCAAGGCAGCGATAAGGAAATGACCAGCTTAAAAGGATGCTGCAAGGCTGTATGTGTGTGTGTGTCTTAGCAGAAACTGATAAGGATGTTTGCTACCGAGAAGGAACAACCCAATCTGCAAGGTACAGCAGGCACAGGTGTCCCGAGCCATTAGGAAGTGGTCTGAACTAAAGATCAGGTCAATATCTTGGGGTGTCGTATTGATTTCACTTCTGGTTTGCAGTGGTTCAGAAAAACCAGCCGATAGAGATGAATACCCGGACAGCCCCTAATCAAAACTGGCATTGTGAAAACGTCTCCTTTTGGTGATAAAACGCCTCGAGGAGAGAAAGTGTGGCGCAACTGATGGTGCAAAAATAAGCAGCTGTAGCAGCCAAAATTGGAGCAAGTTGGAAGTGTTTTTTTGTTTCACAACATGATTCTCACATCTGAGCGAGTGTGAGCAAAGCACAGCCACCATGGATTGATTTTCTGGTTAGGAAAAAAAAGTGAAAAGGACATTTCTATTCCCGAAAGAGCTCTTGATCATTTCTTCTCATGTCAACCCAAAATGTGAATATCCCTCCAGATGGAGCACCTAAACAAAACACAACTTTCTTGCTGTCATTGGACACTCTAAAAAAAAGAGGCATGACAGGAAGTTTCTCTCTCAAACTCGGCAAAGTATAAGAGTTTGTGCCAATAATTTACTTTCTTTCACAGAAAGGTTAAGATCTCCAACGACTAAGTTTGTTTTCTTTCATTTTGAACAAGTTTTCATCAAATTATCTTGTGAGAAAAAGTTCTTAACTCACGCACAATGGATAATACATTAGTTCCAACAAGATAGTACAAAGTTCTGCTCACAATGTGATTATCTTGCGGGAGCAATATATTGTTTCAACGAGATAGGGCTGCATGATTTATCAATTTTAAATCGTAATCAGGTTATCTGATTATGACAATGCTAAAAAAAAAAATTTATTGTCAAATTGATTTTCCTCTCTATCATGTTTGTGCCTCCAGGCCACCGTAGACTCCCCAGTTCCCACACACACCAGTGTAAACAAACATCGCGTTTGTAAAAGAGGGCGATCATTTCGTGGCTAAATAGGGCAAGAGTAAGTCAGTTGTGTGGAATCGGTACAGCTTCACAGTTTCGGATGAAGAGCAAACCACTCTCAGCTGCATGGTCGGTCCGAAGGCTGTATCAACCCATCTACATGAAAACGAATTCAGAAGTAAACACAAACGTTTTAGACATATTGGTGTTTCATCCACACAGAAATGGTGTTTCGGGTGACTGTAAACAGTACTTTTTGAAAACATGTTAGAGAGTGCATAAATCCTTAAACGACTACCATTTCATCTCCATGTGGATGCCTATCTGCATCACTCCAAATTATTATGTGACACACAGCGTAACCTTTATGGCGCCTGTGCGTGTCCGGCCAAAACAACCTTTTTACACATGCTCTGTACACTTCTTCTGTCTTTTGTGCATTTCCTCGGCAGCATTACAGTGCCACTTACTGGCTTGGCATATCCACTACATCATTTACAGTGGTTTGTTTTGAGAGATGATAAAAAAATGATTAAAAAATATATATATATTATTCAAGTGAAGTTTGGTTCAGTTGTCACTGAATAAAAAATCAAAATTGAGCATTCAGAGGAAAAAAAATTGGGATTTCATTTTGGCCCAAATCGTGCAGCCCTACAACAAAATAATAGTAACTGTGCACACTACATGAAAAAAAAAAAAAGATTGGGAACAAGTTTTTTATCTTGTGCACAGATGTTGAAATCTTGTGCAAACATGATAATAACTTGTTCCTGCAAGATCATTTTGTTACTATCTTGTGAGCACGAGTGTATAATCTAGTTTCAGCAAGATATGAAGTCATGTACACAGTATAATGTCTTGAGGGAGCAATCTTGTTTACAGATACTTTTATATTTTTGTACAAATATGATAATTTCTCGGTCCTTTACTTGTCCTTCTAGTTTATTTTGTTATCTTGCGAGCAGAAGAATAAGTCTTACACATACAAACATTTAAACAGTTGTTGTATTATCCCTGTAAAAGTTAATTAATTTAATTAGTCACCATAATTATCTGATGTAAGAAGATAACTGAGGCGTTTTTTTCAGCGTACCCTAATATTAAAAATCTCATTTATCAAGATAATTTTTGTTTATTTCTTTCAGATCAAGTTAATATCTTGTCAGCACAAATGAAGAATATTCCTCTTTGGGGACTTCAGAGGTTCTGTAACTGGACGGCAATCAAATCACAGATCACTGATTTAACTAATTGAAGATCTTGCTTGGCTAAGCAGGGCTCTAGTTTGGCAGAACAAAGTGTCTACTGTTTCTGAAGTTAGATGAAGTCAGGTGTGTGACTAAGTGTTGGAGGGAGGGGGAGGCTGTTCTCTAACCGTGCTCATTAAAGTGGGAAGGTGAATAAAAATGCTACAAATTAGCTGTGCGTCCCCGGTGGTATCAAGTATTTTGCAGGTTGCATGAGTAAACATATTTATCTGCGCGTATTTGTTGGCCTTTGCAGTTTCACAGCAGTACGGTGTGGGTGTAGGGAGGGTGGAGGTTTACAGCAGATAACAATAGAATCAGGAGCGGCGGAGATCAAACGATTTTATTTCTGTTGTAACCGAGGGAAGGGGGCTTCTTGGGTGTCTCTTCTGGGACTGCTGCTCCAGATTCTGATATCCATTTTCTCTTTGTTTTTGTCTCCTGGCCTTTGAAATATTTAGCGTGAATCCCTGACTTACCCGTACACACACACATTTGGTAAGTCCATGAGTGTGTGTGTGCAGATTTACGATCACTGCGCTCCCTCCAGGCATCAATCATCAGCTTTGCTCTCAACATCTGGATGTGGACAGTCCTTCCCTCAGGACGAAAACACTTCAGATCTCTCAATTTTAGCATATAGCTCATCCTGAGGGATTGCCTCCCCCAGCCCCGGCCCCGGCCCTGCACTTCATTTTACCACTGGAGGCTCCTCTGAGGAATCTCCTTCAGCAACTACCACGCTCCATCTCTTTATGTCTCCATCTATCTCTCCCTTTGTAGGACCAGTGGTACCATAACCTCCTCCCGTGGGTTGGACTTTGTCTGCCTTTCAAATACTTTGTTCTTATCTGTACTTTCACCTGCAGACATTGAGCAGAGGAGAGTCAGCAACCTTATCGTGTACCTGTTTAAACGGTTGATAAATTTACTGCTTGAAGAAACATGTCAAACATGATATATATTCACAGGCCAAGGGGACGCGTCTTTGAGTCTAGCCCGTGTCGTGGCAGCTTGTTTGTATTCCCAACTCTGCTTACTCAGCAGATTGGAAAGTCGCCAAAAGCATCAGGATACGAGGCATTTGGATTCTTTTTAGGGTCCCTTATGCAAACTGTCCTAGTCTTTTCTTTTTATTTTCATGATATGTATAGCTCTCAAGTCCACTTTGTGTGGTTGTCAAGGGTGATAAATAGGTCAACAAACGTGGGACACCATATGAAAGTTAAACTGTTGGAATTTACTGGGAAACATCATTAGTTACATCTGCAAGCTTGCTGTATTTTCTTTGTTGCACAGCTTGAGTAGCAGTCCACAACATCACTAAACCCAAATTAGGGATAGGGTAAGGTGTCGCTGATTTCGGGGGACAGTCCCCGTTTTGGATGACCTGTCCCTGGCTCAAGCTATCCCCAGAAATGCCCTCAATTTAAGAATTTCATGAATGAGAAAAAAATGTTGCGTGTAGACTAGAACAATGGTTATGACGGTAGCCAAGTAGGTAGGAAGCGGGAGTAAGCATGTTGCGTGCAGTCCTGAACAACAGTTTTTATGGGGGGTTATTACGGGGGTTAGGGATGGCCTTGGATTACATTACAGAAATCTGGTCACCTTAGGATAGGGATCTGTATTTACATCCATATTGAAACCATTATCAGGACTTCCTGATGATTAAACTCATTTTTTGATACCATCTTAGTAGGCCTGGCTATTTCAGTTTCCATCATGGCCTTTCACAATCATAAAAATATAAAATCACACATAAAAGTTGTGGATCTGGGTTAATTCAATCATAGACTGCTGTATCTTCAGTCTGTTGTGCTGCAGTACCATCAGGTAGCCACCAGGGGAGAGAGGGAAGCAGGGAGAGGAGCAGAAGAATGCAGGTGTGAGGATTTGTGTGTGCCTGAAAAGCCAAAGGATGGAATAAGTTTGAAAAGAGAGAGACAACAATTGCTAAAACCTGCCAGAATGATGATAAAACACAAACACAAGTCTTTAATTTTAAAGGAGGTTATAGGAAGGCTGGATAATTAGTTAAAATTGCAGCTTGTTAAAAAAAGGAGCTGAACTTGATCCCTTTTGATTACACTGTGTAAAAAAAAAGTTAAATTTGGCATGTAATCTATTTAGAATTTTTCCCCCCCAAAAAAACAGATGTTTAAAGTTATGTTAATGTGTGTGATTCAGATGTTGATTACAAGTAATCATTTTTAATAATCTGGGATCACAGTATCAATCCAAATAATCATAAATTTGAATTCTTACCTGATAGATATGTTTCTCTTTTTTTGGTGGGAAGATGAGAGAAACTTGTGCAAATGCTTCCTTTTTTTAGTGTTCCTCATATGTCCCACACAAATACCTGCCAGAAAGCTCTCTGTTTTTATGCACCAGAACTGGAAAAACTCTCTTGATATTAAAACAGCAAGCTGTTTGTGTTTTTTTAAAACATCTACCTTTTTTTTAAGCTGTCTTTTCATTTGGAAATGTCAAATTTTTCAGCCTGGTTTTAACACTACTAATTATTTTTTAGTGATTTATTTTTGTGAAACACTTTGGGCTGAATGTTTGTTTCATAGATTCAGTTGAGCTGAGCTGAGTACGTTTTTGATGTCTTTAATTGTATCACAATAGCAGGATTCACTGAGTTTTTACCAGAACTGAAATTTCCTCTATATTTATGTCACATTTAAACATATCACAATGATACTTCGCCCAACAGCCATTGCACTGACCTAACCTTGAACACATCATAGAGTAATCTCTGTTGCCTTGTTGAGTTAGCTCACTAGAGTTTGTAATCACATTGCACAGATTTATTCGGTGGGTTACTTTTTTCAACTTACGGGACATGACATGTTAGAAAGTCCGGATGTGGTTGCCAAAGCTGCTTCAAGTGATGATGACAGTCCCACGGCAGCAGCCAGAACTTCTCAACCTAAAGACAATAAAGGACAAGAGGCATTATTGAAAAGGCTGGCTCTTCATAGAGGTCTGTCGTGAAGCATATGGCAAGTTGACTGGAAGGGAAAACAGTTGGAGGACATGGTAACCAAACCACAGGGGATGACCTCAAGTCAAGTTCGAGAACTTTGAGGAGCCTCACAAGACTGGAGTCAGAGCATCTACAGCTACTACACTCTGGTGTCTTTATGAAAGGGGCTACAACTGTTGTATTTCTGATATCAAGATACTTCTGAACCAGAGACACAGTCTTACCTGAACTGTTGCTCAGTGGTCCAAAGTCCTTTTGGTCGATGAAGATCCAAATTTGCATCTAACTTGGAAAACAAGTTCCTAGAGTCTGGAGGAAAATAGTAGACACACAGAATCCAAGGTGCGTGAAGTCCTGTGAAGAGTTTCAAGGAGCTGTGGTTTGGGGTGCGATGGCATCTGCATTGCAGCCATTAGGACAGGATTTATGGGAGTGCTCATTTCCTTTTTGCCTCCTTACAGCACCAGAACTCCTACCAAATGGTTTGCTAATCGTATCGCTGTGCATGATTGGCCGGCCAACTAATCCTGAACCTGAACCTCATAGAGAATCTGAGGGGTATCTATCAAGAGTAAGATACATTCAAACCCCAAAAGACAGATGAGCGGAAGCTTACTATTAAACCAAACTAGACCTCGAAAGAGTTTCAGGCCATTTGCCTCAATGACATTGGAAAAGAGCTTCAGCAACGTACAAATGAACACTTTATTAAAAGGTTGAACATTTCTGTCTCAAATCCTTTCTTAGGAAATAAACTGATAATTTAAGATGCTGCATTTTCGATTTCTTTTTTCAAAATGAACCACAGAGGCCTGAAAAACTGCCCTTTCATACCACAAATAAAAGTATATGAGTTTATCTTTTTGAATCTAATTGTTATATTCTTATTTATTGAGATGCACCTTTACTATATCCACTTTATGAACAAACATGTGGGTAGCAAAAATAGAAACACTCTGAGCTGTTGCACTGACTCACATTAGCTAGTCCAGATCTCCCTAATGCAGGTTAGTGTTTATATGGTATTTTTCTGCATATATGGCGAGCTGGGACTGAAAACATGTGTGACGTCTCACAGGACTTATTATAAATTGTTACTTCATGGAAGCTTCTGCAGCTCCACAGCATGAACTTAAAGCACAGCAGAGCACAACCCTGCAGAATCTCACTGCAATCTGTAGCACCTTGTTAGTGCACAGGGACCATATGAGGCCTGTTGTATTAGTTATTCTAATGCATGTCTTGTTATCCATATAGATGAGGGAGGGAATAGTCCAACAGATGGCCAGGGAAATAGGGAGTCACAAACACAAAATCATCCTCCAGGAGTGTGAAGCTCACGCTCATCGCCTGTGCACAAACCTAAAGACACACACACACACACACACGCACACACACACACACACACACACACACACACACACACACACACACACACACACACACACACACATACACACACACACACACACACACACACACACACACAAAACTCTCTCTGCCACCAAATATTTCAACGCTCTCCAATTCTGTCCAATTCTCTGTGATGTCTTGGCAACGAGCCAGTCAGCCGATTGTGTGTAAAAGTTGCCAGAGGAGATTTAATCTCTGCTCCCTCTCTCGCAGTTTCCTGCAGGATCTCTGTTCTCTTCCATGTCTGAGAGGTATTAAAGAGAATCTATAATATGATTTTCTCAGATATGAATCCTCAGACACTATGAATTGTACAGGTGTTTGCCCTGCTGGCTTTCACACCACAGTGCGTTTCATAAACTCTGTCCAAATGCAGCTCTTTTATCTCTGCTGCCAATTTCAGGGCGTTTATCGTCTAATAAAAGTATTTACTCAGCTGATTACTGGCATATTTCTAAATGTGACACTCCCTGGTGAGTCAACTGTATATAAACGTATACAAATGATTCCCTGCTCATGTAATAACGGAGAACTGCAAATGTATTGTGTACTGTATTAAGTGTATTATTGAGCTCCAAATATGACTCGATGGGACTTTATGATCGCAGTTCAAATGGGATGTGATTTCAACTCTCGCATCCTATGCGGAAACCTGCCTATCAGTCATTCTGAGGACTGAAAGTCATAAATTGTTTATTAATCCAGTATAGGACATTAGGTAAGATATGCTCTTAGCTGGAAAATAGATCCATTAGCGTGTAACTGCACAGGAGGCAGAAAGGGGGAAAAAACCTTTAAAAGGTTTTCCTATTGCATCAGTTAGCTTATATTTGTGAGAGCAGCCTGGCATGAGAGGGAGTCACAACAACAGCAGGAGGAAACAACACAGCAGGGAGCTGGAGGTAACATCCAGGCCTGAACTCAAGGTTTTTAACTGCTGTCCACATGAAATGTGTTCTGTGAGGAGGAGCGCCTCCCCCAGTCTGCACCACGGTGCTGAACAAGTAAGCATAGAAATATCTTTAGTTTAAGGTCCAACAAATTACAGCAATAAATCAAACACAAGTACAAATCACCCATCGTAATAAAAGAAAATACAAAGCAACATCAAACCAGCAGACACAACCAAGCTACAGAGCAAATCTCCATACACAACTATTAGTACAAAACACAATGACAAAGCAGCTTACATGACAACAAATCACCAAAGAAGACAACAAATCACAAACTCAACAACAAATCACCCAAGGGAAAAACACGACAACAAATGGCCTAGGAAAAAACAAAACAAATCGCCTAACAAAAACACAACAATTTGCCTAGAATAAAAACACAACAAATCGCCTAGGAAAAAAAACCACAACAAACCACCTGAGGAAAAAAAACACAACAAATCGCCTGAGAAAAAACACAACAAATCACCTGAGTAAAAAAAACAAATCGCCTAAGAAAAAACACAACAACAAATCCCCTGAGTAAAAAACAACAAATCGCCTACAAAAAACACAACAAACCCCCTAAGAAAAAAAACACAACAACAAATTGCCTGAGTAAAAACACAAGGCATCACCTCAGGGGAAAACACAACAAATTGCCTCGGAAAAAAATCACTACAAAAAATTGCCTGAGTAAAAACACAAGAAATTGCCATGGGAAAAACACAACAAATTGCCTAGGGAAAAAAAACACAACAACAAATTGCCTGAGAAAAAAACACAACAAATCGCCTCAGGGAAAAACACAATGAATCGCCTAAGAAAAAAAACACAAAAACATATTGCCTTAAAAAAAAAAACACAACAAATTGCCTAAGAAAAAAAACACAACAAATCACCTGAGAAAAACACAACAAATCGCCGAAGGTAAAAACACAACAAATTGCCTTCGAAAAAAACCCACAACAAATCGCCTAAGCAAAAAAACAACAACAAATCGCCTGAGAAAAAACACAACAAATCACCAATCATGTTAAAAAAGACACAAAAACATCACACCAACAAATACAAACCAACAAAACCAAAACAAAACAAAACCTGCAAATACAAGCAGAAAAGCACAACATAAGTGTTATTCCCCAAACACAACTTTTATTACTAAACACAACAACAAATCACAACAAGTCGCTTGGCCAAACAACAAATAACCAAACACAACTATTACCATAAACACAACTCCGACACTTCAATTCACAACAATTAACAACACCCACCACAATAAAAAACAAAAACATGACAATGAAATACCGAACCAAGCAAGAAATAACTACAACTGCAAAGTCACAAAAAACACAAACCACCAAACACAGACGTGTTCCCATACACAATTACCACAAAACACATCAACAAAACCAAACTAAATAATAAATGACCAAACTTGACAACAAATCACAAAACACATCTACAATTTACCAAACACAACTTTTGCCAAACACAGCAACACAAAGATCAATCGCCAACCATGCAACAATTTGCTAAACGTCACAACAAACTGACAGCAAACTGGCAGCAAATCACCAACACAAAGATAACAAGTCTCTGGACGAAAGCACCAAAAAAGTACTATTTACAAAAAACGGCAGCTTTCACAAAACACAATAAACCAGCAAACACAACCACACAGCACAAATCACAAATCACAAAAATGATCATCAAAAATCAATAACAAATCACCTAACACAAGGATAAAACTGAATGATACAACAACCAATCACTGATATGACAAAGAAAATCACAAAACATGACAATTTGCCAAACACAATTACAAAAATACAGAACACAAAGTTAAATCACAATATCTGATGGTTAATTTCCTGCAGATCCCTGATTAGATGAATATCTTTTTGAGTTTAGGCTGTTTTCCGGTGATCAAACTAAGTCCCGGCGATCAGAGATTATTTTGATCCAAGCCACACTGACAATTTCAAAGAACACTTAATTTATTTCAATATATGGTCAATCTTGTTTTTGGCTGATTACAGCATTTGACATGCAAACAGCTTTCTTTATGTGGTCAAACGCTGGCACATGAAAGCTCATATGAAAGCGTAAAGAAAAGAGCATGTACCACGATTGATGTGGCCCATAGATAAACGCATGATTTAATTCCATCTTCAGCCACTTGCATCTATTCATAGTCTGCATCTGCTTGTATAAAGTCAAATCATGAAGTGTGCCACTTTTAAAAGACGCCTATGAAGAGGAAATTATGTGGAAAAACGACTGCACTTGCTTGATCAATCATATTTAACTCAGATCAGGCTCCATGCGTTATTAATGCTTCAGATAATCAACCTGTAATGTATGTAGGTTACATTATGAATGAATATAAGTCATGGGCATTGAGTAATGAAGTGAGGATGTACTTCACACTCCAAGGAAATAGCTGGGCACCAAGTATAGCAATTTGATTCATGTGTTTGGCCTACTCCAAACCCATTGGGGCTGACTTCAGAGGACCATTAGTTTTGTTGTCATTGCTAACTGCATCACACTGGAGACTTTGCTACATGGAGAGAATATTGCTTTTCCAATTTTGCCTTCTTTTAGATATATGGACTTTTGATACACAATGAGCCCATTGATTTCCACTCTAACCTTAAAATAATCCAGAGAGCCTCGCTTGTACGGCAAACAGAAGGTATCGAGAGTGTGTTGTTTTTTTCCCCTTGCAGCTCTTCCCCGTCCGTCCATCAGTGGCTCATTCCACCCACTCACTCTCATCAGTTGTCATAACAGTTTGCTGACTGCAGTGATCCAGGTAATAGCCATTGTCAAGGGAAACAGTTAATAATATCAAGAGTGAGAATTCCCAGCCACCCCCTCCTTATTGGCACCACACCTATTGAAAATCAATGTCTATAATAATGAAAGTCTACTGCGACTCCTTCTGCGGAGAGTGGAGCAAATCAACTGACCCGGTGTCAAACATATCAGGGATTCTTTATGACACCTGAGCAGATTTGACCACTCAATACTGTTTACCCGAGTGAAAAATAAAAGGTTTATTTCTTCTTTCACTGGAGAGACAGAAAGAAAAAGCTTGTTTGAAAGTTTGACTGAGGTGGAAGGTGAGAAAAAAAACAAGAAGCATTATTTTTTAGGAAGAGTTTTCAACTTCCCTGTCACGTAAAGCAGCAGGTTTCACAGGCTCTTGAACAGAAACATCTTTGTAGCAAATATCATGACATAAAACTGGAATAAAATCACTATCCAAGTGAAAATTAGAGATGGCAGTACTCCCTGACTGGCCCATAATAGGGTTTTTATGTGCGGCGGTATAAAAAGAAACGTAGTGATCTGTGAAAAAGGGAAAAAGGGAAGAAAAATTACAAAGCGCCTCCGAGGGCCTGTCTCGTTATTATTAGTTTTAGATGAAAAACACAAACGCTACCCAAGAGGCAGCGCCGTACAGCAGGCAGGCATTCTCTGACATTTTGAAGGGGTGGCGTATTGAGAGCCGGAAAGTAGAGAAACTAGTAAACTACCTCGTTGAGTAGAAGAAGTTGGCGAATCAAAGGTTGGGGCAACATTTTCTTCTAGCATCCGAGAGTCACGCAAGATGATGACCCAGTGAGAAGAACGTTTCCTGGAGTCAGTGCTAACATTTCCCAGGCCTCGGTGTTTACTGGGTCATGGAAAGTCACTCTTGAGGGGGTTTTTACTTTTATAGGTGAGAGATAGTATAACAAATACGCACATATAAACACATGACTGTTCAGACAGATTCTTCATCCACACCATCGCCATTTCACTAAAAGGGTAAATAACAGCAGCTCAGACAGAGTGACACTTAAGGTAGCCCTCTGGAGACCTGAAGTGCTCCTAAAGCTGATCCTGTTGATGCGCAGATAAAGTAAGATGATGTATAGAAGTGTAAAAGTCCTAAAATTGTGGCAGTCATGGACAGTTTATGGGTCAAACTAACAGATTTTTTATGGAGGAGCCAGACTTTGGTCTCTGCAGGTAACCAAAAGTCCCGCTAATTTGTCAGATTACAAGTTATTTATGAGAGGTACCAGGTAAACTCCTCAGTATTGAAATGAAAAGACTTAGAAAAGTGAGTACTGCCAGGCATTAAATAGTTGAGGGTTTGAATCCAGCTTAAAGCAAGTGAAAATTTGAGGCAGAGACAATGAAAAGTTGAGGTGGAGCAAGGTGGTAGAAGAGAGAGGAGGGGGAAGAAAAGACAGTTGAGAACAAGAAAAGAAAAAGAGGGACATCAAATCCTGAGAGAGTAGAAAGGGCACCATTCGACCAATCACAGGGCTCCTTTCAACAGGCCAGTCAGAGGCCTCTTATCTTACGGCTCCTTTTTTCAGCCAATCACTAGGCTGTTGTCGAGCCACCAATCAAAGAGAAGGCAACTGATCAGAGGGAAAAAGAAAAAGTGGAACCCCTAAGCCAGAGTGTCCTTTTTTTCCTTTTCACAATACCGACATTATGTCTTGTGAATTCAGAAGCTAAGTTTAAGTCTAAGTGTAAAAAAAGACCAAGTATATATGAACAGATGAATGCAGATATCTTTGTAATAGACTAAGGCTATGTTCACACTGCAGGTCAATTCCGATTTTTTACCCATATGTGACACATATCTGATTTTTTCATGTAAGTGTGAACAGTGCAATTCGGATTTTTTCGAATCCGACCCAGGTCTCTTTTGTATGTGGACATAAATCCGATATGTAACCAACATGACTGCAGTGTGGACACTCAGGTCGCGTTCATCCAATCTATACGTCATCAATATGCGACAAACGTCACCATTGTTTGACAACACAAACAAAAGCAATGGTGGACGAGGGAACGGAGAACAGCCTGTGGCGCAAAGAAGAAACATTAGAGTTGACAAATATATGGGGAGACCAAAATAGAGGGCTCATACCGTAACACACTGCATCACGTCCTGCTTTGTGCACATATGGGTCACTTCATGGATGCATTCCGTTCACATTAGATGCTGCATTCGTTGTTGTAATGTGAACGACCGCACAAAAGATTGAATTTAACAAAAAATTCGAATTGTGCATCATAACCTGCAGTGTGAACGTAGCCTAAGAGACAAATGCATCATCTGCATACAGCCAAATCTGGCCTGTTGACTTAAGGCACAAACAGAATCAAGAATTATTCAAATATCAAACACTTTTTTTCCTCCAGTGTTCCTATGCTCAATCTGTTCAGTGAGACTAGCTCAAAGCTGACACTAGGAGGGTACTTATACGTGTCAAATAAAGATGCATAGACCAGTGACTGGACTGACATTTTTGATGAATAACATATTGAAACACTCCTTCAAAAATGCAGTATAATTTGCCAGAGCTTAGTGAAAGAATTCAAAAGTTTATGGTTAAAAAGACTGCACCCCAGAAAAACTGCATGGCATAAAGAGATGATGGAGGCTCCTGAATTCTTGCCTGGAGACATACTTTACCAAACTCTGCGGAGAAAGCAGTTGCATCAGTCTCAGCTCTACCTGGAACACAGAAGACAGGAGTTACAGGTGAGCAAGAACAGCCAGGGGGGTAAAAAGGAGAGGAGGTGGAAAAATATTGTGAGGCAGAGTAGTCAATCGCTGGAGTTTTACAAACAAACCTTGGAAATTTCAAAGCAGAGAAAATTCTTACATTCCAGTCAGTAATAACTTCGATTTGTAGCTGAATAGATGAAAAAGTGCTCAATTTATTTATCAAAGTTTGTCTTGATTTGTTCGATGTGGCAGTTTTTGAGCTGCGGTTTCCTAAAGCAAACCGGCATGACACAATCATTAGTATTCACAAACGCACTGAATTTATGTAAATGATTATCTAACAAATGTCCACAGTGTATTCTGTAAAATGGCACATAGTCGACAGCCGCCGCAGCTCAGATCCCAGATAGGTTGTTATGCTGAGCTATGTGCAGCAGGACTGACAGATCAGCCTGCATGCTAAGTGGTCGGATGTTTGCTAATCGCTTATTGTTCCTTCACATATCAGACAAACATGAAAGGTGAGGACATGCCGACTCATTTCTACTTTACTTTACATCTGGCAAGACTGACAGCATGGTACTCAGCAATCCTCCTGCTCATGTACTCACGTCAATCATGTCATGATGTGTTAAAGCTAAACAGGGTGGGTGGTGCTAAGTGTCGACTATTAGTCATCTTAACCGCGGGAGAACAAGTTGACTTTTATTTAGGAAAGCACCGTACATGTATTCCACCCTCTGTGGAGAGGAAAAAAGTGTGAATATATTTAATGTTGATGATACACTTGCATCCTAACACCTACCTCCCCACAACTGTTGATGTTAAATGCGGAACGGAAGAGGAACAAATTAGAGGATGCAATGTTGAGGGTGAATATGCAAAATTATGCAAACACTTTTTTAAAATTGGACAAATTAAATCATAGGGAAAAGGAGGTTAAAAAAGTACAGCTCATATCACAACTAAGCTCTATATTTGTAGGGCACCAGAATGCAGTCCAAGGGCTTTACGTAAGAACAAAACAAACAGATAATAAGAGCAAAAAATGATAATGAGGGGACAGCTGTGCAAAACTCAGCCACTAAAAACAATTAAATGTCATCAAGTACTAAATAAAACTAAGAGCAGAGACGAGAATAAAAAATGCCGAAGATACAGCTCATTTAAATTAATTTCAAAAGCTGAATTCAGGCTTTAATATTACTCCAAAATAAAGCCAGTATGTAAAACAGGTATCAAGGGTGCCAGAAATTTAGACAGAACTTGGGTATTTTATCATCGATTGTACATAATATCTGTAAAGATGCTGAGAATTCTGAAAAATCTCTGTACAGTAAGAGAGACAATACTGAAAGGCTATGATCTATGGATCCAAGGTAGCACTGCATAATTGGCCCAAACCATGGATTAAGGCAAAGTGGGAAACTTACCAAGGTTATGATGAACAAGAACATGACATTCATTTTAAAAATCATGGACGCTGCATTCTTCATTCTAAAGAAGGGATGGTCCACCCAGCTTTTTTATTAGCATAATTAAAAGGCCAACATCCCAAATGGTGTAAGAATGCAAAGTTACCATGGCATGAGTAACTTAAAAACTCTCCATTAATGCTAGACAATACATAAAGGTTTAGGAGCAAAATATGCATCCATCTAGACATTGACTTTGTGCATAACGCAGTGTAACAATACCAAACAACATTTTGCATGCATTACAACATCATGGCAGTCATGGTAGTTAAAGGGTCTGGTTGCTAAACTGGTCTGCCTTTAGTTCTCACTGGTCTTCTACTTAAAACACTCAATGCACCCTGGCATTAACCAATCAACCAATGAGCCAATGAACCAACCAACTGACCAATGGACCAGCCAACCAACAAATGAGCTAAGAAACAACCAACCAACCAACTGACCAATCAACCAACAACCAACGGACCGACAAACCAACAAATGAACCAACCAACCAACAAATCAACCAACCAACCAACTGACCAATCAACCAACAACCAACGGACCGACAAACCAACAAATGAACCAACCAACCAACCAACAAATCAACCAACCAACCAACTGACCAATCAACCAACAACCAACGGACCGACAAACCAACAAATGAACCAACCAACCAACCAATGAACCAACCAACCAACAGACCGACAAACCAACAAATGAACCAACCAACCAACTATCCAAACAACCAACCAACCAACTAACCAACCAACAAATAAACGAACAACCAACCAACCAACAAATAAACTAACAACCAACCAAACAACCAACCAACCAACGGACCAAGTAAACCAACCAACAAATGAACTAACACCAACAAACTTTCCGACTAACCAATCAACCAACCAACAACTAACCAACTAAACAACCAACTCATGAACGAACTGACTGACTAACAACCAATCAACCAACCAACAATGAATGACCAACCAACCAACCATCCAACCAACCAAACAACTAATGAACCAACTTATTAACCAACCAACCAACCAACCAACCAACCAACTTATCAACCAACCAACCAATCGATCAATAAACCAACTTATCAAACAATTCGCCAACAAATGAATAGTAATACAACTGAAATCTTGTGCCTTTTTTTCTAATCCTTTAAATTTTATTCTCTGTTTTTAATCAACATTTTACACTATGCCAATCCTCTTTGGAATTGGAACTGAATGAGGGAAAAAAAAAATCTGGTTCTTGAGAGTGTGATCTCTTACAGCTAAAATCTACTCATGCATAGAAATTGAAGAGGTGTTGATGCACAAATCCTACATCAGAGAAACTAATACATGTATAACAAGTATAATAGCTTCCTCCTGGATATATATACAGTACAGGCCAAAAGTTTGGACACACCTTCTCATTCAATGTCTTTTCTTTATTTTTTTATATGACTATTTACATTGTAGATTATTACTGAAGGCATTAAAACTATGAATGAACACATGTAGAATTTTGTACTTATAAAAAAAGTGTGAAATAACCAAAAACATGTTTTATATTCTAGTTTCTTTAAAATAGCCACCCTTTGCTCTTGATGACAGAAGTACCTTGTCAGGGTTACTTCAGGCACTCCTGTGAAGTAAAAACCATTTCAGGTGACTACCTCATGAAGCTCATTGAGAGAACAGCTAAAGTTTGCAGCGCTATCAAAAAAGCAAAGGGTGGCTACTTTGAGACATCTAAAATATAAAACATGTTTTCAGTTATTTCACACTTTTTTTCTTAAGCACATGATTCCACATGTGTTCATTCATAGTTTTGAGAATCTACAATTTAAATAGTAATGAAAACAAAGAAAATGCATTGAATGAGAAGGTGTGTCCAAACTTTTGGCCTGTACTGTATATATACAGCATTTTCCACACAGATGTGCCGCACATTACAGACAAGTTTCAATTGCAGTGCGGTTTCCTGTGCATGAAATTCTCATTCCAATTAAAGGCGTCATCCTTTGCAATTAAAGTTATGAGAATAAGGTGTTAAACAAAGTAGGCTATACCACTGTTTTATTTCCTATTCCCACTTCTACCTTGTCAAGTGAAACCAGCAGTCTTGTTAACTGAAGAGATGAAAATTAATTTCAAAGTAATTGCTGTATATTCCCATGAAATGCAAGCAACAGTCCGTGGAGAATCATTATTCCCGGAGAGAGAGTGTGCAAATTTCTGAGGTGTGATGTACATGGATCAAGAGAGACAAGGACAAAGCAGAAAATAAATGAGGAATGAGGTTTTATACTAGATTCCCCAATGGGAATTGTTCAACAACATGGTGAGGCACAGGAAGTCACATGAACATATGTTGGAAGTATGTCACCGTCACCATGCACAAGAACCTACACAGTGTGTTACGGCTCAAAACGTATCTCAAACACTGAATTTTCTGCAATTAACATCAAGAGTTGTTACCTGTAAATCGAATTTGACAGATGTGTTTGTTTTCAAGTATGACAGCTTCAAGTCAGGCCCTCTTACTCATGATTGGCTATTGTTTTTCAATTTGCAGGAGCCTGTTATTTCCCTGCATTTCCACTTCTACAACTGCCATACAAAGATGTTTCCCTATCATTTTTGGAAAACGTTTCTTTTCAGCTCCCAAATGAAAGTTTTTTTCTACCTCTCCATTTTGCTCTTGACTGATTTTTCTAATTTATTTAGTCTTTGTACCCTCTAAAAAAAGGTAGACACTGTTGAAGTCTTCGGTCTCCTTTGGGAACCCCATAACTCTGAGCAAAAGTACACATTTGATCCCTTCTGTTAATAAATCCATAGCTTTCATTGCATTTGAAGGCCCCATCTTCCCCCCTCTTCCTCCTACTGCACCTCCTATTCAGTTCAGTTTCTGTCTGAGATCCAGTTCTTTTGCTGGTAGCTTTTCTTTTTCTTTTTTAAGATGCTCAGAGCAATTTTTCTTTAGCTGTTGCAGAAATCTGAGGATGATGTGGCTTGCACTCCTGGAAGAGCAACTACTTTATTTATGGATGTTTTTGCTTTTTATCACGTCCCTTCAAGCTGCAGCAAGAAGGTGTTTTTTCTTCTTTTTTTCTTGTAATGCTTTTTGAAAGAGCTCTGAGAATGCTCTCTGATAACTGTATGCTACTGTCCCAACATTAAACGAGGACAAATAGTTGGTAACCATAGCTGTTAACTGTATTAGAACGACTGGAAAGCAGAGTTGGATGTTAAAGAGGGTGGTGGAGACCAAATATGAAGCTAAATAGGAAAGGTTAAAGTGCCTAAAACAACTTTTTACAGGTTATGAAACTGACAGAAATGTATTTTACAGCCTCTCTGTGACTTAAAAACTAAATAAAACCATCAGGACAAAGATTGATTATTTCCAAATAATCATTTGAAATGCCTACATGTGCCAGAAAGATCAATCTAAAATAGGTCGATACCATAGACTGTATATACTATGGACAACTTGGTTCCGCCTTCCGCCAGTATAAGGGTTTGAAGCCAAAAAGCTCTCAGTAGTTCGGCGTTTTTTTTTCTCCACTTCCTGAGACCAACATTGCACAGTAGCGTTGTACGCACTCCACCACTTGCTCAGTAGCATTGTACGCATTAGGCGGGAGAGTCGCTGTGATGACGCTCGGCTCAAAAAGTGGATCCCCTTGGTGAGTTACGCTGTCTTCTTACGCCCATAGGCTGTATCAAGTGTCAATCATAGCAAACATGAACCCCCTAATAACTTTTAAGAATGGAGCTGTACAGGAAAAAAAAAGGACAAACCAGTCTTACTGTAACTACATGTCAACATCGCAAGCAGGGGGAGAAAAATTTCATATCATATTCTGTGTAATAAATTTCTAAAGTTTGTCCACAGCCCCATAAGGATGGCAAGCGGAAGCGGGATTCAAGACCTATACTACAGCCCGTCACCAGAGGGTGCTGTTCTCAGAGTGGCTTCACCCAGCGAGGAGGCAGACAGCATTCATTCTATATGCAGTCTATGGTCGATACACAGCAAACTGCAAAAACAAGCTTACAAGCTAACATTTTGCAAAGTTAGTGGTCCGAAAACAGCAAGTATGAACAAGATCGGCAAAGACAGACGGTGAACCACTTCGTCCACAGAGGGCGCCAAAATCAATCCAGACTAAATGGTCCTCACTGAAGCTTCAATGCTGGGACGGTCACTACTTGGCATTACAATGTGTCTACAGCTGGTTTACAGACAATAACATGCTAACAATAGACTTAAGTGAACTAGACAAACAACAATTTGTCTATCTCCTCAATTTGAGAAAAATGCCTCAAAACGCAGGGAGTTGTGTTTATAATCTGTGCCGAGGTTGTCTTAGTGACACTTTAACTGTGCAACAATTCAGTCAGGAGCAGCAAACTAGTCATATTGACACTGCACACTCCAGGAAAACTAATTGGTTACAAAACACCACAATTTACTTGCTTGATTTGAGGTGTTCAAACTGCAGCTAAATGTCATACTCCACCTGATAAAGATGAGCAACAAAGAAAGGAGCTGCACAGAAAGCGTTGGTATAATACACTTAAAAATGTCAACATTACTTTATAGACTATGATAATAGTAGGCCTTTCCCTTAATTGTTGTGCATTATACGTTCACACAGACCCCCTGCATTGAAGACTATAAATTCACAGTAATAGGTCCTAAACCATGCAGTAAGTTGTAATTGGGGTTTCTATTGTTGTATCTCGCCTCTCTGTGATGCGTAAATGCAGAGGGAGATTTCATGATACTGGCTTGCTTGTAAAGTAAAATTTTATTACAAAGAGTATCGAACAAGCACTGCAGATGCCGGGAGACAACAGTGAATGAAGTCCTTCTCTCATATCTTAATTTGAGCACCTCTTGTAATGGGTTACAAGGTGCTTAGACATCATATATGAACCAGATTACATTAGAACTGGTCTCTGGCTGTAGATAATGAGGCGCTGACTGTCTCCAGCACAATTAGTTTGTTGTTTGTTTCTTTATTCAGTCACTGCACAAAAATCTATTTCAGAGGAGGGTAGACTGGGGTAAGCTAAGCCAAAGGGTAAGTTGAGCCAACCCCTGTTGCGAGGAAAAGGTAAAAAAAAATGGATCATGTGACCAAATATTTAGGGGGTGGGCATCATTTCATGGAGTCTGTGAAGGTTACCCCATACACAGGGTAAGTTGAGCGTAGGAGACCACTTTTTTTGACACACTATATTATATATTACACTCATTCTGTTGATTTGCAGGGATGCACAACATCCTGAAATATATGCAGATACACAAGTTAGAGACAAACCTATGACTGCCTTGATGTAGTGATCCAAAATATGAAGAATGGTACAAGAAAAAGACACAGGAAACAAAGACCTTATATGGTTTCACAACAGATACTTAAGTATTAATCAAATAAATGAGTGCAGGTTTAACAAAATACAATGTAGTGGTTAAAATACTGCATAGCCTTTGTCTTGTTACTTCAAAAATCCCTGTTTACCCTCCTTTAATAACTTACGACTCAGACATACAGACATAAAATAGTGTATCTCGGTTTACTTGTTAAAAGCTTCTGAATTCAGAGGTCGCCATAGCATTGAGACCAGCCTTGCCAAGGTTACAAATGATGTACCTTTGAGAAAGAGACCATGGCTTTGCATTTCTCTCAGTTGTGAATTCAATATAAACATTCAGTACAGAATACCTCTGTATTATGCTGTATATCAAAAAGAAAAAGCAGGTCGAGCTTACCTTGAAGCAGAATTTTCTTTTACTGAAGGAATTTGCCTCTATTACTAAGCTATTTGTGAATAGTTTGCTCAAGCATCCTCTTTTATTGCTAATGATGGAGGACAAAGTCAGAAATCTTCAAATTCAACAAAAAGTGGCTTGAATGAAAATCCAATTTCATTTCAGAGCTAAATAGAAAGTAGTTATTGTTCAGCTGAGAACACCACACTACTTCCTCTGTTGGCACTCGTTCTTTTTGTTGGACTACATAATTACAGGAATTATTCCTCTGGGGGCTCTGGTGGTCCCTCTGTAGCTGTTGACTCCCTCAGATCCAGCAGCGACTTTGTGTGCCTACTTCTATGAGGAAGGGAGAAAAACACCAACTGGCACAAGTTCAAACTCTTTCGTGACTCCGTGGGGAATCGAGTTGTGCCAGAATGAGCACCTCTAGAAATTAACAGCCTCCCCTCTAACGGGGAAGCATCATAAAAGAAATGCAAAAGTGCTGTTTTTTTTTTTTGTGGAGGATTATCTGGAAGGGAAGCAGAGAGGTAGATGAGGGCATGAGGGGAGGAAGAGTGAAGAAAGGAAAAAGTGAAAAATTATAACCATAGGGGACTTTCATGATCCGTTTGACCATACACATTGTGACTCAGCTAGCAACACAACAAATCAATAGCTGTGTACACAGCTCTCTTAGTTACCCGCTGAGTCAGTTCAGTCTTGTACAAACCGGCTAAAGTTAAAAAATAAATAAATAAATAAAAACACTTTAATGTTTATGCTGTTCAGTTGGATGAAAAGAAAGAAAAGTAAGTTTCTAAAGGAAATGTAAATGCATGCTATGTCCTGCTGCTATCACTTCATTCATTCAAATTACCTCACATTTACAAGAAAGGACTCTGTGTTGTTATAAGGTGTAGCAGCACCGAAGTCAGCACAGGGGGCGTGGTGCATGACGTGCCAGTGCAGCACATCACGTACGTGCACTGGAATGAATGGAATTAGGATGATGTTCGGTTTTAAAAACCAACATTTTATAAGCTGACTACACAGTAAACGGAGAACAGAATGAAGAGAGCAAAACTTGGACTCAACATACCGTACACGGACAAGCTGAATAATTAAGAAAGAGAGCGTTACTACAGCAAAATTGCGGACATTGCTGGACTCGACCCATATGAACGCACTGTATGGTCAGAAGATGATTTTGAGATGCTACCACCACTTAACCGAGTGTATTTGATGCAGTACCTCATCGAAGGAACAAGCTATTATACATTTAATTCCTCCCATAATGAAAAGTCCCTCTTGGCCCACGTTTTTTTTCACACCTGGGTGGGTACACAAACTGCAGATGCACAGTGTCAACAACAAAACCCTCATTTGCACAATGGTAGGTGATCACACACAAACACGTCTGCCTTTCTCGCTCTCTTCGTTAACTCTTCCATTTGTGCTCTGTGTTTTCTCTTCCATGTTGGAAAGCAGAAAAAAACATACTTTATCCAAAACGTTCCCTCGACATGCTCTCCTATTATAGCACTTGTGAACGCAGCAAATATCCACTGTTGTAAGTTGATAACTTAGAGCAAAAACAAACACAAAAGAATCACTGTTAACATGTCCCTCTATTGTCGCTGATAGTTCCTTCCTGCCAAATTAGCGGCAAATGTTGACACCCCTTTCTCAGATTTTGCTACGCCCTGTAAGACAAACAAGCTTGAACCACCATGAGTGAGTATTTCCTGCAGTAGCCAGGAAAAAAAAGCCTCCCTTAATCAGATAGAAACTGAGCCCTTAACCATGAGAAGGTGGTATAGAACAGCATACCTTAACCCGGGGGGAGCTGTAATGCACTTTTGTGCATATCGGGCCAATTGCAGCCATAGGATGTGCTGCAGGATCTGTCTGTGCTGCAGTAAGTGGGGCAATTATAATGAAAGAAAATTTGTATGTAGATGAGCTACCCTTTCTATACTGTCCTCCTACTTCCTCCTTTTGTTTTCCATGCACTTGATTTGAACCCACTACCATTTGAGTCAAAGGCCTGTGGTTGTCTTTATAGGTTTCTTCAATGCCCCATTTTACTGTGCATTTTTGAAAACCAAGGTTTATACTGCAAAGTTAGGGGAGCGCTCAATTTGTAATGCATGTTCTTGTGGGATTCAAACCACCTCTAACCACTACACTACTGTCTTGATGTGCTCTCTATTTTAGGCCATCCTGTACCTATAAAAGTCATTACTCAGAGAAAATAACTGAAACAAAAGCTAAATTTTGATTTAGGGTCTATCAAAGGCCCTCTTCTCTCATTGGGGCCCAGGGCAGCAATTTCAAACACTAAAAAGTGTTACTTAGAAAATTTGCAAGTAGTCCCCTCTACAATCCAAAGTGAGGTAGGAACATGTACAGACAAGCCCTGATTTGTACTTTTCATATATTGTGAAGCTGAGTTTCATCTCGCTCTGCTGTATTAATTTTATGAATAAAACTGAGTCAAAAATATGCTTCTTATTAATGTGAAACAAAAAAATAATAAATTATGTTATTGGACAAGATCTCTTAAAATTAAATTTTATGAACTGTACAAGGGCGGCACAGTGGTGTAGTGGTTAACATTGTTGCCTCACAGCAAGAAGACCCTGGGTTTCGATTCCGGGTCAGGGCATTTCTGTGTGGAGTTTGCATGTTCTCCCTGTGTCTGTGTGGGTCTACTTCGGGTACTCCGGTTTCCTCCCACATCCCAAAAACATGCCTCAGTGGGGTTAGGTTAATTGGCCACTTCCAAATAGCCCATAGGTGTTAATGTGAGCGTGAATGGTTGTTCATCTATATATGTCAGCCCTGCGATGAATTGGCAACTTGTCCAGGGTGTCCCCTGCCTTCGCCTGAAGATGCTGGAATAGGCTCCAGCCCCCCTGCGACCCCGGGAAAGGGAATAAGCAGTAGAAAATGGATGGATGGATGAACTGTACAGTTGAACGACTTTTTAGACTCCCCTTGCGACTTATTTCCAAAAAAGCTCCTAGTGACAAATCTGGCGACTTTTTCTGGAGTTTGGAGACTCACATGAAAGCAGGTATCGTTGTAACCCCCAATTTCCACTGCATCTGGAACAGCTACAAAAAAGCTGTATCCGCTGATCATAGCTGAACGGAACCATTCAAGTTAATGGGCTCTATTTTCGTTCGCGCCGGTGAGGCGGCGGAGGGCGGCGAGCCCCGCGCAGTTGTATTTTTGTCTGGCGGAGCCCGGCGTAAGGCGAGTTTGGTATTTTCGTGGACTGAGTCGCACGGAGGCGAGCCGAGATCCGCCAAGCTGGGCGTGGTGGCGTGGCAGGGGGAGGTGTTGACAGAATCAGCTGGCGCAGTGACATTTTTGTGCTCGCCACTGGCGTGTAACGTGCGCTGAAAGCTCGCCGATTCAAACCTGGTCAGCTTTCAGCGCAAGGCGGAACGCAGCTGGTCCAGTAGTATTTTGGTAGACCGGCGGCGTATCGACATACGTCACTGATGCCTCACCGGCAGGTTTCCACAGTGTCAGGCAGATTTCAGTGCAATAAATAATCAACAACTATTAATCAGAGTCAGCACATACATTTAGATCTATATCGATATATTCTGATCTATATCTGATCTGATGAGCGCGTTTGGCACGCGTTTGGACACACAACCTGACCGAATCAATACAGCTGAAACTGCATCAAATTAAATTAAATATCTAGTAAATAAACACACATGATGAAGTTAACAAGATATGTAATGTGTCTCCCTCCTTTTCTTTCTTCCTCTTATTTCTCGCACAGCTCGACCTGGACACGTCTCCGTGTCCTCTGTCCGTCTTCCTGCTGCTGCTGCTGCGGCTGAACAGATGATTTGTTTCAGTGCTCAGATGCGTTATCTACTTTAAGCCGACATACGGATATTATAATATTCAGTTTTGTGAGCCAAATTTATTTTATATGCCAACATCTATGAAAGAAAGAGCCAGGCCACGGAGCGCGATGCGTCATTTACGCACAGATGGTTCCGATTTTAATGCCTTTTTGGAGTTTATGTTGTGATCTGTGCGCTCAACCCACCTTTGTCACGTGAGGTTTGAATATATGCAACTTTATGTGAGTGTCTTTATTTGTGGAAAAGGGTGTTTGTCTTACCAGTGGGTCCAACATTACGCACACCAAATCCATCTGTGCTCAGATGAGAGAGTGTGGAGGACACTTGTTGAGCAGCTGCCCTCTGTCGCCATCGTGTGGCATAACTGTCTTCAGACATCTCTTGATCTCTTTGACTACTTCATGAAAATAGTAATACGCCTCGCCTGTGGCGGATTTAAAGGCGAGGAGAGGAGCTAATGTGATTGGTGAAAACAGGTCTCGGCTGTGTTAAACGCTATACGCCCTCTCTCCTCCCCGTCTATGATTTATGCTGCCGGGAGGAGCTGAGTTAGGGAGGGGGGATACTCACACCGGGCTGCGCGGCTCACCAAAATACCAAAATGTGCTTGGGAACGCCTTGTCAGCGCGGCGGATCTGATTGAATCTGCGCTTGCGGCACGTCTCCGGCGAGGCACCAAAATAGAGCCCAATGTGTCAATTTCCACCGGCTTCTTTCCGTCTCGCTGTGGATCCCCAGACTCCACAGCTGATAGCAAGAATTCTATTTTTTCCGTATGGTGGGGCATGCCAGATAAATTCAGCACAGATTAACCCATGCTGGAAAATAAATCGGTCACAGACATGAAATAAAACATCTGGCTGCCTTTCAAAATAAAACACTCCATGTTTCAGGTGGATCGGATTTCACACCATGCAAACGGGCAGGGATGAACACGTGAAAGGTTTCTAGACCGCTTTTCACCCCAATGGCACCATGGATGAGGAGATACTGATTTTAGAAGTCTAGAGGTGGATTTCCTCCTCTGGAAGGACACATTTTACTGCTTTTATAGTTAGCCTTTGTGGCTGTCTTTATAGAGTTGTCGCATTATCGCGCGATTGCATGTGAATCCGCGGGTTCTTGCGATTCCTGTTGTCCGTAATGTCCACAAATGGATCTGGTAGTAATTGGTGGACGCCATCCTGGATTGGAGCCATTCCGGATGTGGTGGAAATTTGGGGTTACTCTTCTCAACAGATAGCAGGTGTGCATGGAAAACACACACACACTCATGCATATAGACACCCTGAGGAAGACTCCTCCTATGTAGGCTGGGGGTGGGGTAGGGTGGTTTCACTGAAAAATTATGCAAATCAGGCGACGGCGTCGTCTAGCGACTCTGTGACAGCCACCAGCGACTGAGCGTCATATGGACTGTGTGAATCAGCTGATTGAAATCTCAAATCAAAATGGAGGACTTCTCGTCAGGGTGCGAGGGGATGTTTTAAAAATGTACTTAGCGAACATCATACATGTAGGATAATCCTCACTATAAAAAAGGCTGAAAATTTAAAACATAGGATAACTTACCTGCTTCTCTTTTCACGCTTGTTTTTAAGGTGTCTTTTTGTCTCTACTGTGGGTGTCCGAACAGATAATCCAATACCAATACGGATAACTTTTAAAGTCAATCCAGAAGAAGAAAAAGCATCGAGAACTGTATGAATATTTCAAAATATCACGTACGCTCAAAGTTATAAATTGCGTCAGAGGCATTTTTTTCCCAGAGCAATAAAGCTGCAGTGTTCAGCGACACACAGCAAAGCTTTCATCATCCAAACAACCTTTAAACTCTCCCTTTAAACATCAGCTCCTCACATACAGTACATATTTGACCAAGCATATTGTCTCGTCACTAGAGTATATTGATATAAATCTGGCGCCTCAGGCTTACCCATCCTACCATGTATGTGGAAAACACATGTGACAGGTTCCTTCAGCCAGTGACTTGGATTGGATGACACCTCTTCATGAGAATGAATCACCAGCATCAAAGCATCATCCCAGGCTCATGCCTCTTCATTTACATGGCTGTCTTCCAGGAGCATGGCACACAGATGCACAGATGAAGAGCAGAGGTGGGTGTGTAGTGGGGGGACACTGGAAGAAGGAAAGAGAGAGCCAATAAATCGTTGCAGAGAATATTTGCATCTCTGAGAGCGCACATGTAATACTGTGAGAAAAGATGGAAATCATACTGCAGTTAGAGATGAAAATGAGCGCTGGAAAAAGTGAGAGAGTGTGACAGGAGTCACAGCATCAAGAACATACTCTCACAGTATAATCTCACACATTTGAAGACTTTTTTTCACGCTCACATTTCAAATATCCTCAAGGAAATAAAGCTGGCAGTGCAGACTTTCTTTGGAATATGTTTCGAACATCAGTAAACTAAAGCATGCTGGGTAAAGTGCTCTTAGACGACATGGCACAATTGCTGTGTGGGGAAAGGCAACAATTTTCTGCACAGGCATCCAACCGTATACACAGACACACTTGTAAAGAAATTGCTGAACATTATGTGCCCATGCATCATTCTCCCATCAGTGTTGGGAGTTCACCGTCACAATGCAACATCTTGGAGTAGTGCGATAACCTTTGAGCTGTAACGAGTGATGTAACTTTCTGCATTTCAAGTAGTTTGTCAGTCCCAGTGTGTGATTACACGTCCCTTGAAGAGCTGAAGGGAATGCTAGAGGCATGGCTTGTCAACGCACAGCAGAAGATCCATATACAAACGCACACACACACACTTGGACATGCATGTGCAACAGCTAATCTGGCAATTTCTTGAGTGGGGAAGCAGAGCAGACAGTTTGCTTCTTGGAAATATACCCATTAATTTGAGCACAGGAAGACGACCCCAGCTTTATCCGGCTAAAAAACAACTCGTCAAATTTTGGACTTTTAAGAGCTGATCCAGGAAAGGAGTTCTCTAGTTGCATGTTGGATCATGACATGAGATGCTGTTCTGCCCAGGTCACTGTCAGTTTATCAGATCATAGAGAGCTGCAAAGATTATGGGTCGTTTCCCTATCTAATTATGGATCAACTGTCGGGTCAATACTCTAAACACTAACTGGACAGTGGGACAAAACGCGTACGGGGTCGTGTTTTTTTTTTTTTTTTGGTAAAGCAAAATCTCCCTAATGTGTTGATAATTTCCCTCTCAATAAGGACAGTCAAGATACATTTGTAACAAACATTAGCATGGGGTTAAACTGTGTCACTGATTAGCTCAAAAGTTAGGGTGACCGTATTCCGACTTCCTAAAAAGAGGACACGAATACGCGGGGTGGAGTCACAGAGTCACAGGAAGTTAATTCTGAGAGTTTTTCAGGGTGGGTCGGGTGTCTTTTATGCGCGTCTAACTCAGTAAATCCATGTGACACAAACTCAAAACTTCCATACAAAACTGCAGACATTTGACGGATTTTATAAAACTTCCCGGACAAAGCCAGACAGCCCCCCAAAAAGAGGACATGTGCGGTTAAAAGAGAACGTATGGTTACCTTACTCAGAGTAGAGGCAATAGTGGTTCTTCACACTGTTTCCTATTTGCCATTTAGGTAGTATGACAAAGAAGAGGCAAAAACGGCAAAAGGAGACTTATTTGCTAGCTAGCTAGTGGTGCGTGGGTACGACTGCAGTGCAAATCATGTGAGAAGAGACAAAAAATAAATGCTAAGTACTTTACTCATTTCACAAAACAGATTTCTTGACAGTTTGGGAGAGTTTGAGATGTACTGGAAAAGACGTAGTGTTTGTGGACACTCCAGTCTACATAAAATAGGGTACGGTGACTGACCGACTCGTAGTTGGTTTGCTGGGTCTAAGAAGTGAAAGAGAGCTGGGATTTAAACAAAAACTTTACCAAAGTTTTTTATTAAAGAACAAAATAAAGTTGATGATGGAGCTTTCTTTGTAAATTTACTCCAAACTTCAAAAACATTATTGACTGTATTATATTATTCAAATATTATATTATTCAGATTTCAAGGCCACTCCATTGATACAAAATTGAGCCTGAATAGAAGAAAAAAAAGTACAAAAGAGACTGGGGTACTTTGTGAAAGTGTCTGTTATTGATTTATTTTTGTCTAATGTCAACTTGAGGCAAATTTAAAGATGAAAAATTGTTTATAAAGTAATAAACCCTTCAGAGACTCATTCCTGCCTCTTAAGTTCTCTTTGCCTTTATCTAAATTTCAAAAACATCCCACTAAAATCTGCTTCTCCTGTCATAGTGTACAATTTCACAGACATTTACCCCAGGAGGTGTTTCAAAGAGCAAAAACCAGGTCAGGAACACAACACAGTAAATGCTTACATTGCTTCTTATCTAAAGCGGAGCAGCACATCTTGTTTGAGCTGTAAACCGGAGGATGGTGATAGGACATGAAATCTGGTTTCACATTTGTATCAGAATAATTAAAACCTGTATTTCACAGCTTGAAAATGGTGACACAGATTCATTATTTAGTCTACATAGTCCCACCAGTAACCCCCCAAAACACTGCCAGTCCAAAACAGGACTTGAAGACCCCTGAAATGTCTCACCTTCAGTGTCTAATGAATGCGATTGTTCACAGGAGTAATGTGGACACAGTGGCTGAACCCTAATGTAAAAACTCCTGTTGTCAAGGGCTGAAGGCCTTGTGGTCTAAGTGCCCCATCTACAGAGGTTTTACAGTCTTCATAGTGGTCACTGGTTGGATTCTTGGCCATAGCTCTTTGCTGCATGTCTTCAATCTAATAAAGGCAACAAATGCCCAAAAATGCAAAAAAACCTTTTAAAACCCAGAAGAAGCATGCCATCCGAGCTTTAATGTGTTAAAAGTGTGTGATTATATTGTACTTTGTTGTGCTGTTGCAGACTGTACAAAGTATACAGCTTCAAGTGCTGTTGTGGTTTCTGCAGATCATGGGTTTATCAATCATCGTTGAGTATTTTAATTAATAGGATCTGATCTATGCTCAGGAGACTATATGGTGTTTCCTTTTAGCTTTTTTTGTACATACGTAGCACTATGAATGGGTGAATTCCAACTGCAAGTCTCTTTTCAACTGAGCTTTCTAGTACATGCCTTTCCTGTGTTTGACGCCCCTTCCTGGTCAATTTTTTACACACACCTTGATGTATGCTAGGCAATGGCTCAGTTGAAAAGAGACTTGGAATTGGAATTCACTCATTCATAGTGCTATGTATGGAGCCCATTATTTTTCAACCAATCCCAACCACTCACCAGTGGGCATGAGTGTGGTGGAGTGTCTTGCCCTGGGACCTGGGGTTGACCTTTTTAATTCAGAGACTACCAACTACACTACTTTGTCCTTTTTTAAAACCTTAATCCTTATTTTATTATTTATTTGATCATTTGAATAATTTATTATTACACTGTGTAATTTAATATGTTGTTCATGCTTGAACAGATTTATTTCACCATGCAGCACTTTGGTAAACTTTATTTTCCAAATGATACAATGTGAAAAAACTGCAGTTCCTCAAGTGACCACTTGAGGCTGGCTGCAGAAGCACCAGAAACCACATACACACGCATTCAAAAATACCCATCTTTAGTGCAAAAATAAACATATTTACAGCCAAGTTAAAAACAAACGAACAAAAACTGTATTGGTGTGAATAGCTCAAATCTGTTTTGGCACAGGTTTTATCGAGAGTGATTTTTTATTTATTATGCTCTTGTTTCAAAGATTTTAGGGTCACAAGTTTGGATAGCAGAGGCATCGCTCTGAATTGGACTGAGATGCACAGATGCACAGAGCAGCACTGATGTGAGGCACATATTTGTTGAAGGTTTTGTAAGTCAGTAATTCTTGCCTCACATACCCAAACAAGGACATCTCCTTGGTGATTAGCTAAATTATCCATTCGGCAGAGTTTGGCCTTGGCTGCGTTTATATCATATCAGTTTTGTTTAATGTATCTCACTGCTGATAAGAAGCCAAAAAAATCTGTGTAGCTGTTCAAACAGCACAAGCGTGTAATATCCTCCATCCTACATGTCCTATCATGCAGCACAGTGACACATTTTGATATAACCTTCTTCCTCCACACTCCCAGTTTGCACCACAGGTGTTTTTTGTGCGTTTTTTTCTCACCGACCAAACTGAAATAATCCTGATGACATCACTCTGACATCATCAAGGCTGTTTTCTCCACTGTGACAATGCTCCCCTACAGCCACAAATGCTGTTATATAACTTTTTTACTGGCAAAGTAGCACTCCATAGCTGGTCAACTGAGCATCTTCTGCAAAATTGGTGCAGTGCCACTCTTAAAAAAACGAATTTCAAATAAATTGAAACGAGCCAGAGAACTCTTGAGTGAATGCCATAAACAAAACAAAACTTTTTGAGCTTCAAACTTGTTCCACCAACCTCTCGGCTCCTGTCTGCCATCAGGCCTGATATTTGGATTAATACCATGGAACAATTTAGTCGTGTAAGCTGGACAGATGAGACCGTGTTCACATATTTTTCTTGGCGTGGGTGAGCAAAACACTATTGATTTCTTCTCTGCAGGTGGATTAAGAAACACGTTTGCTTTTCTCAGGAGAGCTGTCTGGGGATGACTTAGGTGTAAATATGAAAAACTTGTGGGAGTTTATGTGTGCGTGAGAGCGAGAGAGAGAGACAGGCAGGCGGGCAGACAGACAGCCAGAGGGAAAGATAGATTGCTTGCTGGAGGTCTGGCTTTGACATTTGGCGGTTTTCTGTCTGACATTTCTGCAGACAAACAAACAAGGTCCAATCTGTTAGGAGCAACAAAGCAGAATGTAGAGATACCTGAGCGGATAAAACAAGGAAAATATAAAGCTGTGGATTACTCATTTTCAAAAACAGATGGAGGTTACTAACTTATAACTTGTGACGCCTAAATTGAATGACTAAATGAGTGGAGACATTTCTTCAGAGTGAAGCATGCCACAAACTAGGGCTGGGCGATAACCCGAAAATTTACCGATGCCGAAATTTTGGATAATAACCAACATCATTTTATATCAGTATATTCGATGTCAAAAAAATAAATAAAGGTTGGTTTTGGATGTGTGTAGGTAGGCCTAAAACATGACTCCACCGCCTCCAGTCCGACTGGTGAGGAGATGGAGGACGGTTCAAAAGTTGTAGCAACTAAAGTCGACGATGTGGGATGTAGGAGGATGTGGGAGTTAATGTGGGAGGGGGTGAGCAGCTTGTGGAGTAGTTACCATCCATTTATCGTCATCAAGGTGAACTGCTCAATATATCGTGATATTGATTTGAGGCCATATCGCCCAGCCCTACTTCAAACATTCCCAAGAACGAGGCCTTACTTTTCTGAGAAACTTCTGAAGTTTGATCATTTTTTCCCTTAAACTCATCATCTAATCTTGAGTGTTTTCTGCTCCACTGCATTTGCTATCTTTCCATTAGAGTTTTCTTCCCTTGTCTGTTTTATAATGTAATTCTCAAGCAATTAACGCTAACTGAGGTAAGCACATTATGCAGGATCACATGTAGCAGCAGAGTTTGAGAAATCAGAGCACATTGTGAAAAGAGTGTAACCAGCGTCTATAAATAGGGTGAATGGGGATATAATCTATACATGACAGCGGCTCTATGACTTCTTTGACATGTCTTTTACAGTATTACCCCCTTTCTTTCATGCCATATGCTCTACATGGGAATGTGGTGACAGTGCAGATAAGCCCTGGATGTCGGCCTGTATTTTCCTGCCTCTCTGATGCTGTCTTATTACCATCGCCCCATCCCAGAGGAAAAGACCCCTTTCTACCTGTGATCTCACAGCACTGACACTATCTGCACACTGTCTCTGCTGATGCCATGCAAAATGACAGCCCCGAGTCCTCTGTTCCACTGCCAGATAACATTGCAGGGGGGCCCCCATAAAGCAGAAAATACCAAATCACATTCAGCTAATACCCTTAGTGGTGACAGGCTCCATCTTAGTTCAGTAGAAATCTGCTGCTGCAGAAATACCAAAGGCTGTCCTATACTCAAGTGGCTCTGCAAGTTTGCAAGAGAAACTCTTTTATTGAGTTTGCATTGGGTGTGAACAAAGAAAATGCCAAAGAAAGCATCAAAGCTGAAATGGCTTCCAAGAAGGGTTATATCGGAGTTGACAGTCAAGTCAGAGGAGCTTTTTTTTTTTGTTAACTGAAGCAGTTTTTCTGTAAATCTGCGTCTCTGTGCAAAAAAATACAAAGGGCAGTGTGAGTAGCCCAGATACTCAGGAGGAACTAAGAGTAAAACACCCCTGAATCATGTTAAAATCAGCAGCTGAGGGAAGCTGCTGAGGTTTTCTTGGAGCGTTTAGCATGTTGGAGACTACCCTGGAGCCCTCTCAAATCGTCTCTGGCACTTGAACATCTCTGGATCTTCTGTGCAAGTGGAGTGAAGGATGTTGGGAATTCCTCGCTCCCATTCTGAACCCAGCCAAGAGCACTGCAAAGCGGCGAATGTGCACAGAGGCTCCAAAGGCTCACTCAATCTTACTCACATATCTGTAAGCTGATAACTTCCCATCTGCACGCCGAGCAAATCAGGATAATCTTTTGCTCTTCCTGCCCTTGCTTGATCAGCAAGGTTGACCTACACTGGCAGTGTTTCGCTTCACTCATCAACAACACCAGCAGCCGTCTGGCAATGGCGTGATGCCAGCAGTGGTGGGATCACTTCCAGTAATCTCATGTGGTGGGATGTGCTGTAATGACAGCGAGGCCATATGGGGGCAGCTCCACCAAGAACTGCCCCTCCACCCTTGAAAAGGTCCCAGCAGACCTATTTACCATCATAAATACTGTGCTTTTAAGCATCCTCAGCTGAACGGTAAATACCAACACTTTGTCAAATGCCTTTTCTTTCTCTATTAGACACAAACAGTTATTCTCTACCATATCATAAACACCTGGTACAAAGTGTTTTGGGCCTGCATCAGCACCTGTGGGTGTGTTGGTCCAGGTGCAAAGGTAGCATGTCTTAGACTCACAAAAACCATAGCATAATGCTTTCCTGCTCTTTCCAATTCCCTGATTTTTTTATTTGGGCAGAGAGCTGTAACATGAGTATTTTGTCTTGGTCTTTAAACTTCATAAAATACCCTGTTATTTGTCCTACAAGGGGAAATTCCCATTTACAGTTCATCCCGTCCAAGAAACATAAAGTTGACAGGCACATATAGGGGGTACAGGAACAGGAGAACTGTTGGGTCGCCATGTTTTCTTAGATGACAAAAAGGAGAACAGGGAGGGAGGAAGAGGGAAAAACATCATGATAGTGCTCTCCATGTAAAGACTAAACAGTCTATCTATTATCATCTATTAGATCATGTTGCTAATCTCACATGTTACAACACCCGTCTACCTGCTCATATTCATTTTTACTGGCAGCTGGATTGAAACTATCCTTTTATATGTTATCCCCTTGGTGACAGATATCCTGACCCAAATACAAACACAGACCTTAACATAAGATGACAATGCTTAATCGTATGCGTAAATGACCAAGATGGCAGCCCATGACACAGGAGGCTCCATTGGACCGACTATGGCGGCTGCTTTAAACAAACGGGATGATTTCTTGGCATGCTGCTGTTTATTTACATTTTTGTTGCTATGTGCTTCGTTATATTTTGCATCAATCTGATTGGTGTGATTACTAGCACTAATGATGCTAACACCCCTTGGGGAAAAATTAAAGGAATTGGATGGTTACAGACCTGTTTACCAAGGTCAACTGGTCTGATGACGGCAGGCAGATTTAAAACTGCTGATGAAGTTACGCACACATCTGTGAATTTGGAAACTCCCTGATCATACCTACTGTTGGATTTAACACCAATCCATGCATCGACATGACTCATACGGTGACCTGCAAGCGTTTTCTGCTTTTTAAAGTGCTCAGTGCTGGGAGAGAAGTCAAACATGCCAGCACGAACCTCATCTACATGAGAAAAGCTGAAAATTGGCCGTGTAAGTAGCAACTGTGTCTTTTCCTGTGAAGAAAGCTGCCTTTACTGGAGGTTTGCGTTGATAAATTGCACTCTTGGAATTGAAATAAGTGGTAAAATGTTGACATCAGTGATGATACTGGTCTGAGGATGTTTAAATAAATACCCTCTTCAATGGTTTTCTCAACATTTGATGAGATGGCAACAGTGAGTAAACACATGGTCTAAACATAGACTTTCCTGCTGTTTTTGCAATGAGCAAATCAAGCTGACATTTGGCAGGCAAGGGCCGTTCCTATCGAAATCAACAGGCTATATCATTGGAACGTGAGGGGGACATATGTGCAGCATTGACTAGACCTCCCTCCGTTGGCGTAGCATACTCCCACCTTTCCCTTTGCAGAGAAGGATGGTTGAGCAATGGAAATGTATTCCTCACTGTCTGGTGATATGCTCAGGTCTCCAAGTTTATGTTCAGAACTCAGAGGGGACCAGTGGGCGTGAGAGATTTATTGTGCAAGAGGCATGGAGAGCTAATGCTTCAGGATCTGCATGTGCTGGCTGTGCTGTCTCTCACCTTCTGTTTAGTAGGTGGAACTAAGGATGTGCCAAAACCTGTCCCGGGTGACCTGTTGTGTTGTGGTGCCTACTGTCAGTGCTTAACAACCGTGCATTCAGCCTAAATTGGTTGGTTTGAAGAGAAAAACAGTTTACTTTGAGTCATACGTCTTAAATGACAGGTTGGGATTGTTTCAAATCTATCTCAATACAGCACTCACACGCCATTTGTAGTGTGGTGTGAAAGTACTCGTATCCCAACGCATGAAGCCTGAAAATAGCCATTGTTGGACTTTGAGGAACGTATTTTTTTTTTTTAGATTCTGATCCTCACCTGCAACACGGACAATATTGACAATATTGACTTTAAATGCAAAAGGCATCTACTATTACTTTTTGAATCTCAGTATCAGTGCCGGGGATAGTAAGTGAAATTCAAGCTGAATTGTTGTGTGTCAATGGCTTTATACTTAAAATGCACCATTTGATGGCAACCTGAAAGCTGCATTTAATGGTAATAACTCCATTATGATAACAGTGAAGCTCTTTGTATTAACAGGTCCACTTACACTCACTGGCCACTTTATTAGGTACACCTGTCCAACTGCTCGTTAACACTTAATTTCTAATCAGCCAATCACATGGCGGCAACTTAGTGCATTTAGGCATGTAGACATGGTCAAGACAATCTCCTGCAGTTCAAACCGAGCATCAGTATGGGGAAGAAAGGTGATTTGAGTGACTTTGAACGTGGCATGGTTGTTGGTGCCAGAAGGGCTGGTCTGAGTATTTCAGAAACTGCTGATCTACTGGGATTTTCACACACAACCATCTCTAGGGTTTACAGAGAATGGTCCGAAAAAGAAAAAATATTCAGTGAGCGGCAGTTCTGTGGGCGGAAATGCCTTGTTGATGCCAGAGGTCAGAGGAGAATGGCCAGACCGGTTCGAGCTGATAAAAAGGCAACAGTGACTCAAATAACCACCCGTTACAACCAAGGTAGGCAGAAGAGCATCTCTGAACACACAGTACGTCGAACTTTGAGGCAGATGGGCTACAGCAGCAGAAGACCACGCCGGGTGCCACTCCTTTCAGCTAAGAACAGGAAACTGAGGCTACAATTTGCACAAGCTCATCGAAATTGGACAATAGAAGATTGGAAAAACGTTGCCTGGTCTGATGAGTCTCGATTTCTGCTGCGACATTCGGATGGTAGGGTCAGAATTTGGCGTCAACAACATGAAAGCATGGATCCATCCTGCCTTGTATCAACGGTTCAGGCTGGTGGTGGTGGTGTCATGGTGTGGGGAATATTTTCTTGGCACTCTTTGGGCCCCTTGGTACCAATTGAGCATCGTTGCAACGCCACAGCCTACCTGAGTATTGTTGCTGACCATGTCCATCCCTTTATGACCACAATGTATCCAACTTCTGATGGCTACTTTCAGCAGGATAATGCGCCATGTCATAAAGCTGGAATCATCTCAGACTGGTTTCTTGAACATGACAATGAGTTCACTGTACTCAAATGGCCTCCACAGTCACCAGATCTCAATCCAATAGAGCATCTTTGGGATGTGGTGGAACGGGAGATTTGCATCATGGATGTGCAGCCGACAAATCTGCGGCAACTGTGTGATGCCGTCATGTCAATATGGACCAAGCTCTCTGAGGAATGCTTCCAGCACCTTGTTGAATCTATGCCACGAAGAATTGAGGCAGTTCTGAAGGCAAAAGGGGGTCCAACCCGTTACTAGCATGGTGTACCTAATAAAGTGGCCGGTGAGTGTATATACCAATAATTCAAGTTTAACTGCTATTTTGTTCAAATATGATGGACCCTTCTACCTCTTGTGCAGTTTGACTTTTAAAGGGATATCTCAGTGTTTTTAAGCTGGTCAGCTCAGCCTCTTTAACAGGAAACTACAGTTAGAAACTGGAACTTAAATATGCACACATTTTCTTACACCTGAACCATACTGTATGCCTGGAGGTCACACATCTTAGTCTCTACAGGAAGGCAATTGCACTGTTGCATCAAGTGTGTACGTATTACCTCAGTCCTCTTGGAGGGCGAGGCCAGTTTGGCACATTCAAAACAGGTGTGAGCCTGATCTAATGCCCGAAGGAAGAAAAGCTGTGACCTTTAGCTCACTTTTTTTTTAACTGGCCTAGAAGTGACCTGTTAGTGTCTGATAGTGTTAGAAAACTCCTGGAAAATATCAGAACGACTGTATAAGATGTTACACTAGACCAGGGGTCGGCAACCTTAAACACTCAAAGAGCCACTTGGACCAGTTTCCCACAGAAAAGAAAACACAAAACCTCTTTGACATCTAAAATGAAGATAACATTGCACATATCTTTTTTTTACCTTTATACAAAGTATATAAAAAACTGTAGCGAGTTGCATTTATGAAATAAATGAACTATTTCGGCGAGTGTCTGTCTTCTTCTGTAGTCAAACCGCAAGATATCAAAATCTACCCTGATACAGCAATGCTGCTTTTTGATTGGCTGTTCAGTAGATATACTTTATTTGATTGGCTTGTGCGTGGCACGCAGCTTCTGAACTCTCAGAGGAACTCAGTTGATTTCCCCCAGTTCCATAGTTGAAGAAGTGCAACTTGGTGGACATCACCGTGTTCATTTAAATGCGTGAGAAATACAGTGTGTGGTGTGTGAGCGTGTGAACGAGTGGGAATGCGTGTGTCATACCCTGAATGCGTGAGACTTGAGAGCCCTGTGCTCACGCATCATCGATGTACTCCCGAGCCATGCAAAACGGTCTTTGAAAATGTTGCACTGAACGCCTTCCTTTTCAGTCTTGGTGAAATTTTCCCACAATGTTTTAGGTCGGGATTTGGGTTGGGTTGTGTCCATGTTTTTCTCAGCCGCTGCCTCGGCCACGGCTGTTTCTTTTCTGTGCGTCCTGCTGATGTTTACACGCCGGTGTCCATGGACATATATAAAGACCCGACGAATCGATTACAGAATTTGTTGGCAACGGATTTTTTCGTCACGACGAATCTACTTAATCGATTCGTTGTTGCAGCCTTAATAGTTTATTTAATGTTACAAGAGCATTATAATCTTTGAATTTAGAATCACAAAAAAATAATAATAATAATAAAATAAAATGCAATTAAGTATTTATTATTTATTTTCCAAATCCATTGGGAGCCGCAGCTTAGGGAAGAAAGAGCCGCATGCGGCTCCAGAGCCGCGGGTTGCCGACCCCTGCACTAGACCAATTGACTATCTAGTTTAGCTAGTGTTTGAAATTAGCCATTAAATTTAGGATGTTTTGATGGTCCTCATGACTTTGTATGTAATTCAGTCTTATGGGGCGCTCAAACCATGTGCGAGTAAAAACATCTACTCGCTTATTTCACACGAATCTAGACGCATGAATGAGTAGTATCTACTCGCTTCATTCGCGCGTCAACGGTAATTTCAACAGTAATCCCTGCCAATTCAACTGGTGGGGTCAAGTGATAGACAAAGGTTTTTCACAATTTACAAGGTAATCCGACCTCCTCACTCCTTTGCTTCCAGGTTAGCTCCTTTTTATTCCGGTAATTGAAAAAAGGTATCATATAATTCGGGGCACCCTTACACCGACATGGCCCGTTTGTCCTCCATTTTAGATACCAGTGAACAACCGTCTGTTTTAATACCTCACCTGGCAACCTTAGTATTGATTAGTTATTGCAACGCTAATATCAGCTCAAGTTAAGACATTTTCAGCTCCCGCCGAATTCGCCTTGTTCGCGCCACCGGAGTGGTACAAGCGTCTAATCGCGTCTTTGCATCGACTTAACATGTAATTCAGTTGCGCAGTTGATTTTACTCGCACTTGGTGTGTGGAGACAGTTAGGTCTTTCTCTGCTTTAGTCTTACACAGACGAGAGCGAAAAGCAATCTTATCTACCCTGCACAACATGCATTAGGTGCAGCAGGGGTAGAAAGTGATGAGAGATTATATAAATCATTCATCACAGATCTGTATTAGACACTAACAGCCACAAATATACTTGAGGTGTCATCTTTGAGCAGGAAACAGTGGTGTATTCAGTTCTCCATGTATGCATAAATGGTTCCCAGATTCCTTTCCCTTTGTTAGGCCCATAATAATGCACTCTGGGATGTTACTATGCTTTTCATGAATTTTCCCTTTAATTACCACCTGAATGGTGACAAACCACTGAATGCATATGAATGGCTGCACTAAAATGTATGACTCACTGGTGACAATGTGCAGATTACTGTCGTCCCTCGGCCGACTGTGTGCAATGTGGATGTCAAACCACACAAAGGGATGAAATATAACGAACAGCAAAGCCAAACATGTAAAAATAAAGAAACAAACAAACATGCACACAGACACAAAAAGCAACACAAGCGCTGCCGTCTTCATACATAACACATTCAGCAAGGCCGCTTGTTGTTTCTGCTGCAAACCCTTCAAGACTTTAATGAGTAAAATGTTAGCGCATGTTGGGTGGATGGATTTTCACACTAGGAAAATTCTGCCAGAGAGGTTTCACACAGAGACATTGTTTCATTATACACATATCAAAGAAATACACACAGACGCACACACACAGAAATGAATACAGACTCGAGCAACACTTCACATTGTTGGAAGCTGCGTACTGCAGTCATGGGGCTCTGTGTGTCTTCTGTTCTGTATTCAGTGGCCGCCCGTGGTTTGGAAATAACTCATTTCTGAAAGCAAAAGCCTGACACCCCACTGTGTCTCCTATTGGCTTACTTTTGTTTTTGTTTTTCAGCTGCTCTAATATTGCTTTCCCCCCGGGCTCGCTCACTTGAGAACAATCTGCCTGAATTTACTGCAGCTGTAATGCCATTCTCCCCGGGAAAGGTGACCTCCACTCCAGGTGTGTTGAATCTGTCATACCTTCCCTGCTACCGCCGGTCCTGTTGCTAATGACAACGATACCTTGTGACGTCTCTTCCTGCTGGTTCAGTTTTTCAAGCTTAAGTGTGTTAATTAGGGTTATAAATAAACACTTATTTGCTGTGGGTTAATTGTGAGTTCACATGCGTAACATTTCATTCACTGGGCTTCGTGCAAGAATAAACAAATACACCCCCAACTTCATTTCTTCATGATTACTTTTGCATGTCAAGAGGATGCAGATGTGTTCATACCACTGATAATTGATGCACACAAGTTCAGACCCCGTTACCTTTGGATTTAATAAGTTGTATTTGGTGGTTTGGAGTTTCCTGCCTTTCTATCTGTTGAAGGATTATATGGCAGGGAGACCACACCTTCACCGAGGCAGCCAGAGCAGCAGAGTACACACCCAGGGTACAGAACAGAGCAAGCATCAGACAGAGTTAGCATCTAAAAGTTGTTGGGGTCCACATGGATCAGGGATTGACTACCGGAGTGTTCTGTTACTGATAAATCCATAACCAGGAAGTATTTCTCATCTTCATGAACTGATAAACAGTCGGGTGTCTTATTTTGAAACTTACCGGATGACATACGTACCGATGTAACACGCTTTACACAGATCCTGCGGGCTTTAGGTTAAAAGGTATATTCTGGTGAAAATTAATTTAGGGTCAAACATGCTGGAACACCGAGTTAGACACCTGGTCGAGAGATGAATGTTGCTGACCGCTTGCTTCTCTAGTCATACCAACTTTAGTGACAACCGTACGATAGCAAAAGACAGCGGTCTGAGGAGCCATAAACAAACCTCAACCAAAACACCACTCTATAGCCACAAATAATGATCAGGACAGCACCTAACTTCATCAACAGTACATATAGGGTCCCAGCCACAGCACTACCCGCCAAACATCTTTTTAACTTTGCCTAATTTCTTAAGCAAAGAGACGGACCAGTCCACTATGGACTGCTGCGGGGTGACGCAGCATTTTGCTCTGCAGGCGCGGTAGTTCTTCTGCCTTAGTGTCTCGGTCTGATTATATTTCCATGAAGAAATGGTAAAAAATGGTATTGTAAAAATATAGTGAAATCAAAGCCTCTCAATAATACATCAGGTGACATAGACTTACTCTTTGGAGCTTGCAACTTTTTAAAAGATTTTTTTTCCTTTATTAGACGAGACAGCAGAAATAAAGTGAGTAAAAAGAAAAAGGGTCCATGCTCCAAATAATTTGAGAGTTTCAAATTGATCCCACAACCAAGGATGGACATTTAATGCATAATCCTGTTCGATAGTTACTTGGAGCACTTTAACAATCAGTCAAATAGTTGCCTTGCCTTCCTCTAGGGGCTCTCTCTGCATAGTTACTGCAGGATTATGTAAGCTAATATTACCTGATTAAGTTTGCATTTGAAGTCAATTTTATTTACTTATTAATTTATTCGTTTTTTAAGAAGTTCCTCTTAACTTTTTCTTGGCTGATAAAGTCTCTGCAGTTTTTTGTCTTATCATGAATTATTTTTTCTTCTCTTATTAAATTTGCAGGAAGGCCAGGCCTGATAAAAATGAAAAATTATATTTTAGAATAAGATAATAGTAGCACAAACTAATTATTTACTAAAAATTAATGAGGATATAATTATTAGAAAAATATAAGAGCAGTGCAGCTAGGACTGTAGTCGTATATGGGGCACCTGATCTGGGGCAATGAGCCAAACCAGGACCCTAGAGAGGGATGATTCTCTGGCTGTGAGAAAGACTCTTGTCCCCTACATCTGACCCCTGGACATTTTCCAAGTGATTCGAGGAGGCATTGCTCTATTTTTGGTCACTTTTATCAGTACCTTACAATTTCTGAACCTTCTGGAGCCCCATGTTAACTCAAATTGCATCAGCACACTTCTTAAGTAGCAAGAAAATTGAGTTTAAGATACACAGACATTTCTTTTTCAAAGAGATATAGGTTCAGATTTGTTAGGAATTCTGCTATTAGATATAATTCATGTCTCGAGGCTCTGGGTCAGCATTAACATCAAGATTTCTGGATAAGAATACTAAATAAAACCCCTGCACCCATGTGGACATCCGCTAATGTGCTGACTACAGAGCACCAGTGGAAATTCTCTTACTGTAACCTGTACCCTGGAGATCTATAATAACCTATGGTTGCTATACATCTGATGTGAAAAAAGAGCTGCAGGGCCATGCAATGTAAAACGGTCCACTCCATTAATATCACAGGAGCTGTAAAGCTGTCACTGCCACTCCATGCTCTTCCCACATAAAGCTGATTTGTGATGGCTCCAATCCGCCAGCCCTCAGTCTCCCTAATGATGGCAAGATCCATCACACTCATTTAATCAGAGCTGAAAGGAAAGCAAAGAAGACGGATGAGGCCATTGTGCGCCTCAATAGGTACTTTATAAAGTCCCCTCCATGCCCTGTCCCGCACTGCCGAAAATCCAGATGATAATATAATCAGAAACTTAGTGCAGTAAAAGTTGTTGTTTCTCTTTCGTAATCACCTAACGAAACTTTTGAAGCTGATGAGCGCAGCATACAAAACAACATCAACTCGAGGAGTGATGGTTTGATCAAATGAAGCATCCATTCCTCTCAAAGTAGTTAAGGCCAGAGACAAAGAAACAACTTTTAGAAGATGAATTGAAACTTGATGAAATTTTTCCTTCCAGACCGATAGACAAAAGGCTCAAAGAAATACCTGAAAAAAAAAAAAAAAACTTCAACAGCACACTGAAATATGGTAGTGTATTATGTGTCAAAACCCACAGAAACATCTTGAAAGGAAACGCAGTGAGGAGCTGTTATTAAGGATGATACACACATTATAGCTCCGCTGCGTAATGTGGATTCCTCTCCGACCTCTCTCTCAGGCCTTTGTATTGAATGTTCTTTCTATCTTTTCCATTTTATCCTCTCTTGACCTTCCTCTCATTTCCCTTCACTTTCCCTCCCTCCTTATCCATCCATTTCTTGCCTCAGCCCTTTTTTTCAGTCCCTGCCTTCACCCTTGCAATTTCCTTGCCTCAACCTTGCAATTTCTCTGCACTGGATTCTAACCCAGATTCATTACAAGCAAAGGTGGCAGCTGTAACCGTTACACCGCAGGCCTGCCTGGTCATGCTCAGCTTTCTTAAGACATTTCTTCACAACACTTCATAATGGTGAGGAAGCATTTCATAACTGCTTCATGGGTTATGTTCTCTATTGGGATTTGAACCCAGTAACACTTCACTGAAATGTGGTAGCCTTAACCCTTCAATGTAATCAGAGCAGTCACTTTTCTAGCCTCAAACTCCTCCAACTGTACCACTCTGCTGCCTCGAAGATTTCACTTTTTCAAGGTTTCCTGCCACTCAGACTCAAGACCAGAGGAGCCTGAGCCTGGTTTAAACTCTAAACTTCCAAACTTTGAGGCAGAAAACTTGACCACTACACCACTGAGATATCAGTTTTCTTGCTTTCAAGGTCCCATTACTTTCCTTGTTAATCCTGGGACTACAAAAGCTTTTTTCCAACTCCAAATACGCAAAGCCAAACTGGGATTTGAACCTGAAACACTTTGACTGTAAGGCAGCAAGGTTAGCCACTACACCACTGAGATGACTGTCAGTAAACTTGTTTTCAAGGTCCCATTACTTCCCTGTTTATTACAAAACCGTTTTCCCAACTCCAGATACACCGAGCCAAACTGGGATTTGAACCTAAAACTCTGACAGTAAGGCAGCAAGTTTAGCCACTACAACACTGTGCTGCATGAAAGGTTATCTTCTCTCAAAGTCCCTCGACTTTCCTGTTTATTTTAAAGCTTTTGTCCTAGCTTGAAACAGACACACCCAAGTCTGTATTTGAACCCAGAACTCTTGGACCATGAGGCAGCAACCTTAACTCCAACCCTTAATCCTAAACCCTCTACCTCAGGCTTTTTTTTTGTTCTTCCTTTCACTGTTTCATAATGGTTGCATGAAGAAGGCATCAGTGTGAACGAATCATTTCATTACCCTTTCACATAAAGGAGGTTTCTGAAGGGACTTGAACCCAGCACCATTTCAATCAGTGGCATTAACTCTTACTACACCACTGAGATATCAGTTTTCTTGCTATCAGTGCCCTATTACTTTCCTATTAATCCTGGGACAACAAAAGCTTTTACCCAACTAGTAATCCACTAAACCAAACTGGGTTATGGACCTAAAACACTTTGACAGTAAGGCAGAAAGTTTAGCCACTACAACACTGTGCTGCATGAAAGGTTTTCCTTTCTCAAAGTCCCTCTACTCTCTTGTTTATTCCAAAGCTTTTGTCCCAGCTTGAAACAGACACACCCAAGTCTGTATTTGAATCCAGAACTCTTGGACCATGAGGCAGTAACCTTAACCACAGTCCTCAATCCTACACCTTCCACCACAGGCCATTTTTATTAATTTCACCATTTCATGATGGTTGCTTGAAAAAGTAGTCTAGAGCGCAGTTTGAGAAAATCATTTCATTACACTTTTAAAAATAGGAGGTTTCTGAAGGGACTTGAACCCAGCACCATTTCAATCAGTGGCATTAGCTCTTACCTTTAGACCACAGGGGTGACTGAGTTTTTTTTTTTTTAAATGTTGTATTCGGCTGCATTGTCAAGACAGCATTTCATTCCTGCATCACACAGGTCGCTGATGGGATTTGAACCTAGACCCAACAGCCCAATCTGTAACACCACAGGCCAGTCTGTCCTGCACGCATCTATTTGTCATTTCATCACAACACTTCATTTTGGTTGCTCAAAAGCAAACTTCAGACTCTATCTTGAGGAAAGTGAACAGGATTTGAACCCAGAACCATTTCAGTTCAAGATGACAGCCCCTTATATCCCGCCAAAGACCTGCCGGGCTGTACTCGCCTTATTCACTGAGAGCCGAGCTGTTTTTGAACTCCATCACAAAGTTAGATTCAGGTGCTTCCTGTCCCTCAATATCCAGTCAACATGTCCCAACACTAACGCTCTTGTCTTAAGCCCTTCATAACCATCGTTGCCAAGAACAACAATGTGCAGACAAACCAGAAACAGATGGACAGATGCTGCCGGAAGAACTCACTAAAAGAAATTTGGTGTCACTGGCAGTAGACCACTCTTAGCACATCCATAATAAATGTGTTTTGTGTTTGTTATTGTGCAGGAATTGTACAGGACACCCAAGTGCCAAAGTGGGCCAGCTGAGGTGGTGGGCTCGTGTCCCTGGAGGACCTGGCAGTCCACTGTGCAGTCAGCTGTGCATGATGACGGCGAGTTAGTGCAGGGAGTGGGAGTGATGTGGGGAAGTTATGGAAATAAGCCCGTAATTCTCTCTCTGTCTGCAGGAAAGTCTGTTCATGGCTGCACATGCTGTTGTGAGACCTGTCCTTGCACTCAGACACTCAGCAGGAAAGGTGAAAATAAAGAGATATTTGACATCCAATAACACAACTTATGAGAGACAAGTGCACAAAAGAGTTATGAGACAAGGTTACATGATTTTGTTAGTGCTTTCGCAGTAGCATAATAAATGAAAAGTTTCTTTCTCCTCTCCTTTGTGCCCACTCACGGCCATTTCTTATGCTCTGGCTGCAGTCGGCCTTTACCTGCTTTGGAGTTCAGACAACTCCACACTGTAAATGGCGACGCCTGTGCTGTGTTTGGGCTTTACGTCTGCGATTCAGCAGAAAGTTGACAATGTTATTCTTCGCCTAGAGGTATTGAACCATATCCAACGGTGCACAGCAGGCCACTAAACCATCTGGGGATGAGTGTGTGTGTATTGTCAGGGCTGGGTTGATATATCGAGAAACCAAACTGGGGGACAGAGAGGGAGGAGGGAGGGTGGACAGTGGGAGAAGACAGAGGGGTATATGGGAGTTGGAAGTGTGCAAGCAGCCAAACAAATAGCTGACTCTGTATTCCTGCAAGCAAAATGAGGTTACCTCTCTGGCAAAAGCTGCCCAATAAACTCTGCAATGAGGTTAAGGTCGTAGTTAGACAGGACTCAAGGCTTATCACTTTATGGGAAAGTGCTTGAGTGTACAAGCATACATTAGGAGGAGGAGAAAGAGAAAGGGAGTTAAACTGGGTGGAGGGGTGGAGGAGATGCACACAGAGAAAGATGCCTACCTTCACTGTTTGACAGAGCTCAGCCCAGTGGGACAGCCTGTGCCACCATATTAGATTTTCTGCCTTATTGCCTCAGCCAAACTCTCCCGCCTCAGGTCACTCTCCAGTATATGGGGAGGATACGAACATTACTCCAATCTCCTGGAAAACCTCCCAGTTATGTCGATCTAAAGGCCAAGGCTTTAATATCAGCTGGCTCACCTCTTTACAACCCACCCCGGGTTAATTCAATTCAAACAACGTTAACAGCGAGCATGTCAATAATGAAAATATTAACTCCCCTAATACATCTGGGTATATTCCATTTCAACAGGCAGGGGTCCTGAGAGAGCAGGAGGGGCTGTCTTAATAAGGAGCTGCATGAGCGGCTGCATCAGTACTCGTTTTGTTAATAAATGATGAGGGCTGTGTTGCCAAAGACGCTCAGTTCACCCTGGTTTACTCCAGTCATGTAGTAGATGAAGGTTATGGTTATGATGAGGAAGGGGTGTCGTAATCTGTAACTGACACAGACCACATCCGAGTGCTTTTTAGAAAGGAGTAAATGCAGTTCAGATCAATATAAGTCAAAAGGAGGAGGGAGGTTTTCTGTTATCAGCTGCCATTCATAACAAAGTATGAAGTACTAACTCTGTTATTGTATCTGTTATTATCATCATCATCATCAGGATGGCCGTATTTCTTGGAGAGCTGCACAAGTATGGCTAAACCGATACTCACAATAATTTTGATCGATATTGGGGTCAAAATTTTTGATCATGTGACTATTTTCTTATGGTTAATTATTTTTGGTCTAAAATCTAAAAAAAAAAAAAATATCCATGGCTGCCATGTCTGTTGCACAAAATGGTTGCAAACTTTTCCTTCTTCCACGTGTCTTTTGGGGTCAGAGTCTTTAAATCCACATTGCACTCTGCTTTAGTCTGTGCGGCGCCCTGTAGTGGATATACTAATGCATGGAAGTATGAGGGCCAAGGGAGAGCATAAATTAGCCCTTTGTATATCATGTAACTATGATATCTCTATTATTGTTTAGCCATGCAGTCATTATGCTGTAAATGATGTACCTTCTGAAAGCTTATACTTTTTGGGATTACAAATCAATTGAAAATTTGCACCTCCCAACTGTTATTTTAGTTGTTTTCATCCAATTATTTGACATACACTCTACCATAGAAAGGGTATTTCACAATAAAAGCATGGTTGAACCATGTGGGAAATAAAGCACCTGAACTGCAAGGCAGAAAAATATCAAAATAAAAGCATAATAATATTTTATAAAACAATGTCCTTTCCAAAGAAGTTTAGTCACAAGAATGCTGATTTTTGTTTTGGCAAAGTCATAAAGTTTAAGGTTGTCCCACCTTTACTCAGTTTGACTGGTTTTGTTTTATTTTCACGTTTTTTTAAAATGAATATCAAGATAATATCATTATAGGGATATCTTTAAGACAATCAAACTCAAGTTGCGCATTCAACTCTGTTAAATGAAGTCCTGGCTATCCTATTCTATTTCATTTTATCTAATCTCATCCCAACCCCCTCTCATCCCATCTCATCTCATCCCAACCCTCTCTCATCCCATCCCATCTCATCTCATCTCTTCTCATCTCTTCTCATCCCAACCCCCTCTCATCTCATCCCATCGTATTCCAACCCCCTCTCATCTCATTTCATCCCATCTTATCCCAACCTCCTCTCATCTCACCTCATCCAAACCCCCTCTTATATCATCTCATCTAATCCCATCCCAACCCCCTCTTATTTCATCTCATCTCTTCATAACTGATGCATGTCTCACCACTAGATGATGGCTGATATGCTCCAAGATTGGTCCTATCTTAAAGGTTACCAAACTACATTAAATCAAGCTGTCTCTGAGACACTGCAGCAGACATGTGACAATCAATGATTATTATGCATTCCCTGTTTATTAGCAGATGCAGATGGCTTAGTCTGGAGTGTCCTAATACTAGTGATTAATATCAACTAATAATGGGCCATTAAACAGATTGATATCATCTGAATCAGGTGTTCTGCCAAAGCTTGAAGGCTTGATGAAATGCTCTTTATCTGCATGCACATACTTATAAGACTACCAGAAAAAAAAAAATGCAAGACTAACATCCGTAGCCGACACCCATGCTTTGATTTGTGGGGTAGATAAAAATGACAAATGTAGCCTAGATGTGAAGATTCAGTCTCAAGCTACTACAAGGAAGCATCCCTCCACATGTGCACAATAGGATGCAACACTGTTCATATTCTCTGGCTTTTATGCAGATAACCTTCAACACCACAGTTGCCGTCATTCAGCAAATACGATGCAGAGGAAATGATACGGATGAACTCCTGACATTCAACGGCGTGCCACAGATGGAGTCAAAGCTCTGTAGGTGATTGTCAAAGCCTGGAAACAAATGAGGAATTTATGAACACAGGCCATATGACTCATCCATCATACGTGTGGGTGACATGGCCCCAGCATGTGCCGGAGTCTTTAATCTTCCTCGTGCAAATTCATATACTGAGCCTCGCTTGTGTTTTTTTCTATACGTGAGCTGATCCATGAATGGAGATTTGCAGCGGCCTCAGACACATTACTGCGACCAATAGGACTTGTCAGATTTGCTGCTGTGTGCCTGTCTCAAAAGAGGAATCATCCACATTGTGTTTGTTCCACTTGAAGTGCTGAATATGTACCTGAATGGACTAAAAAGAAGGCGAGAATTGGTGTAAATAATAAAAAAAAAACATCACTGTACTGTCATTTTCATTTTCTTTGCAGAGAAAAAGGAGTCAATCAGCAGCGCAGGCAGGAAAAGGGCTGACTGAACTCTGCGTGCAAGGGTATGCAAGGAAACTAAGGGGACAAAGAAGAGCAAGAGAAGTTTTCCTCCAGCAAATTAAATACGGATAAGTGCTCTCTCTCAAAATTGGGGAAAAGAAAAGAGGTATTTGCCAGAAACTGCAGTCATTTCTAGGTCGATGAGAGAGGAAAAAGAAAACAACAAGATGAGACTGCAGTTGAAGCACTGTTATTATCAGCTCAGGAATCAGTAACAAGCTTTCCCTCATTAATGGACAAATGGCGATGTCACTAAAGTGCGAATTCATGGATGGCGTCTCCTAAAGAATGGCCGCCTTAATGACTAGAGATTCTTATTTTAATGGGAAAAGACTAAATTATGTAACTCAATTCTCTGTGCCACATTTAAAGTCTTCTGGCCTTAATCTTTGCGCAGCACAGAGAGCTTTCTAATCTCTGTGACACCAGTCAAGTCCCATCAGTCCTACGGTAGTTATGATGTAAGGAAGTGCAATAAAATGACAGCGCATCATCAGTAAGAGCAATAATATATTTGAACATTCAGGGATTTCTCACTCTATTGCGTTTCTTCTGTTTGGTGATATGAATACATAAAGCTGGAAAGAACATCCAGAGCCGCATCTTTGTAGTCTGGGTTCCCGTCCAAATTTCTTTTCAAGTAGAGCTTTTGATTTGATGAAAAGGTTTAAATGTGTTCAGGAATACCCACAGGGTACTAACATACCACCAAGAATACACGGAAATAATATGCTCTGCTTTTGAATCCAGCACAACCTTTAAAATGTATCATCAGTGTCCCTGTTTCCCCCGGCCCGATCAAAATATGATTGAATTTTATGTCTGGTCTCTGTGATTATTGAGTTCTGAATCTGAAAACAAACAGGAAAACTTTACCTCCTTGTAAGCCCTGTGTAAGGGTTAATATATGGTGAGCAGGTGGTTATGCAAATTAGTCCTGGCAGGGTGAGCAGAGACCTGACTTAAAGCTGTAAATAAGTTGGTCTCTCTGATTCTATGGTTGGTGGCGTTTCCATGCCAACAGATTCTTATCAGCCTTTTCAAAATACAGATTGACATCAAACCTAATGCACAATAATTTAGTGTAGGGCTGCAGCTATCGATTATTTTAGTAATCGAGTACTCTATCGATTAATCTGTCGATTAATCGAGTAATCGGATAAGAAATGTTTTGCTCTCACTGTAATACTTTGCATTGAATCACGTTTGCCTCAGAGCGGACTTAATGCATGGACCGGGTGTTTTCTTTTAAGGTGCTGCAGCATTGACGACGTGCTGTTGTAAAACGCCAACTTTGCCTTACAGTGAACGCACTGCACGGCGTTTTCTTTCCTTTTCAGTGTGTAATGGTCCCACACTTTAGACACTTTCTGCCGTTTCCTCTGCGTGTCATCTCTTTCTTCCTCTCTCTGTCTGTCCTCGTTTCCCTCCATGATTGAACCAAACGCGCCATAGACATAATAAAAGATAGACCCCGCATCGGCCGCTACCACGAATGGGCGCTGTCGAGAAATGCGGCCGCCATCTTGGTCCGGTCACCCGCCTCACTCTGCACCGCTGTTTAACCGGCGGAATGAAGTCTGAGCGCATTAATGAATCATAGTTCGCTCAATACTACGTAATTTTCTTCTCTGCAAACGCCATTCAAAGAGGCATGATAGAGGCCATATTTTTTTTTGGCGTTTTCAAATACTCAGAATGAATAAAATGATATTTTAGAACATGGCAGCAGTGGCTGTATTATAGTATAACAATTAATCAAGGATATATTTAGGTTTAGAGCTAGGTTCCTGCTATGTCTCAATTATTATTAATAACTGGCGGTATTAATAGGCCAATTCAGTATATATTGATTTGATTATAATTTTTTATATAGTTTAATTTTATTTATCCATTTGTAGACACACACAAATAATGTCATATAGAAGCACTATTTTAATAACTGGAAAATACACACAAATATATAGCCTACATATCAAAAAGATTTAAACACAAGAACAGCATGACAGGACAGCATCTAAGCTACATATCAATTTGCTTGTTGGCTACACAGCACAGAGGAATCACTTGCTGCGAATTTCTCCCTCTAACAGCAATCTCCCACTTCTTCCTCAAGTTTTTGTCCTTAGGAAATCTTCAAAATGAAACAGGAGATCACCACAAAGAAATCTTTAATAAAACAGATAATAAAAAAAAGCTCACTTTCTTCCTTTTTCTTTCTATTTTATTTCTTAACGTTTCTTAGAACCTCTCTCAAACAAAAGTTTTTCAATCTAATGCAAATCTGTTGATAATCGACCAAAGTTGCTATTATTGTGAATAAGCTAGCTGTTCGCAAATGCTGTTTCCTTTTTGGAGTTGACCGATAGTCTTCCTCTTTGGCCTACAAATGACTCTATTGTCAAGTGTAATGTTGGAAAAAGGTTTAATCATAACTGTGAAAAGTTATTTCTTGAGCCCTGTTCTCTGCTGTCCGCCTGTTGGCACAGGAATACGCCGCACAGTGCTCCGGCATCGCTGAATGAATGAATATGATTGACCGGAGCGTATGGGAAACTTGACCTGACCAAGATGGCGGCCGCATTTCTCGCTGCGCAGCACCCCCAGCGGGGTCTACCCTTTTATTATGTCTATGATGTGTGTCTATGAAACACGCGGCAGCGGAAGGAGCGGAAAGAGCACGCTGCTGCGCAACAGAAATAACCGTCCGTGTCAAACACCGTGCGCTGCACATGGTTCCGGATTTAAACGATTCCTCGAGGCATATAATTTGCCTCGAGGAATTTTATTAATCGAGTTACTCGAGTTACTCGAGTAATCGTTTCAGCCCTAATTTAGTGAAAATTCACAATACACTAAAGACAAAATGAGCGTGACTTTAGCAGGAATACTTGATGTTTCTGTCTGAATTAAAAGCTCCAGTGAGGAACTTCCTGTTTTTGTCAACTTTGGCTGAAGACAGCAATGCCACACGATGGCGACAGAAGGCAGCTCCTCAACAAGTGTCGCTGTAAGCGCTGCAGAGGGCGTCCTTTACACCGTCTCATATAAACACAGATGGATTTGGTGTGTGTAATGTTGGACCCACTGGTAAGACAAACACCCTTTTCCACAAATAAAGACACTCACATAAAGTTGCACATATTCAAACCTCACGTGACAAAGGTGGGTTGAGATCACAACATAAACTCCAAAAATGGCATTAAAATTGGAACCATCTGTGCGTAAATGACGCATCGCGCTCCGTGGCCTGGCTCTTTCTTTCATAGATGTTGGCATATAAAATAAATTTGGCTCACAAAACTGAATATTATAATATCCGTATGTCGGCTTAAAGTAGATAACGCATCTGAGCACTGAAACAAATCATCTGTTCAGCTGCAGCAGCAGGACGGGGAGAGGACACGGAGACGTGTCCAGGTCGAGCTGCGCAAGAAATAAGAGGAAGATGGAAAAGGAGGGAGACGAATTACATATCTTGTTAACTTCATCATGTGTGTTTATTTACTAGATATTTAATTTAATTTAATGCGGTTTCAGCTGTGTTGATTTGGTCAGGTTGTGTGTCCAAACGCGTGCCAAACGCGCTCATCAGATCAGATATAGATCAGAATATATCGATATAGATCTAAATGTATGTGCTGACTCAGATTATTAGTTGTTGATGATTATTTATTGCACTGAAATGTGCCTGACACTGTGGAAACCTGCCTGTGAGGCATCGGTGACGTATGCCGATACGCCGCTGGTCTACCAAAATACCACTAGACCAGCTGCGCTCCGCTTGCACTAAAAGCTGACCAGGTTTGAATCGGCGAGCTTTCAGCGCACTTTATACGCCACTGGCGAGCACGAAAATGTCACTGCGGCAGCTGATTCTGTCGACACCTCCCTCTGTCGCCACGCCCAACTTGGCGGATCTTGGTGCGCCTCAGGCCACAAAAATGCCAAACTGGCTATACGCCGGGCTCCGCCAGACAAATATACCACTGCGCGGGGTCCACCCCCCTCCACTGCCTCACCGGCGGACACGAGAATAGAGACCTTTATGTTGTCTGTGACTGAGTATTTAAAGCTTCTGGGAGGAACTTTTCGTTTTAGTGATATTGGTGCCCCCTGTGAAAGCACTGCTTTCTAAAAGTTACGACAGCAAAATTATCTGATTTGTTGCCGATGGTCTCATTTGATCTGGCCTCTATTTGAGAACATATAACTGTTAAAACTTGCAGCATTGTTATGCTTGTATTACTGCCAAATTTCCTGCCTTGGGCCTTATCTGACTCAAGAGCATGAATACTCATCTAATGCTGCACCTTAGCTCACTGAACAAGCCACCAACAAAGACTCACCAGAGAAAAGTACCATGTTAACATTCCCTGTCAGGGTTAGCTAATTAGCTGCTTAGCTACAGCTCATTGAACAGCATGAAAATGAATGTCAGTTTTTGATTTTCTGGGCTCTGGTATGATCTTTTTTTATCTGAGCTATGCGCTCATGACACGACGGTGAGCTGAGGTGCGGGATTTTGCAATTGTCTTTTTGCTGCAACTTCAGCGCCCTGTCTGCTGCCCAGAAGCTGCTGTCAGTCAAACCCAGACAACACACTCTTTCTGCTTAGACTAGAAAAAGCATTTCTAGTAATAGCCAGGCATCATTTCTTCCTTTTAATTAACTTTCACCAGAGGAAAAGAAACTTTTACTCCTAAAAGGATGCCTAATGGAGATGTCCACAGGACTTCCATAGATTAAAACCATCATTTACATACAGTATATGGCAGTTCTTAATGTATTAGCTGCTGGTGTCACTGGCAGAAGTTATTTGAAAACCTGTAATGATAATTAAAAGAGCATATGTGCATTTTTAATGAAATCATTAATTTATGAGCTCAAATATGAGGAATAATGTTTCTCATGACTAATATATGAATGCTCACTAAAAAGTTGTAACACTTGCACCATTTAAAGTTTCATAGCTATGATCAGTGAAAATACCCTTTAAAAGGTGCAGTGCGTAGAATAAAAGGAAACATCAGGGTCAAGAGTCTTGAATGAAACGCTCCTGTTACTGAGGCAACGGTGACCATTGAGGACCAAAAGTGATTAAGGTGATGTTTTTTGTTCTATTATCTAAATGTCCACAGTTTATAGCTTTGTTTTGAGATATTGATAAGTAAGTTTGTCACTGTTTTAGAAACGTGTGCTGACATTTGTGACAAAATACATGCGTAAGAAAAATGATGATTTCTGATGTCATTTTCTGAGGACGATAAATTTTTAGTAAGGCTATTTTAAAAGAATAAAGCCATAAATATATGAAGTTGTAATGTGACGAGATTTACAGCATATTGTTACAAAGATTTAAAGTCACAGTAAAGTCAAATAAAGTCATGTAAAATTAAGAGATTTGGTTCACTCTGAGCAGTTAACTGCATGTGCCAAAATGAGTGGTTAAATTGTCTGTATTGTTTTAGTACCTCAGTACCGCACTAGTTGAGACATGTTTCACCCCTCCTTAAAACAACACTATGCTGCTCATCAGCAGCCAACTCTTGGTAATTTGGTTAGTTAAAGGACGATGAATAGTGTCAGAGAAAATGAATAAATAATGAGTTATTGGCACAAATTCGTCATCTGTACTCCTTCATGACTTCGATTTATGGTTGAAAACTCTGATTTATTGATTCTCTGATAGTAATTAACAAAACACATTTGGTTCCTGCTAATAAATCCCGTTTCTTTGGAAAAATGCAGCTAAATTCTACATATTATACTTTTAAAAAGCATTGACTTGACAGATATTTTTCAGGGCTGTACTGGGTATTTTTACCAAAGAGACATGAGCCAACAAAACTGCAGCTGTCTGGTAAAAATTAAACATTATTCAGTCCTTTACCTCCAACCTATCAAGTCCTTTGACCGCCGAAATGATAAAACCAACACTAGAACAGAAAATGGAGATGTTATCTCACGTCATAGTGTGCAGTTATTTTGCCTCTCCTCGCTCACAGCTTGCTCCTGATAAAACTGCGGCACTGAGGTGAAGTAGTTTCCAGCGCGGCTCGCTTTATCTGCCTCCATCAGATCAAATAGATGATCTAAACGATTGAAAATCCCTCCGCTCCGGATACTCATGAGCAACTTTGCACGCCTGAGCGACATAAGGAAAATTGAGATGATGATGATGATGACAGCGCTTGATCACAGCCAGGGTTGTGCACGGGAAGATGTAGATGATTTGAAATACGCCAAATGTGATGCAACCACAAACCCTTATGTGCAGATGTTAAGTCTTTCTTATGGCGCTGTAAAGCCATCTGGGTAAATACAACTTCACCAATATTTTTAGTCTAACTGATTAAAATTAGAGTAAAATGTCTTCATCTTATTGACAGCCAGTAACTTCATCTTGTATCTTCTGCTCCCGCGCAAACTATTGTGATTTTAAACTCAACACAGGCAGCAGTGACTATAACATTTCCTCTTTACTCTGCGGGGTCAACAGCATCAATGGAGCCGGTGTGACTTAATTTCACTGATGCTAAATGCTGTGGCGGACTGAAAAACCCTTTTCTGCTATAAAATAGTAGAAGGTAGGATGTATTATACACAGAGGGATTTTAAACCATCTGGGAGTTAAAGTTTCCTTAGTTTAAGACGTCTTATAATCTGTTAAAAGTACATTTACCGCATAAAGGGAATAAAAGTGTCAACAGCTTGTGGTTTGTATTCTGCTGACGAAGGAATTCTGCAGCACTATTTTCGGGGCATAGACTCAGGTGACAAATGGTTCAACTGTGAAATAAAACCAGAAGGCCGATAAATGCCTCTGGGCACAAGAAAACTGACCAGTAAAAGAGGCCGCTTCGCTGTTAAGTCTTTCTTTCATTTATTAATAATAAGGCAGCTCAAATATAGATTAAAGGGTGTCTGATGATTACCATTAAAATAAAACCCTGAATTTTGTTTTATGCAAGACCAAAAGTTTCCAGTTGATCAACCTTCAGGTACTGTCATAATGAGTTTTACACAAAAGCAAAATGCAAGCCAGGTAATGATATTCATTAAAAGAGCTCAAAGCAGAGAGGTAATAACCGAAATGACTGCATGCATTTTCATTCTGTTTCTAAGTGTTGTTGTTTTTGTTTTGCTGACATAAATACAGAAGTGACAGATTAAAAGTAGAGGCCTGGATGACTTTTCACAACAGATGGCAGCACAATGTTTAATATTCAATCAAGCATGTAATGAGTATTAATCTTGGGTTCTGTATCAGGCTGATATGGACCAGGCTGAACCCTAATGCAAACTAAGATGATACCATACAGACCAGGTGGACCACAAATACAGACAAGGCTGAACCCTAATACAGACCAGGAGATACCCAAATGCAGGTAAGACTGGTGCAGACAAGGCCAAACCCAAATATAGACCAGACTGAACACTGATGCATCATGGACTGTTTTAGATCAGGATGAACCCAATTCCAGGCTTAGCCCTGATACAATTCAAATTAATACTGCAGGCTTAACCCACATGCAAACCAGACTGAACCCAAATAAGAATAAGCCTATTGCAGACCAGGTTGAATCAAAATGACAACTATGCTGGACCTTTGAAAAGGCTTAACTGAAACAGACAAGGTTGAAGCTAGATGCAGACTAAGTTCCTTAACAGACTTGACTGATGCAGACAAAGATGAACCCTAATTCACCCAGATGCACTCAGGACAGTTACAGACCAAGAGTAACCCAAATGCAAATCAGGCTTAACCCAATTACAAACCAGACTGAACCCAAATGCAGGTTAGACTATTGCAGACCAGGATGAATCAAAATGGCGACTATGCTGGACCCTTGAAAAAGCTTTACTGAAACAGAAAATTTTGAAGCTAAATGCAGACTAAATCCCTCTACATGCTAGACTGATGCAAACCAGGATGAACCCAATTTTACTCTGATGCACACAGGACAGTCACAGACCAAGAGGAACCCAAATTCAAACCAGGCAGAGCCCTGATATAACTTAGACTGATACAGACTGGGGTGAATCCAAACCATAGACGGTATATACTATGGATAACTTGGTTCTGCCTTCCGCCTGTATATGGATTTGAAGCCAAAAAGCTCTCGGTATTTCCAGGATTTTTCTTCATTTCCTGAAACCAGCACTGCGCAGTAGCGTTGTGTGCATTCGGCGAGAGAGTCGCTGAGAGTCACTGTGATGACACTCGGCTCAAACAGCGTATCCCCTGGGTGAGCTACACAATCCCTGAACGTCTATAGGCTGTATCAGGTGTCAATCAAAGAAAACATGAACCCCCTAATAACTTTTAAAAACAGAGCTTCATAGAAAAAAAGAGGACTTGAGCACAAACTAGTCTTACTGTAACTACATGTCAACATCACAAGCAGGAGAGAGAAAAATGTATGTTCTGTGTAATAAATTTCTAAAGTTTGTGCACATAACAACAGCTCCATAAGCTTTGCTGGCGGTGGCGGGATTTATGACCTATACTGCAGCCCATCAACAGAGGGTGCTGTTCTAGGAGTGGCTTCACCCAGCAAGGAGGCAGACTCTGTCCATTTTATATACAGTCTATGATCCAAGCACAGACCTGGCTAAACCCAAATGCAGGTTAGACTGAGTCTGACCAGGATGAACCTAAATGCATTACAGACATATGCAAACCAGGCATAATGAAGCTTGACACTGAAATTGCAGACTAGGCTGGATACTCGTAAAGGCTAGACTGTTGCAGACCAGGTTGAACCCAAATGCAGACAAACCTAAACCCTATAGTAGACTTGACAGCTGTAGACCAGACTGAATCCAATTGCAGATGTAGCTGTATCTAGATGAGGGTTGAAGGGATGCAAACAGATGAACCCAGATGCAGACTAGGCTGAACCCAAAGTCAGATTAGATCATAGAAATTAGTCCAAATTCAAGCTGAATAGCTGAATACGTTGGGGGAACATCACTAAGCAGCTCAAGTCCCGGCCAAGACTGGACACCAGGAGAATACACTAACTAGGGGTGATGAGGAGGTCTGTTAAGGCACACAGAGAGGGTTAGAGGAAATAAGCGGGAACTGAAAAAGCCAAAACACACCCAACGGTCAAACCTCAAGAGCAAGACCAGACTACATTTTTGCATCAACCACTTTTTGGACAACAACCACTTCAGAAAACAGTCTCAGAGCTGGACACGAAATGATTTCCCTTCACCTCTGGAGACTATAACATGTTCCTCTGTTCAAAGCAAATGCACAACAGCTACACCTGTAACTCGCTTTTATCGAAAATACCACGCCATGCTCATGGTTGGGCCAGTGTCGGCCAGTGATAGACAGAAGGAGAATGGGTTGGAAAACCAATCTTGTGGACAGCTGAGCCATAGCTGTACCCATGAAATATCCATACCGAATGCCCAATAGCTACAGGTTACAAAAAGCATGTAGAAAATGGTTTCAGATTTCCTATAAATGACTTCCATCTTTATTCATTGCTTTGTAAACAATTTGATACGCTACTGATGCCATTAGTAATACTGGTGGTGAAAAGATGAAGAAAGCTGCAAATCACCTTGAACCGCAGCTGAAGAGTAGATTAAATACAAACACAGGCGGTAAAACCTTAACGGTCTCGGCTGTTTTTTTTTGCTGCCGTTACATGCATTTCTAAACGCTCAGCGTGCTCTGTGAAGTTGACCATGTCATATGCAGGGAGTCAGGTGGAACTTGAAAAGTCAGGAAATGCATGCCTCTGTATTCACAAGGGAAGATCACCGTGCTCGGGTTTTGATAGGATATGACAGAACCTGGATAGCACAAAGATGCACTTGTGCAGAACATTGCCTTAAAAACACAGGCTTGGGGAATTTTTATAGCTCAGGGTACATAATGTTCTCCCTTTCCAGCTTCAGAAACATCCCACAGATCTCAGAGAAACATTGCAAGAAATCAGAAATAGACGGCATAGTGGACTTTCTAACAACAGCTAAAATAATAATACCACCGAAAATAGGCCAGTGTCATGACTTAGGGACTTGAAATCATAGGTTATTCAACAGTTTGAATCCGTTTCCCGCAAATGTGTTTCAAATGCTCACATCAGGATAAAATCTCATCACTTGGTGAGACAGCTTTTTTATTCTATCTGAAGAATAATGCGAGAATAAAGTGAGGTCACAGATCATTTTACTGCATAGATGAGGCTTCCTATTCAAAAGGCATTTGCTCAATTTATCTTAATGCAGCTATTTTTTTCTCCCACATGTTCAGCCAAACACATCTTATTATCAGAACAAAGTGCAGCTATAGCTCAGAGTGGAGTAAATACTCTGTAATTACCTCAGGCGAGCGGCTAGCTTTTTGGTCCCATTTGTGTGTTTGCCTGTAAAAATGATATTTCAAAAAATTACCCGAGAGCTTCCAATAGAGTTTTTGGTGACACTCGGTTTAAAAAAAAACAAAACAGCATAATAATGGAGACGATAAAAAAGGGAGTTATATAATTTGAAAATGACGGTTGCAAAATCACTCAGTTGTCACTCGTTACCTAATTTGGATTATGCAACAAAGGCTGGAGAGTAAAGTGTTACCCAAAGGGAAGGAGCTGTTTTGTTGTAGGCTTTGTAATATACCCTGCAGATTTTGATGGAATTTTTCATGCATGCCCTGATTCATTCACACATTTTGTACAATAGATAAATAAACATCCTCTACGATTATTTGATTGTATTGCAGGATGATGCTACAAGTTAATCTTACAAAGCCTCATAGGCATGTAATAATATCAAAATCTCAGGACATAATAAAACCATGATAAGTCCACAACATTTGTCGCAGTATAAAAAAAAGGTAAGACTTGAATGAAAATTGCATTTTTTGATTGTTATTTATTGAATCAAAAGTTATTATCTGTTTTTAACTCCCTTATTATTAAAATTATTTTAGGGTCAAACACACCATAACACCGAGTTAGACCCCCATGATGGCCATGATGGGGCGACTAATGGATGAATGTTTGTGGATTTAGACTGCAACTCTGCTACATCAAAACAGAATAATATAAAACACTTATTTAACCTAGCTCTGAAAAAGCCGATTATATCCCTGAAATCTGACATTTATCACTGAATATTTTAACAATAGATTTCCATTTTGACACAGTTTCTGCAGTGCCTGGATTGAAGGGATATTCTGGCATAAATTTAATTTAGGGTCAAACATACCACAACAGCGTTAGACACCCCTTGAGAGATGAATGTTGCAGACCGCTTACTTCTCTAGTTAAACCAACTTCAGTAACGACCGTACGGTAGCAAAACACAGTGGTCTGAGGAGCCATAAACAAACCTCATCCAAAACACCACTCTATAGCCACAAATAATGCTCAGACAGCACCTAACTTCATTAACAGTACATATAGGGTCCCAGCCATAGTACTAGCCATCAAACATCTTTTTAGCTTTGCCTGATTTCGTTAGTAAAGAGACTAAACACAACTCACCTACTCTCTTCCAGCAGCCACTTGTTTGTAGCGAGACCTCAGGCCAGTCCTCTACAGACTGCTGCGTGGTGACACAGCCCAAGGAAGAACATTTATGATCATTTCTTTATCATTTCCTTGAAGTAAATATAAAAATAATCGTCATATTAATCATTTTGCACTGCAGACACGGTAGCTCTTTTGCCTAAGCGTGTTGGTCTGATTGCATTTCCATGAAGTAATGATCATAAATGTTGTTCCTTGAGCTGCATCACCCTGCAGCAGCCTGTAATGGACTAGCCTGAGGTCTTGCTACAAAAAAGCAGCTGCTGGAAGAGAGTGGGTGAGTTGTGTTTGGTCTCTTTGCTTAAGAAATCAGGCAAAGTTAAAAAGATGTTTGGTTGCTAGTACTATGGCTGGGACCCTATATGTACTGTTGATGAAGTTAGGTGCTGTTCTGAGCATTATTTGTGGCTATAGAGTGGCTTTTTGGTTGAGGTTTGTTTATGGCTCTTCAGACCGCTGTGTATTGCTATTGTGCGGTCGTTACTAAAGTTGATATAACTAGAGAAGCAAGCGGTTGGCAACATTCATCTCTTGAGGGGGTGTCTTACTCGATGTTATGGTGCGTTCGACCCTAAATTAATTTTACTCCAGAATATCCCTTTAATCTTGCAAATTCCCAAAATCTCAGGACATACGTAATACCTTGATAAGTCCACAACATTTGTAGCAATACAAAAAAGGCTAAGATTTGGATGAAAATTGCATTTTATTGATTGTTATTTATTGAATCAAAAGTTACAAGCACCTGCTTTTAACTCCCTCAATCCAGGTGATGCAGCTGTGTCAAGATGGAAATCTATTATTAAAATATTCAGTCATAACTGTCACATTTTGGGATATAACCGGCTTTTTCAGAGCTTTGCTAAATGAATTTTTTATATTATTCTGTTTTAATGGAACAGAGTTACAGTGTAAACCCATAAACACTCATCCATCAGTCCCCTCATCACAGTCATGGCTCCAGTGGCAGCTCACTAATAAGAGACACCCACGAGTCCTTTTCCCAGCCATGCCCTCCAAGCTTCTTCTAGGGCATCCTGAGGCATTCTCAGACCAGTTGGAATATATAATCCCTTCTGAGTCTTCTGGGCTTCTTCTCTGTCAGACGTGCACAGAATACCTGTGTAGAGAGGCCTCAGGGAGATGTCCTAATCAGATGCCCCCCCACCACCTCTGCAGATTCTGTTCAACATAAAGAAGCAACTGTTGCACGAATAGGGTGGGGGCTTAGATAGGGTATCAGTGAATCTGAGCTGCACGGCCTGTTGCTGCAGTAAAAACTAATTTCATCTCCTCGTATCTACAATTTTATCCTTTTTGGTCACGACCTGAAGCTCCTGACTGAAGGCAAGAGCTGGAGCATAGATCGGCTGGTAAACCCTGAGCTTTGCATTCAGGCTCTGAGCCAGGCCTGTGGGTGAAGGCGGCACCGGAGAGAGAGAGACAGAGAGAGAGTTATTCAGATGGTAAATTGAAAAATTAGTTTTAAAAATTGAAGATGAAGAGTAATAACTGCTAAATTCAACACATGCTCAATAAGTCAAAAGGCCAATCTGAGGTGTGAAATTTATTGTTTTATAAAGGAATGAACTTATTAATTGAGAGCAGCCATGCTAAGTGACGAGGCATTTTACTCACAAACAGAGATTTAATTGAAGTATTCAGAGGAGTGCCAAAGTCACACATTGTCTCTCAGTCTCTCAGAAATTGTTAGCAGAAAGACTGCTTTTTGTTTTGGAGGTCACAGGCATTAACTCAAGAGTAGATGCATCTCAGTTATTTAGAATACCATCGAAAAGTTCAATATCATCGCTCTGTTTGTCAAGAAGGCCTTACATGCACACGAGAAATATTTGAAATGTTTAATGTTTAAAAAAGTAGAATATTAACTTTGGATTTAAAGTAAATTACAGTTAGAACAGTATACCATGTTTATCTCTGTATAGTTCAGAACATCCAGCTACAGTTATGGAGAAGACTGCTGACTTTAAAGTTGTCTTGAGGACAGTCAACCCCCTCAACAAGAAGGGGAAAGCCACAGAAGGTCATTGCTGGAAAAAACTGACTGTTTAAGAAGATTAAAGGGATATTCTGGCATAAAATTACTTTAGGGTCAAACACACTGTAACACAGAGTTAGAAGCCCTGTCGAGAGATGAATGTTGCCGATCACTTGCTTCTCTAGTTAAACCAACTTTAGTAACGACCACAGATAGCAATACACCTGCCACGCACTCAACCAAAACGCCACTCTATAGCCACAAATAATTCTCAGAACAGCACCTAACTTCATCAACAGTACATATAGGGTCCCAGCCATAGTACTAGCCACCAAACATCTTTTTAGCTTTGCCTAATTTCTAAAGCAAAGAGGCTAAACACAACCCACCTACTCTCTTCCAGCAACCGCTCGTTTGTACGGAGACCTCCAGGCGAGTCCATCGACTGCTGCGGGGTGACGCACCTCAAAAAGAACATTTATGATCATTTATTCATGGAAATGCAATCAGACCGAGATGCTAAGACAGAAGAACTACCACATCTGCAGTGTGAAATGATCAATATGGTGTTTATTACTTCAAGGAAATGATAAAGAAATGATTATAAATGTTCTTTCTTGAGCTGCGTCACCCCGCTGCAGTCCGCAATGGACTGGCCTGAGGTCTCGCTACAAAAATGCGGCTGCTGGAAGAGAAAGGGTATAAGTAAACTTTTTGGATTAAACTGCACCTCCTCAAAAATCAACTTTAGGTCCAATTCGTCAAGGTGCACCCGTATAACCACATGGCTTAAACTGTTTTAATCTGCGACCATTCAGTAAGTAAACAAAGTGAACATATTTAGTTGAATATATAGGAAACCAGAAAAGGAGAGGAGCAACTTTCATCTCCATGAGATGTGTTGATTTCAGATGTAAAACGGTGAAATTTTCAGAGGCTGCTTCTTTCAGTTATTTCGGTGAGGCAACAGTTTGAAACACGTGAAATTAACACCTAGGAATAAAAACTTTGCAGCAGCAGTGTGACTTTTCCCATGTCAGGTTCTTGGCCACGCCAAGTGTTGTGCTGTGCTGTGTGTGCTGGTAGTGTGTTTATGAACGTGTGAAAGAGGGGGAGGCTGTGAAAAACTGACACAAAGAAACAGACAAAGTAGACAAAAGGGCATTGTAGAAAGGAAATACAGATCCAGAGAGAAGGTTTGCCCATAACTCGACACTTCACAAGGCTGTGTATCTAATTTTTTCTATCTATAAGAGTAAAGCGAGGGAACCGTTAGTTATTAAACCACCAGAGAGCAAGTCAAGAGTTACTAGACTCTAATGTACAGAGTGCAAGTTTTTGTAAGGCTTGTAAAGCTGCCCGGAGTTTAAAGTTTATGAGTTTCCAGCACAGTTTTCTTCATCTGTAACTGTGTCCAACTTAAGATGTTTTAGTTTCCCACAACCAGGCCGTATACCACGGGGAGTCCAAACTTTTTAAGCCGGGGACCAAACTGAGAAGGAAAAAAACAGGGAGTTCTGGGCCATAACCCTTTTTATTTAACAGACCAGTTTAATGAGTGAGCTTTAAGTACTTTGTGCTGTACGCTCGAGTCTCGGGTAAGACGATTTTATCACTGTTAAATTTCACTCACCCGAAAATACCACTCCCAATGGGAATGGTGAGGAATCTGGAGTCTCACTGTCAGGGCAGCTGCAGCTTGTCTTGTTTTCTGTCATGAGAGAACACGTTTGCTTATATTTGTATGTAGAGTCAAATAAACAGAACATCATTTTAGCATCTGGGGAGTGTTGAACTTTTCCAAACACATGAAGGTCTCCGACAGAGACACTTCTTTTCAACTCACATAAAATGAAGTCTGCCATCCGTCCTTTGCTTCCCGGACTGCTTCCCTGGAAAAAATAGCAGACTGAATAAAACCCTATACATGTACCTTTGCATTAAAAACACTTAATGGGGATCAAATCTCTTAATAATAAAAGAAAAATGGCAACACAGAGTAAGAAACATGCAATTCTCCTGAACTTAAGTGTCAGATTTAGATGGATTAACCTGTAAATGAAGCTTTCATTGTATTAAAGTACCAGGATGTATGTTATGATAGTTCTGGGCTCACCATCTTCATACCTTAACCCCTGAACCACCATAACCACATGGTCAGTTACTCTGAGTTGCAGTCACTTAAACTTAAACACACGGTTTGTCTTGTTTAAAATTGGTTTATAAGCACTTTGGCAACACATTTAATCAAAATTATTTGCCATTTTGCTCTTTGTATTTATCATTTCTCTTTTCTTTGAGTTACCTGGCTGCTGGGTGGCATTTCCTGCTTGGGGAAACAAAAGATGGAGCTGAGGGCAGAGCATGGCTTTATGCTGAAGTCCCTCCCACAGACCAGACCAAGAGCTCCTACATCATGGGGGGGATCAGGGTTCCCTTTATGTTAAATGTGGTCTGATCAACCACTATATATAGTTATATTTTGTTGACCTCTTTTAACGGCCGTGCCACTTTGATTTTATCTTCAGTCATTTTTGTTTTAAAAGCAATTTCTTTAGACTATAAATCCCTCTTTTTTGGAACTTTAACCACCTGTTTTGGTCCATGACAGGGGTTTTATCCACTTATACAGATTATTGTACAATTACAAAAGTTGTCCCAGGGCACTTTGGCTTCTCTTACTAGTCACTGTTAAATATAGAAACTGTAAAGGTACGAGCCAGGTAGAGCCCTCAGGTTTTCAGGCAGTTCTCTGTTAACAATACTTAAAATTAAAACCAAGACATACGGTGAGGCATCTTTTTATTACTATGGCCCCCGTTTATGGATCAGCTTACCTGAAGACCTAAAGACTGCACCTATTCTTGATGATTTTAAAAGCAAACTGAAAACATACCTTTTTAGTCTTGCTTTTAACTAAATTTTATATCAATAACTTTAAGTATTTTAGAATTTACCTCTTCTAGTTTTAATGACAGCATCTTCTATTGAGCTAATTTGGTTCTCTTATTTTAGTATCTTTTACTGATGTTTTTATTTCATTTTATTTATTATTTCTTAAATTTTATTTTATGTTACTTTGTTTTTAGATTTTAAACCTCAAGCATTTCCTTATCTTGAATTTTAAAATGGCGTGTCCTCAGTGTGCACATTCCTGTTTATATGAATTTTTTTAAGTTCATGCATTTGATACACGTTTCTATTGTGCTATTGTGCTTAGATTGCGGGGTTGGAATGAGGGGTTGGGTTGGAGTAGTTTAGGGTTTTCTTTGTTTCTTTTATTCCTCTGCTATGTAAAGCACTTTGTGCCACATCTTTTTTGTATGAAAAGTGCTAAACAAATAAAGACTGATTGATTGATTGATTGATTGATTGATTGATTGATTGATAGATAAAGGTAGTGGAAATCGTGTTGTGGTGTTAGCTGCAGCTATAGACCCGTGTAACCTGACCATTGCATGCACTCTTTACTTATAAGCAATTACATACAGTGATGTTTTCATGCAAAAAAAAAAAAAAATGGAGGTTATGTGCAGTCAAAGCCACCTTAAGGGAACAATTACTACACTTTGAAACAATTAAGATCTCCTTGTGGAGATATCTTGGGTGCTATGCCAAAGACAGCAAAACAAAAGACAGAGAAAGGACTGAATGTCGACTTTTTACCACAGAGAAGCTGCCTGAATCATCAACGACAACACTCATAGGGTAGTATTGGGAATAAAAAGAAAGCAAGAGTGGCTAGTTTCTCTTTTCTACAGATCTTCTCTTGACATTATTATTGATGAAGCTGATACTAGAAGTCTAATAACAGGGTCAATACATATTTGTCAGTTTATAGTACTACATAGCTCAATTCTTGTATTCGATAATGAGAGCAGAGAGGAAATCCAGACTCCAATTGTGTGCATTAGTGTCACATTCCTGTACAGTAATGACTTCCAGCCAATAATTGTGCTCACCAAATCAGCGGGAGGTTATCGTATCTCTGTTTCAGATCACCACTTAAATATGTCACTGATGTTCAGCAAATCTACAGGTGCGAACACCTTTGCGGTTTTTCCGGAGCGTTTTCCTGTGAAAACATGAGAAGTTTCACAACATCACACCTCGCCTCAGCTGTAGCTTGAATAATCATAAATCTGCATTACTTCCACTGCTACTATATCCTTCTAATTAGTTCCTGAATAAATCTGTATAAATAAGTCCTTTATAAAGTTGGTCTAAAAGTTGTTTTACACAAAAGCTTTGACTTTGACTGTGAAAACTCTCACAGATCTTAGACGATGCTCTTATATTTCAGATGACTTGTGTCGATACGCCTCCTCCTCCATACTAGCACGACCAAAGATAGGTCGATTTGGAGTTTCACGGCTAGCTCGACCCCAGTATCCCTAAGCGTAAGCGCAATCCCTTTGAGTAATTTCAATAAAAGCCTGTTAGCTGAAACCTCACTTTCCTCCCGCCAAATCCTTCCATCAAAGGCTCCCTTAGGGTTTGCTTGGTTATTAGCCACTGCTCCATATTTGTGAGGTGTCACAGGTAATAAGCAGCTTCCAGGTTACCTTTACCTGTGAGTGTCAGGCACAATATTGGATCCACAGCTCCTGTGGGGCCCCGCTGGGATCGTCTTTCTGCCAGCATTGTCAATTAGCCTAGCGCTCACAACGTCATACGCAACAGGGAGATAGAGGCTACTGGATAGGAGCTTGGGGACATAACTACCTAAGCTGTTATAGTCACATATGCTGTAGAGAAGAGAGGAGGAGGATTTAGATAATACTTGCATGAAACGGCATATGTTTATGTATGCACACTAAAACATTCAGGAGTTTAGATGGATGCATGCAAATATGGAGGCATCTTTTCATTTAGTGTCATGAAACATCTGTTTGTGCTGGTTCAACAACCGAGATGCAGTTCAAACAGAAAATTGTGAACTCATTGAAAAGGATTCTTGAAAATATTTTAAGTATTTATTGATTTTAAAAGTTAGAGTTTAAGTTCATACAGCTCTAGTTCAATGAGCTAAATGAGTTATTTGCTATTAATATGTTTGGATTGGTTCTTGGTCACTCTCAGAAGCCACGCCCCCTCGTTATGGTGCTCTGAGAGAATAAAGGGTTTTTGAATTTACGAGCAGCAGTTAGAGAGTAGGACCAATTGTTTAATATTTCTGCACCTGTTTGTTTTATCAAGTAGTTATGTGGAGTTTTATGATGTGAAATACAGGTTTTTCATTGTGGGTGTTTCTCAGTTTAAAGGGATATTCCGGCGTAAAATTACGTTAGGGTCAAACACACTGTAACACTGAGTTAGACACCCCGTCGAGAGACGAATATTTCCAACCGCTTGCTTCTGTAGTTATACCAACTTTAGTAATGACAGCATGATAGCAATACACAGCGGTCTGAGGAGCCACACACAAACCTTAACCAAAACGCCACTCTATAGCCACAAATAATGTTCAAAACAGCACCTAACTTCATCAACAGTACATATAGGGTCCCAGTCAAAGCACTAGCCACCAAACATCTTTTTAACTTTGCCTAATTTCTTTAGCAAAGAGACTAAACACAACTCACCCTCTCTCTTCCAGCAGCCGCTTGTTTGTACGGAGACCTCTGAGTGAGTCCATCAACTGCAGCAGGGGGACACAGCTCAAGGAAGAACATTTATGATCATTTCTTCTGGGAAATGCATTCAGAAGGAGATGCTAAGGCAGAAAAACTACTGCGTCTGCAGTGTAAAGTTATGAATATGATGATTATTACTTCAAGGACATGATAGAGTCATGATCATTTTCTGTACCTGTTTGATTTGTTTTGTTTAAATACACAGTTGAACTTTTTAACAACTAGTTATGTGGAATATTTCGATTGGTTATTGGCCACTCTCAGTAGCCACGCCCCCTCATTAAGGTGCTCTGAGAGAATAAAGGGTTTTTGAATTTACGAGCGGCAGTTAGAGAGTGGGACCAAATGTTTAACATTTCTGTACCTGTTTATTTTTTTGTTTAAGTAAACAGTTAAACTTTTAATCAAGTAGTTATGTGGAGTTTTATGATGTGAAATACGGGTATGTCATTGTTGGTGTTTCTCAGTTTAAGTCAAAACTACAGTAAAGGGTGCAAACATGCCGTGTCAACAAACATAGGTGTGTTTTGAAAGTCCAGTTTTAAAAGCAGAATTTTGTATTAAAGGTGGGGTCGGCAGGATTCCGTTAAAGAAGCATCTTTTTTTGTGGTGTATATTAAAAAAACTTTTAATATCAGTCAATAGCTATTAGTTATTGATAACATTTGGGAATATAACAATATCACTGTGTTCTCTTATGTCTGTGTAGTCAACATTTTAAAATTTTTGAGCGGGAACGGACGCTGCTCCCCTGTGTTGTCCATGAGCCCACCAAAGTTAGCGAGCTACAATATTGGGCAGTAGAAACCAACCAGGAAGTATGGGAAATTGTCTGAATCCTCCTTTGGCCACGACTGCCGACACAAGTAAGAAGACGAAGTAAATACCGGAGATTCTGGCGGAATAACGGGCGATAAAAAAGGAAGTAAACCGGACAACAGCTAAAAAGCTGTATCAACAATGATGGGGGATGCTTCGGGATCTTACAGACCCTGTAACCTTTCTGTTAGACAGGTAAATCGCTTTAACAAAGTCAGCCAAGTGTCTGTAACAGAAGTGTTTCTTGTCAAACGGGACCTGCTGCATGTCGTAGCGCCGCTAAACTGTTTAGCTTCGGTCCTGGACTATGTCACTTTATCCTAGTTGTAGAAGCCCTGCAAACATTGCGTTTGCTGGTAGTCTGTTGGCATCTGCAGAAGCACCAATGCTGTTTACTAACACGTTGACTGGACTCCATTTGTAATTATCTGAAGTATTTATCTGCATTATATCTCAATTGAATAGAAACAATAGGAGTGAGCAGGGAGGTCTGTTTGTGGGCGGGGCTTGCTGGAGCAGAGACGAAGGGGAGAGGAGGAGCTGAGGGGAAAACTGGTTAGGAGGGGTAGAGTTTACATTCAAGATTTCTCCAAGAAACTGGCACTTCCTCAGATCCTGCCTACCCCACCTTTAAAACAGACAAAAGAAAGAGCAGGGTGATGAGGAAGTAAAGCCCTGACTTGGGTGCAAAACTGTGAGGGAAAATGCTCCATCAGAGAGGTTAGGATACTTCAGGGCTGATTTTGATAGATGTGGATGGGGACAGGTGAAAAGGTCATATCACATTTGGTTGTGAGGAGAAAAGTAACTGATGAAGGAGAAAAAGAGTAAAGAGACACTTTTTTAAAGCTATCTAATCAAAACCAATACGTATTTTGTAATCTAATATAATCTGCTGTGTGTTTGGGGATATACTTGATTCAATAATTTTATTATAGCTTCAGATTCAGGGGAAAAAAGTTTCTTAATGCCAAAAACCAAACTTAAGTCTATAGCCGGTTAACTCTGCTCCTCTCTTGGTTGTCTAGTTAGGGTTAGAAAAACTCTTCCCAACTTTCTCCTCTTTGCCAAATTTCTGACATCTCTGCCAAAAACGGCTCTGCTCTCTCGCGTCAGTCTCCTTGTCTGGGTGCTCATTTGAAATGAATGACTACTGCTCACTTTGTCTCTCCATGTCACCGCCGCTGCCACAGCTCTGTTATTGGGGTTGTCACAGCTGCTGCCAAAAGATGGACCCACAGAGAAGTTCCCAGTTCTGGTTTAATGTGAGTGTCAGGGACTGGCTGACTCAGACTCTGCTGTTCGGGGTGTTTCATTGACTGGGTCAGGGAGGCTGGCTCTGGGTGGCTGGCTCTTTCAGTCGGCAACATGAATGAACTCGGGTTGAAAGTGTCCTCATGAATGGATGCTTTCTCACAGGAAAAAAACATGCTGTAACCTTTACAGATGGAGAGTAAAAACGGTTTTGAAATCCGGTCACGACAGTGGCGAGTGACTTACTGTTAAAGTTGTAATATCCAAAAAGGCAAAAACAGCCTTTTCACGGAGAGCTGTGAATACAAAACATCAGGCTTGACACTACATTTTGTAATACCCACACAGACTGACACTGCACCTGTGGCAGAGGAGGTTTGTGGACAAACACGCATTCACACTCTGCTCTTGCAGTTTTCTTCTCAGCGTGTTATAAACTGCCTCTCAACCCGCCTCTATGTATCTGAACTTTTGACAAAACTCCTCGTCAGCAGAGCATGCAAATACTACAACTGAAGTTTTGAAATCTTCACTTGTTTTTTATGATGCCACACCAGCCAACCCATCTGCGGAGAGGGTCCATTAAAGGCTTAGTGTTTTCCAATGATCCAAAACTGAGAGTGCAGAAGGAAGTCTGCAACAATTATAGTTATTAATCAGAGATACAGCTGGCCTGTGGCGGGTGGCTGTGCCATAGTTTAGACATTGGACCTGCATTTTGGCCCCAAAATGATAAAAAAAGTTGATTAAATGGTCGAAATGAGCGGCAGTTTTGGTGTTGACTGGCAAGAGCGACAAAGTGCACTAAGTAAAGTGAAGAGGAAAATGGCTCTGCTTCAATAGATATCATCTGGTTGCCACTTAAGAATCAGTTCTTCCTGTTAAGGACTCTGCAATCAGGCTCGCAACGACAACAATGGGTCAGACTCTTCAGATAACGCTGCCGGGCTCTTGATATTGATTATGCCACAAGGAAGAGTATTATTATTGATAAAGGAATAGAATTTGATTTTTTTTTTTCAATAATACAAAACTTTTCAGTAAAAAAAACTCCCCAACCTTCAGATGAAAACCATACCCTTGACTCTGATGGAAAAAAAAAAAGGTTGTTTCATTTGCCAGCTTTGAGCAGCCACTCTGTCCTCAGCATTTGCCACCTATTACTATTCTTTCCTTGGAATATTTTTCTTATCAAGGTAGCGACGTGAAGAGCTGGCAAACGTCACTGTGAAGCACAAAACAAGGTGGAAAAAAGATGTGTGTGATTTCTCCCTGACATTTTCAGTTAGCGGTGACACTTTGGTTCAGCCGAAGGATAAAGGAACAATTTCTGTCTCCAAAGCCAGATTCATCATAACAAGAGCCTAACCAAAACACGATGTGAAAGGGTAAAGGGACCGTTATTTATTCACATGAATGCCTCAACACTCATCACAGCCAACAACAGGAACACTGAGGCTGAGTCAAGAGTCTGCTGCTCTCAGACTCATCAATAAAGTGAGTTCCTAAAATCCGTCTATCAAGCCCAGCACTGAAACTCTTCATGCAATAAACGCCTTAAAAACATGAGGAAATGGGTCTGCTGCAGGATTCACAGCAGGTGTTGATTTATGGCTCATTCATGCAGTGTCAGTATTTGGGAAAATATGCTCTGAGCGAATTTAGTTTAACTTTCAGGTTCATGAATCAACTTTGCGAGACGTGGTAACTTCAAATGTCTTTACACGTGCTGAAAGGTGTAAATCTTGATTGAGCATAGCGAATCAAATACTCAGAAAATGATCAACTGAATTAGTTTCTTCCAATGTTTTGATAATTTCTCTCAAAATGAGGTCTTCTGGGTATGAATTAGAGTTTAAAAAAAAAAAAAAAACAGGTGGGTCAAACAATTTTTAAATCAGGCAGCAAATCTGCACCGTATTGGGTAACCCAGGATTTCCACCGCATCCTGAACGGTTCCAAGTTGGAATGGCGGCGATTTTTGCCGTACGCCAATTCCTACCAGGTCTGTTTGTAAGGCGAATTTTGTGGTGGATTACAGACAGCAGGAATCGCGAGAACTCACAAGAACCTGCGGATTTACGTGCAATCGCGTGATAACAAGTTGTCTTTAGCCACATAGGCTAACCATATAAGCAGTAGATTGTGTCCTTCTAGAGGAGGAAATCTACTTCTAGACTTATAAAACCAGCATCCTCTCATCCATGGTGTCATCAGGGTGAAATGCTGTTTAAAACCTTTCACTTGTTCATCTCCGCCCGTTGCATGGTGTGAAATAGGATCCGCCTGAAACACGGAGTGTTTTTTTTTTAAAAGAAGCAGGATGTTTTATTTTGTGTCTGTGCCTGACTTCCTTTCCAGCACAGGTTAATCTGTGCTGAATTTATCCGGCATACCCCGGCGTCTGAAAAAGGAAGAACTCTTGCGGAAATTGACACATTAACTTGAATGGTTATGATCAGCTATGATCAGCGGATACAGCCTTTTCATAGCCCTTCCCGATGTGGTGGAAATTGCCGGTCAGTCTCACTTTGTGTGTGCTCATGACACATCCACTCATATCTCAGAGCTTTCCAAGCAAAGGAGCTAAAGCCTCATTTATGCTCAACGTTACATACAGATCTGGATCTGGACGAAGTTCTCCATCGGTGCTTTGTGTTCTTTTCTTCTGTATTTCTGCACATATCCTTGAAGTTTACAGATGCAGGCCAGATGGAGCAGTACTACTGGAAACTGTGGGGGCAGTGTTGCTGCTTTCACTACCCGATACGCATCTCTAGAGAGAAACGTAGAAGACAATGGTGGGCTGAAAATGATGATTGTCGTCAGTTTCTCTCATCGGTATGACTAGAGAAAAGAATTCTCCATCCTCCAACCATGAGGCAATAAGTGGCCTGACTGACATTGTCTCTAGCTCCTCCACTATCGCCTTGTTTCTTTTTGTTTGTTGTTGTCAGAAACTTTTGACCCCGGTCTGCCCCCTGGTGGATGTAATGGTTAACATCCATGCCAACGTAAAGGACGCATCTAAGTATGTGGGCAGTGACGGAATCATCGTTTGAAATGGACGCGAACATTTTCATACGTATGGCGAGCAGCAATGAGCATTAAGGTGGCACTTGCATCTAAGAAAATCACTGAGCATGAACCTTGAAGAAGTCCAGCGTAATTCTGTGTCTATTATACTCGCAGTAAAACAATGAAGTTTCCGGAAAATTGAGATTTCCTCAAATTCAGCTTTAATTTTTAAGTGTCTACAATGAAGGCTGTTGGCAGCTGTTGGTTGTTTCACACTTGTTTACAGTAAAAAGAAGAAAAACTAGTTTTTTTCTGGGCAGCTGCTGTAAAAAAGGAGAAGAAAGTGAAATGCAAAAGGTCACGAATACAGTCATTAACCTGAAAAAGGCATTTACACACTTAAAGGAAAGATGTTGTAATAAAAAGAAAAGGACTAACATCTATTAGAGCAGCGAGTCACAGATGCAGAATAAAACTCTAAATTATAATTAACCATGTTTGACATCCACTCTACATTACACTCAAACACACGCAGAGTTTTCCCCCAATTGAGAAGTGCCCCGTAAGCCTTGTCAAAAAAATCAGCACGCCTCCTTGCAAGGTTTTCAAATAGTGCTGAGGCAGCCTTTCAGTGGTCATTACTCATAGAGCTGGCAATTAAGTTACTGATCGCACACAGGGAAAATAAGGAGACCTGGCAAAACTATCCGTTGACTTCATTGTGTTATAAAAGTTCCGCCGTTAAGTCATAATCGCACCATGCTGCGTGAAAAATAAAAGAACGTTACTTAAGCAGACAATCCAACAGGGATAATTCAACAACTAAAAATGATAAAATTATTATTCACTGAGAGGGAGTGTGCTGGTGAACAATTTGCATAGACCTGCAGCAGAGTGTGTGGACAAAAACCCACATGGTCATGTCAAAGTACCTCTTCTTAAATAATAAGGGTGTTCACAGCCGTGCCACTCTCTTTTGTTTAAGTGTACGGTCAGTTGAAGCCAAAACTTCAAACAAAATTTAAAATTGCTCACAAGAATGGCACACCTGCCATCATAACCTGCAGAGATCTGAGCCAAAATCTTGGATTGGTTTTGGTCTTCGTCAAGGACATTGGCGACTTTCTCTTTTGAAGTGTTTTCACTTAATACGCGACTTTACCCAAGACCTCAAAGTGGCTGTCCCTCATCTTAAAGTTGAAGGTTCAAGGACATGACACATTCAGTTTTTATATTCTTACCCTCCTTTTGCACACGTTTTCTGTTTGTGTCCCTTATCTTTTAGGTCAAAAAGTATCTGCCTGAACTTAAGTTAACTTAAACCCAAAACAGATCTTTTCATTGTCACAAATTTTGCCTTCTATGTGTGGACTAAATGCATGTAAAGAAGACCTACTATGCTGATTGGTGCTTTAATAAGTACATATAATATGAAAATGCTTGATGTCCATACTCTAAGGCTATGTTCACACTGCAGGTCAATTCCGATTTTTTAACCTTATGTGACACATATCTGATTTTTTCATGTAAGTGTGAACAGTGCAAATCGGACTTTTTCAAATCTGACCCAGGCCTCTTTTGTATGTGGATATAAATCGGGTATGTATCCGATGTGACTGCAGAGTGGACACTCAGGCCGGTTCATCTGACTTATACGTCATCAATACGCAACAAACGTCACCATTGCTCAACAATGTCACGTCATGTCCTGCTTTGTGCGCATGTGGGTCACTTCATGGACACATTCCATTCACATTAGATGCCGCATTCATTGTTGTAATGTGAACGACCGCACAAAAAGATCGATTTAACAAAAAATCAGAATTGTGCATCATAACCTGCAGTGTGAACGTAGCCTAAGAGACAAAGTTTCATAACATCAGATACGCAAATGGTGGTGTATTGTGTTTTCCAGGTTCCCTAAAGGGCTATTTTCAAGACATGGGGACAACTTGACATCAGGTTGTGCCGTCCTATTAAAACAGTGCTTGAGGACCAGCTTTGTAAAGGAGACGCCTACTTAAGGGGACACCAAGCAGGAGTAAAATCATTCGGGCAAATGAAGTCAATGCAAAGACGTGATTAGACATTTGTACTACTCTGGTGGTGCAAATCATGTGAATTGAGGGAGTTATTTGTGCGAATGGCGAATGAAGCAAGTAAATACTTACCATTTACATGTATCTAGACACGCAAATGAAACGAGTGGATTATTTCATTTATGTCTGGTTGGAAAGCCCTTTACACTGCTGTCCTGTCTGTACTTTTAAAATTCTTTTCGAAAATGACAAAGCTGTTTATGCTTCCCACTTCACCAATAACTCTTTTGTAAACAAAGGCCAGTACGAGCAGGATTGACATTTCAATTCCTACCAAAACCTGGGTCTGCTTTATCTTTGAAGACCTCTGACGGCTCAGAAACACATGCTTTAAGTTCTACTATGACAGCAGCTAACCTTCAGGTTTCAAAGCTGTGTGAAAGTACACCCACAAACTGTGTCTTTGTGTGGAAAAGCAGCTAAAACAAAGTATTTAATGTCTGTTAGCAGATGTCTTTTTATGAGCAGAAAATCCTGACAAAGTAGTACTCTGTAGGTGTCCCATAATGATTCAATGAATGGTAAACATAAGTCAAATGAACTTAACTTGTTTTAAATACTACACAAACAGATATAATTGGAGCTTATTTTTTAATAGCTATCATTATGACTATTTTATCTCTTGAGAATAATTATCTATTTTACAAACAGGTGGCCTTTCTTTTTCATAAAGGAAAGATTTACTCTGAATGAATTCCCTCAAAGATGATGCCCTTCACTCTGGGTTGTATTTTTCTGAATTTCCTCTTCAGGGACATCTTCCTCCTACGAATGGCTGTTCTCTCGCTCCTATTCATCTGAAAAAAAATCTGGTCTATTTGACATTCAAATGTGTACTAATGGCTTTACCAAAGATAGAACTGGCTGTACTCTCATGGGTTTGACTTTTAAAGCAGAATACACCACTTTGACGGTATTCTCTAAGACTTCGGAGAAATGTTTTATGTTATCTGAACGTTGTTTATTTCACTTGTACAACTCTAAACACAAGTGGGGTCATGGAGGGGGGAAGATGCACCTGCACTGAAATGCTTTACTTTTGTCTCTGTCCAATCAGTAAGAGAGACAGTACTTGCCTGCAGGTGGGCTTCTCCTGTGTTGTTCAAGTGCTGCCAGGTCAAAAATGATCAAAGGGTGGTCATTGCACCCTGTTTGTGTACAGTTCATGGAGAATATTTGGGTTGTCTACTAGAAGACATCTGATTTCAACTTTTAAAAAAGGGCCCAAAATGTGTTTTTACCTGCTTTTAAACAAGGTGGCAGTATTTTTTGACCATTAGATAACACAAGGGTTAAATCTGGACCACACCTCCATGCCACAGATCCAGTTAATTGCAGGACTTTAATGGATCTTAATGGAATAAGTATGTTTGAATCTCTGTTTGACAATCCAACTATAAAGATCATTTTGTTTCTGAGTTTTTTATGTTTACACATCAGCGGGCCACCCTCCATTAATGCTCCAATCATGTTTCTACAGTGGCCTACAATGGACAAACTAGCAAGGGGCAATCCTAGTTTTTGTATTTAGTGAGGGAAAGAAGGAAGTGTTTGGTTAAAAAAAAAGGATATTGTAAAAAGTTTTTGGTGATGGACAAATGGGGGATGCTACTGGCGTCTTGTCACTAGTGTGAGGGGTAAGCAGGGGAGTATTTCTGTCTACTTTACCACTGAATTTTCCATTTCTTCACAATAGTACCTTGTTAGGTTGATTTTCTTTAGCCAGTCATGTCAGGGTGGTGGAGCTGTGTCACTCAAATACCTTGGATACTTTGGTGCTAGATTTCTGGAGCCATGGGCCTCATAAAACAAGGACCTTATACCCATGTTTAACACCACTCAGGCTCCCGAAACATATTGTGCTTTGTTATTACCCTACATGGACTCTCTTTCAGGTCAACAAGATGCAAGCAGAATGTCTGGAAACATGGATGGCTACATATACTTGAACAGTCTCTTGTTACACTTGTGGCATGATGAAGCTGTAACCCAGATCTGCAACCAGTAAAGCTTGTCAAACTGACCATTCGTGTGGACCTTCCATTCTTTCAAGTGTGAACCTGGGCGAGGCATCCTTACATACCTTGAGATATGTCCTCCTCTTCTCCTCTCCTCGTAAGTATTATGCCTTTGCACAGTAAGAAGTGCTCCGGACTTGAGGCTCGCATCATAAAAACACTGTTAGTGGACATTGACCTTTCCTTCTTAGATGCATGTAACAGCCAGGTTATGAAAGGGTACTACGCTTGTTCACAGGGGCCACCAAATACATTTCCATATGTGTCGAATATCTCAGATATTTCTGGACTGCAGGAGTATTCCTTTTGTGTTGAACAAATCGAAATCCGTTCCTCATTTTAATACACTGGCTGTGACCAAAGGCAACATGCACTTTTTTCAGAAACACGCCAGTAACAAAAAAAAGAAAGAAGATAAAACCCTCTGTGACAACAAATGTTAACACATTACCATATGACATTCCTATCCCTGCCGTAAGCTGCCCCCTGCTTTCACAGCAAGCATGCAGAAGATATGACCAGGCTGTAATGCAAATCCCCTCATGGGTGCTCACAGAGCGAGGACAGGGCAACAACAGCACTGCGTTATCAGTGTCAGAGCCACTGGATAGACTACATCAGATAAACGTTTGGGGTAAAGCTGTACCTTGCAGTAAAATAGGGTTGCTGCGGTTGATATAGCAACAATCAGTGTACAGCAAGGAATCTGAATAGACTGCTTTTTTCATGACAGCAGATGGGGATTGGTGTCGGTCGTGATTAGCAGATTAGTAAAGCATGGCATTTGTGCTTTGCCTGAACTAATACAAAGCTCCCTCTCTTCGTCAGGTGTTCATGTGTTTGGTTGGTTTTCATGCTTCTGCAGTAATCTGTATGCTCGCCCTGCTGGCATGCAGAAAAGAGACGCAGGGAGGAATGCTAATAACCCTCGAACACAGGAAGAGGTGGCAAAACAGAAGCAGATATTCCAACAACCAGCCTCATATCTGACAGCAGAACAAATGGTCTATATAGATTCACACCAACCTTCAGTTTCTCGCCCAGTACTTTCTGTCTTCTCTGGTCTTTAGCGCTCTTTTTATTGATCAAGGCCAAAGAGTATGACGACTCTGCCACAATGTCACACTGTGGTTGGTTTATTCCTGTTAGAAAAACTTGAGTGTGTCTGTGGGCTGTTTTCCACTCTCACACAATCTATTGTTTTGCGAACTGAAAGCAGAATGAATGAAGTGTGCTGACATTTTCAGGGACACGTTAAGACAGTCTTGCTAAGACTTCGAGATCAAATACTCTTGTATGTGCGTAAAGAGCAGGAGGTTTATTAGCTTAGCATCTGCAGGAGTTAATAATGAGTTATCAAGAGGATTTAATAGATATAAGGTGATTATCTGATTTTAGGTCTTTTTTTCCTCTGCTGACTCAGGGAGTGTATGAACACCACAAGTTGACCCACTTTTGTGTCCATAAAGTTTGCATTACTTCGGGTGACCATATTCTGAATCCCCCAAAAAAGGACACTACTACGTGGGCCGGAGTCATGCGTAGTAAATTTTGAGGGTTTTTTGGGTAGGGTTGAGTGTTTTTGTGTGCTTCTAAC